CATGAGACAAGGTCTGAATGTAGTCTCGAGTCCTAAACGCCTCTCTAACAAAGCTAGCAACCCTCTGTTGGTTCTCCTGACCTATAAAATGAAATGAGAGGCCCGTAGGCTTCCAAGTTCCCGGCAGTAAATCGATCCCCGGGGCAGATCAGTTCAACGCACTGGTTTGTACCGCCTTATCCTCCGGTTCACTGTGTTTGCATTGCCGGTACATACCTTCTGCTTTGCGGACGTCGACATGCGTGCGGGTTTCAAAAAAGCTCACTCGCTCAAAAGCAGGCCCGCTCTCCTGCCTGCAATGGTGAATGGAGGAGTCTGGTGGCCCGTGAAGTGGGAAGGCCTCATAGATCTGCAACGCCATCCTTCTGAGAGGTTTTCAACGTTGGCTCGTGGTGCAGCCGGGGCAATGTTTGGACCCAACTCAGAGACGTGAAAGGTAAGCACCTCTTCCTCTTTTGCGAGCTGCGTAGCTCGTCAAAAGGCAGCAACAACTTTATTTATACAATATCTGGCGTGCGACAAAAAAATCTGGCACACGTTTGCAATAGAAGGAAGAAGCTTCCCTCTTTGGGTGCTTGTAAAGAAGGCGTTTTCCCCCGTGCGGCGCACTTTTTAGTGTTGCCCACTTTTGCTGATGTAAAAGCTCATCATTTGGTGCACCTCATTCTGGGAAGCTCTTGGTGTCTGCTGGAAAGTACAAAAGACTGCACCATTCTCGGTCTGAGGGTTCAACCTATGCAAATCCTTTTTCGTAAGGGCATATGCCGAAGTCTACACTTTTGCGAAGTGCCTTTCTCAAATCATAAACGACACTAAAGACACTCAGAACGTCCGAAGAATGTAATGGAAAGTACAGGAGAAACTCAGAGATAGTCGAAGCTGGATGCTGCTTTTTCATGCTTTCGGCACATCTTCAAATGTTCTTTCCTTCCATCTTCGTGCAGATTTGGTCAGCTATTGACAGCTGAGCTGCTTTTAAAGGAAAGGGTATTCAACCTCTCGTTGCAAAAGCCAGGATGCTGCATTGCCTCCCATCTGATGTCCCTGAGCTCAAGACCCTAGTTCGGCAGACCCATGGTCGCTCAGATAGGGGACACTAGGGGAACTTGTGACCACTGAATCCTGCCCCCCAAAGCGTTAGTGCGTCCATGGACCACTCCATGGAAGAGCCTCTTCCGCAAACAGGGCGACTTAATATGCAAGACTCGGCACTTGCGCAACCGGCTGCGTTTCTTCATGCTGCTTTCGTAGAGAGCGCAAGGAATCTCCGAGCGGCAGCTGGGCTGGACCTCCGCGAGACACACCCCATGGACCACTCGATCGAGCGGTTCGTTTTGAGCAACAACAGGATCGAGATTGGAGTTCAGGTGGGTACATTCCGGAGCGCCGCAGATTGGTGGCCTGTGACTCTTGCGAGTGGCTGGTTTGGAGCTGCTACATTTGGGAGATGCGGGCTTTTGACTGCGGTGTGACAAGGAAGTAGAGTATGCTGGCCTTGTCATGGCACAGGCATGGTGACGGTCAGTTTTTGAACACGACTTTGGGTTAGTGGCAAGAGCGTTTGCTCAATATCCCGTTTCAGGAAAGTGAGCCAGTAGTTCAACCGCCATCGACAACCGGGGGGTAAGGCCTTCTGCCTCTTCAAACAATGCTGAGTGTGCAAGCGTAGAAGAGACATCCTTAGGTATCCTTTTCAGAGCATCTGTGTGGCGCCCCCAACCCCAAATGATTAGACTTTATCCTTCCTCATTCTACTCCTGCCCTTCTAGGGAACATCCAAAAAATCAATTGTAATACAGAGCGCAGGGATCCTTGTTGACTTGGAAACCCCCAGGAAAGGTGGGAAACATTTGGCTGGTCAGAAAATAAGGCCAACGTTTGCTCAACGCCTCAACCTCATCGGAAACGCATGCCCATAGTGAGCCTTTGTAGCCCGGAACCTGGCGAAGACTTGAACAAAGAGGTTCTAGCAAGGTGAGGAAGGAAGTAACCTCCAGGTAGGGGTTAGGCCACAGTCTCAAACCATATTTCAACCCCCTCCTCAGGTGGGCGAGCCTGGCGGAGGGTCCGATTTTATGCTGCTAGAGCTGCAATCAGAGCACGGTCCCGCACCCCCCGCCACCGGACCGAGCCTCGCAGAGCAGTATGCGCTTTTGGCGGGGCGCCGGGCGCCGCGCCGCAGCCGCAAGCGCACCCTCCAGAGTCGAGACGAGAACAGCAACCAAGGCCAGGGGGGCGAGGTGGCAACGAACAAGCCGAAGGGCATATGCCAGTTCGGAGACTGCTCGCAGGAAGTGAACTCGCGCGCGAAATGGTGCCCGGAGCACAGCACTGCAAAGCGGTGCACGTACGAGGGCCCCGAGGGGGTGTGCATGCGCGTGGCGAGGGGGAGCGACCCGCACTGCATCACGCACGGGGGGGGCGGCGGTGCAGACTGCCGGGGTGTAACAAGAGTGCGCGGGGGAAGGAGAGTTTCTGCAAGGCGCATGGGGGGGGCAAGCGGTGCCAGGAGTTTGGGTGCACGAAGAGCGCGGAGGGGAAGAGCGAGTATTGCCATACGCACGGGGGGGGGACGAGATGTACCATGGAGGGGTGCAACAAGGCGGCGCGCGGCGCGACTGGGCTGTGCATCTCGCATGGTGAGGGGGTGTCTTGGAAACCTGCCTTTGTTTTGCAAATCTTGGGCCTTTGGCATAGCTTGCAAATAGGGAAAGGGTTTGATCTCCTGCCTGCTTAGCACGGAGCGACTTGTCTTCTGCTGGGCGGACAAGAAATGACAATCATACAATGCTTTCGGTTCACTGGAATGCAGAGACGAAAGCGAGGCAAAAACTTCGGATCTGGTTTACATCGCTTACATCTTGTTGAGCGTAAAATATGTCGAGGGTGCGTGACAGTGTCTCCCAAGTTCTTGAATCTATGATGTGTTACCAGCTATTGTTTATGAGCATGCTTGATTGGACAAAAACACTTGCATGAAGTGGACAAAAAAGAATTGTGCGAATGTAAAGTCGAGATCCATTGCAGGTGGAGGCAAGCGGTGTCAGCACCCCGATTGCCCCAAGGGCGCCGAAGGCAAGACCGACTACTGCATCAGCCACGGAGGCGGCGTTCGGTGTTCGTTCGAGGGCTGTGTGAAGAGTGCGCGCGGGCGGGCCGACTTTTGCATTGCGCACGGGGGAGGGATCCGGTGCGCGGTCGAGAATTGCAGGAAGAGCGCGCAAGGGTCGACGCCGCTGTGTATCGCCCACGGAGGGGGGGCGCGCTGCAAGATCGAGCACTGTAACAAGGTGAGGCAGTGGGTTTGAGGATGGTCTGTCCATCCCAATTTATGCTTCAAACACAAACGCGATATCGATATTGAATGTGAGCGCTGAATTGTAGTGCTGAGTGCAGGTGGTGCTAAAGCTTTTTGGCGCAGAACGAAGCTTGCAAGAGGTCTATGCTTTGACCAGCACAAGACCAGGCTTACATTTAAGGGCTTGCTCTTCAGTCTAGTAGTTTCCTGCTCTTTGTGCACGCCTTGATAAGGAATTCTTCGTGAGATGTGGACGCTTTGAACCTTTCTGTCGTGCTGAAGGCCTGAAGGAGTGAAAGACCCGCTGTGTCGTTCCGTCCTTCCTCTATGCACAAACTGAGTTTCCGATTCCAGCATCAATTGTCCGGAACGGACTTCTCTATGAGCAAACTAAGTTTATGGCTTCAGCAGCATTGTGTCCAGATGAACGACTTAGCACGGAAGTTCAGAGAAGTCGCTGGTGGTAAAAATACGCTCCAACGCCCTTGCCAATGTTCTTGATAGCAAGCCTGACCGCGTGTACTGCGTTTAAACTGCTTGCACTTTGTCTTTAGGTTAAGGTTATGATTTTTCAGTAGCTTAACGAAGATCCGTTCTGGTAATCCTGGGGTCCTTGGTGACTACTTAACCTTTACTGTGACGGCAAACCCTTTGTGAGATTTAGTTGCTCCTCCTTGCAGACGCTTTGAGTTCTTACAATTCCTCAACACTTGTAAAGCTCTCAAGTTCTTAAAGCCTGACCACTTACAGGGTGCCCGGGGATCGTCGGGGCTGTGCGTGGGGCACGGGGGCGGCCGGCGCTGCGCCTTTGAGGACTGCAACCGGGGGGCGGAGGGACGAACCGGGCTGTGCATTGGCCACGGGGGAGGGCACCGATGCCAGCACGAGGGCTGCCAGAAGCCGACGCGCAATCGGGAGGAGTACTGCAAGAACCACAGGGATCAGAGGTGAGCGACCGCCGCAAAGGTACTCTGAGTGCGTTGGCCGGGGTTACCGATGTCAACGTTGTGGAAGACGTTCTTTCCTGTAGCACGGACTCCCTTTTTCGCTTCGTTCCCAGGCGGATCGAAACGGCCCCCTCAATATGCGCAGTTTAGTCTCGTGTTGACGCTGTTGGCAACTCTTGGGTAGCCTTCTTTCGTTCTGGCTTCACACGATGTCCACTCTCAACGTCCGCTTTCGACTCTCAAGCTCCGTTTGAGGCTGGTCATATTTGCCCTTTCACAATTTTGCTACTCATCGGTATAGCAACGTGAGCAAGAACCCAATGAATTCGGGAAAGAATCCTCAGTCACCTTCGCCATATGCAAAGTTGCACAATGTCCAGACGCTTTTACGCACCTTCCTTACAGGTAGCAGATTTTCAAAACTTTGAACACAACGAGCTCCTCCCGCTTTTCGCAGGTTGGTGGAAGGCGTCCTCCACCGCATCCGCAACAGTCACGCCGTACGCCTTCCGGACACGCCGTCCGGGGCGTCCGACTACGGAGAGGGCTTCCACCCCGGACCTCCGGCGCCGCCCGTTCTCCTGGCGTTGGGGGGACACTCCCAGAACGGAACGCCCACGTCTGGACCCGGTAGATATGAAGCGGGCATGGAGCAGCAAGCGCAGTGGCCAGCCGTGGCACCGGGGGCGGCGGTTGGGGAGCAGTACGTCCCTGCGTCAGGTGAGGCGGTTTTTGGGTTTGAAAACCTTGCACAGCCCCAAAATCCTTCACGAGCTTTTTTGGGTTTTAAGGTGAAGGGTTTGCAAGTTGCTGGGCCAATGGGCCCTGCAATGAATGGCGGCAGGTCGCTCCATATAGACGGTCGGATGGTTTGTAAGATTGACAGCCTGGCGCAAGCTTTGCGAGCGTGAGGATTTGAATGAGGGCGCATCCGACCACTGTACGTTGTGTACGTTGGGAGCACACTCGTTCCATCGAGCTCAGGCTATCTACTGTAGCTGCTTCGTGCATTCATAACCATCTCTCGAAGGTCAGCTATTCTTACGTCCGTGTCAGGCTTTCAAGTATCGTGGAGCGAAGGTGACCTGAGCCTCCGTAGCCTACCCTGCAATGCGTTGGGGAACGCTCTGCCGATTCTTTCTTATTGAGCATTTCCAGATACCACTTTGAGAAGCCCAAGTCTTTCTGGCAGATGGTCTCGAAACTCTTCTCAGCGCTTTTATCGTCCCCGTCTGATTCGCGCTTCTTATCAACGCCCTGTTCTGCTTGCAATCCTCGCCTAGATTCTTTCCTCCATGCCAGCTCTTACGCACCAGATCACTCCTCACCCTACGTGCTTTGATTATCTTTTATCAACGCCCGACTTAGCTTTTCAGCGTACGGGCCCCGTGCCAACCTGGACGTCCGCACCTACGAGCACGTGGGCAGCAAACTTTTCCCCAAAAAATAGCATCTTCCAGTTCCATTCTGATTTCCAAGCGACGTCCGCACTGCAGCGTACAGGCTCCGCGCCAACCCGGACGTCCGCAACTACGAGCACGTGAGCAGCGAGTTCATCCAGAAAAATACAGTTTGTTGTGTTCCGATCTAGTTTACAACTGACTCCGATTGCAGCGTACGGGCTCCGCGCCACCCTGGACGTCCGCAATTACAAGCTCGTGGGCAGCGAAATTCTATCCAAGAAAAATTCGTCTTCCGTGTTTCGATCTAGCTTTCAACCGTTAACCGACGCCCGACTTTGCAGCAGACGGGCTCCGCGCCAATCCGGACGTCCGCAACTACGAGCACGTGGGCAGCAAACTTATCCAAGAGGAATGCATCTTGCGTGTTTCGAGTACGCCCGATTCTGCAGCGTACGGGCTCCGAGCCAATTCGGACGTCCGCAACTACGAGCACGTGGGCAGCGAGTTCATCCAAAAGAAATCATCTTACATTTTCCGATCTAGTTTTCAACCGACGTCCGACTTTGCAGCGTACGGGCTCCGCGGCAACCCGGACGTCCGTAACTACGAGCACGTGGGCAGCGAGTTCATCCAAGAGAACCAGGCGTACGTGGTGGGCGAACACGAGTACGTCCCTTTAAGCCTCCGAGAGAACGGATTCCGCCCGGATTCCGCCCGACGAGCGGACGCCTCGCCGAGCGGAACTGCGCCGCAGACGTGGTCACAGGGGGCTGTGGGAGCGCAGCTAGCCGGCGAGAAAGACGGTGTTCCAAAAAGGGTGGAGATGGAAGTAAGAGGCGGAGTCTTCGAGGGAAGGGAAAATACGGAAGCTCCCCCGGTTGGCAGGAGTTTTGTAGATCAAAGTCTCGGGCTGGGGGCGGCGCCTCCTATTGTGATACCTAGCGTGGCCGCTGGGGCAGCGGGGTCGGCTGAAAGGGGCAGTGAAGTGGCCCCGCCAATGGTTGCACCCCCGATTGTGCTTGGTCAGCAAGCGAGCGTTGAGGGCGAAGTGCCTCCTGAGGTTTCGTAGTCGACGAGCGGCATCGAAACGCAAGCTAGCTTACGGTATTGATGCGGGATCTTGATGAGTGTGGATCTGCTGATAACGGTAATAATACGAGGGTTGGGGGAGGGCCAAGAACGACGCAGTTATGTTCCCGACGTTGTCCATCAAAGCGATCGGACCTCCTCACTTTGAGTTCCAGAGAACAGCTCCAGCGTCCCGGAAAGGACTGGACCCAGTGCTCTCAGAGTAGAAGCCCTGAGCACCTACTTTCTTACAGTAGCTGCTCGATGAGCAAGGTTTCTCCAGCACTCATGCAAAGCACATCGCGCCGCAGGGCGGCGTTGATAAGCATGCTATTGCAGGATCTGACTAGATACGCAAAAATGCCACTGGATCCACATATGCAATGATCCTGCAGTGCGTGCAACAGCGCACATGACGTCGGCCTAGCCGCGGCTCGATTGGCCACTAGATCATAATCCACGAGTATGCAACGATGTTGCATGCATACAATATACCTCAGGCAATTGCCGTACAACTATAGCTGAGATTATAAGTAGTATAGTAGCCGCGACCTAGCTGACCATTATTCGGCTGCATATACGGCGTACATGATCGTGTTTGTTGCATGCGCGCAGTCATATGCATTGTATACATCGTCTATACTGCAGGATCACATGGTGGCCATGTGGACCGGTTCCGCCGGGCTAGTATCAGGTATACGGTAGCAACTTAATGCCATGGGGCCGGCTCCGAGCCTGCCGCCCAAATGCAGCTGTTTTCTGCTGGAACTTCACCAAATGATGATTATTCGTTGGCAAATCCTACGCAATTCACATATATCTCGGCAACTACATCTTCCATGCCATCTCCCTGTGGACGTGTGTCGTTATACCTCGTGCATGGTACTAATGGGTTCGAGACGTGTGACCCTACTGCACGCAAAACCTTGAATTAAAGGCCTTTTCAGCCCGAGGCGATTGCAGACAGACGAGGAGAACCGTGGCAGCAACTCGTTTAATATGAACACCATCGGCTTTAAGCGGACCGGCCTCCGTTAACAAGAAGAATGTAAGAACCAGCTAAACCATGAGGACTATGAGGACTGGTGCACTTTTCACTTGACTAATGGGTGGAGTCCTCGCAATGCTTCTCGTAAGCAGAGGCATCAAGAAGATCCTCCACGTCGCTGGGGTTGCTCAACTTCACCTTCAGCATCCACCCGTCGTCGAATGGGCCCTTGTTTACCTGTCAAAAAGCAGGTTCAGCAAACACATGCATGAGATTGCCTGCTTCGACCTTTATTCTTGGCGATTCCTTGTGCAAGCGTCATGGTATAGCGCGAATGTTACCACGAGCTTGATGAGCATAGTCTATGGTTTGTCTCGTATTAATAACAAACCGTGACCAATTGTTCACAGAAAGAGGTAGGCAGCAGGCCATCGCATACTCAAGGCCACCTCTTCACATCCTCATGAGCAAGAAGCACTGCATCGACTTTCATGATCGCATTGACAGACATCCCCAGACAGGTCCCTTACCAGAGCAGGTGTCTCCGTCAAAGAATCGTTCCTCTCTACCACCTCCCCCGTAACAGGGCTGTACACATCGCTGGCCGCCTTCACACTCTCCACAACCCCAAAGGTCTCCCCCTTTGTGACAGTCGCCCCAACCTCGGGCAGCTCAACAAACACCACGTCCCCCAATTCATTCTGCAAGAGAAGTCAGAAGAATCCTTTGGTGTCCAAGCTTTACTCCGGCGCTTCTTTCAAACAAAAGTATCTACGTTGAACCTGATTTGACGCCAGTTCATCAAGCATGATCCGGAGCAAAACGACGGGCTGCCTCGCTCATTCTGGTTTGGGCTGCTTGTGCCGGGGCGCAGACATCGTGAAGTGTCTGCCCCATAAAATTTCCCCGACTCGGCTGCAACTCGCTAAGCTGCCGTGAATTGGGATCCGCGGTAGTGCTATAATCAGGTGTCGAGAACTGTTCGAAGCACTGCCACGCTCCTGCGTCAACAGCAGATTAGCATGCTGACCTCGTGCTCACCTGAGCAAAGTCGCTGATCCCCACCGTCCCCACACCGTCCTGAACGTTCACCCACTCGTGCGATGTAAGGTACTTTGTACCTTGAGGGGCTGCAGCGGCAAGTCGATGTTTACACTCAGGTGGCTGGTTTAGCAGATTGCTTTCAAAGCTTTACACAAGAAGATTTTAAGGATATCGTGCCCTCTACTTTTCCTTCTGTGACTTGTAAAACTGCGGGCAATAATGGTCCGTCGGTCCACGTCTAGAAATGAGGGATGACGTGGAAAGGCAAGGTCACGAGCTGCAAGTTCTTGCTTCAATCACAATGCGTGACTTTTAAGTCATGTACCCCTGCAGAACTGATGGAGAGCCGTAGAGTGCTAGTGTGCCGGGTGTGTGCCAGAGCTTTCCATAGGCATGCCGGAGACATTCCAGCTTCTTTAGGGTTTGGCCTTAATGCTTCTCACACTTGTCAACATTCGGATTTGCGGCCTACTAACACTAAGAAGTCCTTGCAAAGCTTGCACAACGATCCCATCAAAACTGCATTTTGATGGAGAAGTGGGCGATGCTAGTGGTGCCGTCTCTAGTGTGCAAGGATCCTGATGCTCCACATTGCTAACGATCAACCCAGTGCTTTGCAGGAGACATGCACAAGGACGTCCAAAAAGCAAACCAGCTGCCCAATCTTCCGCCGATCCCAGGCAATCAGCAGAATTCATGATTTGGCAGTAAGACAGTAGCACTCCAAGAATTATTCTCCGGCATCGCCAAGCTGACTGAGCAGCGCCAGATTGAGTCTACCAATGCCAAGTCACTGGCCTATTTCGCAGAGGGTTTACTATGAAATGAACATTCTCGCTCACATGATCTTTACTAGTGCACCTGAAAAGCTAGTCAACTGTGTCACGATTGTGCAAAAACTGCAGAAAAATCACATTTAAGCGCCGCAGGAGGTCACATTACACATTTCTGTGAGAGACTCGAGTGTGCCAGGGCTTATGCTTTTGTGAAGCCAACAGGCTTGTGGTAGGTGATCAGAGCTAGCACCGAATTGTGACCCGATATTAGAATGCAAAGCAGGGAACCTCAAGAGAGGTCCAAATACAGATGAGTACACTGGCATTCGTACGACCAACCAACATCAGCTCGTGCACAACACTTGAGCAGATATTGCTGAGCAAAATTTCAGAAAAGCTAATGTGATTATCGCACGCACCTGTTGAGAACGGCCTCAGAAAGAACAGCAGAGAAGAAGCGGCGCCAGGCTGGCACCTCATACGGAGAGCGCCAACCAGCTCGGTTGCAACCATCTTGAGCGCCATTTTAATGAGGTATTTGCTTTCTCGTTTGAATGCAGCCACAAAATACTTCCAAGTGCTGACTTGCCGCCTTGATGTAGAAATGCAGAGCTCAATCCGCGTTCAAAATCAAGGAAGAAGGGAGCTGCTTCAACCAAGAACTCAATATGCACATGCTGCAGCAATGCGAGGAGTGTGTGGATGAAAGAGTTGCGTAACACTGTACTTAGTCTGTAACACCGAACTGTATTCTGGAGCAGATTGTTTCAACCTTCAGAGTCTCTATCAACCGTTGGATAAGAATTTACCTCTTTATCGCTGATCGGTGTCGTCGATCTGGTCCCAACTGTAAACGCCGTTGTCACGCGCCCGCGGGCGAAACGAAGCTCTCCGCGGCCGCGCTTCGCACTGCTCCTCTCATAGGAAGATTGCAGAGCCTTTCTCCTTCCTCTTTCGCCCACCATCACGTAGAGCCTTGGTGGCGGGTCGCGCCCCAATCAGGAAGCATGGGTGAGGCGCCGCTTCCTGGCCTTTGCATGGTTGGACATGCTGGATTAGAGATGGCCCGACTTTTGCCGGGCGATTGCAGTTACAGCTGAGAGACCGGCTGCAGGAGGGATTTCTGAAGGTCATTGTTCTAAGAGAAAGCCTTGGCCACCGATCACATGCTTATGATCCTGAGGTTCCTGTACGGGATTTCACACGATGCAATGGAGGCTCGTAAACGGGAGTTTATGTTCAAAGATACTGTCCAGTGCCCTGAATGTGCTGGCCCATCTGGGACCCCTTATATGGGTTTGGGGCGCTGATGGCATGCTGGCATGGCTGCAGGTGCGTACAAGTACATGGAAGAGTTGTGGAAGAAGAAGCAGTCGGATGTGCTGCGGTTCCTGCTTCGTGTGCGCTGCTGGGAGTACCGCCAGTTGCCGAGCATTGTGCGGGTGACGAGGCCCTCTCGGCCCGACAAGGCGCGCCGCCTCGGATACAAGGCCAAGCAGGTGAGTGAGAAGGTCATCTAGAGTTCCATGCTTTCCGTGGTCTGGCAGGCGTGTACCATTACCACGGCTGATGTGAACTTACTAATGCTCACCTTGGACCATTGGTAATGGTCTACTGGCATGAAGGGGTTGGAGGAGAGGGGAGAGATTGTGGCTGAGATTACGACGACCACAAGTGGGAAGGGATGAAGCCGGAAGGGATGAAGCCCACCCGGACGCAGGGCACGAAGCAAGCAGAATAGCAGCTCCCTATTGGACATCCTCAACCAAAGCTCAGCGCCCTGTTAGTGGCAAGGATCCTCTGGTCTGCATTTTGAGCAGAACCTCAGGCCGGGGATCCGCATAGTGCACAGCAAAAGCCTGCTTTAAACAGGATTAGGCAGGGTTGACATTGCCACTGGCGCAGAAGCATGCTGGTGTGGCCTGCAGAATTCACTTCAAGGTTGAGGTTAGACGAACTGGCCGAATCTGCATGATTCGGGGTAAATGCACAGAGATTGGCGTCTTAGAACAGATGCAAATCGGTGGCAAGAAGGGATGGGCTGATTGGCTGGCTGGTAATGGTGCTCTGTAGGGAAGAAGTTCAAGAATGCCCTGTCGGTGCGGGGTGCAATTAGAAGCAGTTGCTAGCGGCTGGCAGAGGAAGTGATGTTCAGCCTTTGTCAATCGGGCAAAGGGTTTCTGCAAGGCATAGACGCAGGAACAAAAGGAGCAAGAGAGATTGGAATTGAAGACCTGTAGAGCTTCTAGTATTTCCTGTGCAGAGAGTCACGTGTATTCCCACGTTCATTTTGAGGAATATGAAGCGCAGTTCGTGTTCAGTTTGCACGTACTTGCTCTGGAGCAGCCGTGTGTCTTGGTGGAATTACCTGGCCAGCAGCTTAACACGTGCCCCTTTTCAGTGTGAAACTGGCCAGCTAGTAGGAGGTCTTCAGTCACAATTGGCGTTGCTCGGCTGTTCCAGTGTCGTTGCTTGGTACTTTTGCAAGGTCTGTGGTTTTGCAGCGCAATCTGCCTCGAGGTTTGCCCGTTCTGGCAGGAGGCTGGTTTTTTTGCACTTCTGAACCAGTTTGCAGGAAGCTTTCGTTCAGTATCATATAAGGATATCAAGAACTTCATTTCGTTGCTTCATACTGCAAGCTTGACATGCTTGGGCTTAACAAAGCTATGATCAACAAGCTTTGGCTCCTTTAAAACTTCTATTTGCGGCCGTCTCTCGTGACTCTGTGGACCCTCTCATCTCTTAGAGCCCCAGAGCGATAGCAAGCACCACAATGTCTCCGAGCACGCAATTCAGAATTGTGGCATCCAAGTCTCCTATATTTACCCGACACTATTCAGCGGTTGTTCCACAATCTGACTGCTCCATCCCGCACATTCGCAGGGCTTTGTGATCTACCGCGCGCGCGTCCGCCGCGGTGGCCGCAAGCGTCCCGTGTCCAAGGGTATTGTGTACGGGAAGCCGAAGCACCAGGGTATCACGCAGCTCAAGTACCAGGTCAACAAGCGGTCCACCGCTGAGGAGCGTGTTGGGCGCAAGTGCGGGGGCCTCCGCGTGCTCAACTCGTACTGGATCAACCAGGTGAGGGGGGTGTTTCAAAAACGTCGTTCTTCAGAGGGTCCGCTTGTCTGTGGTGGACAGGAAGGGGCAATGGAGCGGGGCAAAAAGGGAGAAGAGACTACTTAGGCTCAGACTGTTGTTTTAAGATCAAAAGGGGTTTTGCGGACCTGTCAGCCGGGGTACCAAGGGGAAACTCTGGTGAGGTGTTTATTGTAATTGGCCTGGCATAAGAGGGGGTGTCACGCGCTAAGGAGAAGAAGGCGCTTTCATGTTGTGGCTGCCTCCAAAAGCAAGCGTAGCAGGGTTGCCCTTGTTTTTGAGTCATAAGTTTGGGGACATGTGGCTGCTTTAGCAACCTGTTCAGGAATTTACACCCTTTGCTGCAATAGCTCTTTTGAACCCCTTGACTGGAAGTAGGGCCTCTGAGCTTTTTAAACGTTATAGCGCTTGTAGATTCGATCCCACATAATGTTCAATGAGTCTGCTTACTCTATGTCCACAAGCGATCCGTTCTTTGCTGCATGCATCCTTACCTGCAGCTGGGAGCTTGGAAGTATTCTTGTCCAATCATTTCTTCCCGTAATCACTGAAAGATGCGCCACAGGGGTCTTACTTCGGCTCCTCTTGTCTTCCCGTCTTCGCCTTATCCGATCGTTGCCCCTTCGATCTTGGAAGTCGATGTTGAGATTTTGTAACATGATTGCGTTTTCCTCTTGAAAAGATTTGAGTACGCGCTTGTTTAGTTCTCCTCCTGCTTTGGAGCTTTTTCACACATGAGAAGCCCCAGCTCCGGTTACCGCTAATCCACGTAAGGATATTGTACACAGAGTTTTTGATGTATCTTCACCTTTCCACAAAAGAGAGGCGCCAGCTCCGGTCAGTGCTGCTTCGATTGCATTTTCTATCTGAGAATATCGTTTTATCGAAAACGATGTATCTAACGTCGCGTTCCTCTGCTCCAGGACTCCACGTACAAGTATTACGAGGTGATCATGGTCGACCCTCACCACAAGGTCATCCGCCGGGACCCTCGCATCAACTGGATCACCAAGCCGGTCATGAAGCACAGAGAGCTCCGCGGCCTCACCAGGTAAGGGGCTCACCACGTTTCTCTTTTGGCAAGCATGTTTCTTGTCTCCAATGTGTCGATTGGCACCTTGAGCAGGGTCGGGGTAGCACCTGCATGACTATCATGATGGTCAAAAGCCAACGTGATTTGGAGTCGACTAAGTTTTGGATGTTCGAGGGTCAGAAGAAGCGAAGGTCGGGGACGGATTTGAAAGGGGAAAACGGTTTTGGGTCCTAGCGTTTGACAGATCGCTGCGATGCAACAAAAGCCAGTTGCAGTCTACTTCTGTTTGCTTCCCGGCCTCCCTTACCGCCTTCCATTGGACAAAATGGAACACTGCTCGTCTTCTATCTTGACCTGCTGAGATTCATAATGAATTATGTTCAGAGGTTCGGAGGCAGAACCTGGATATAGCAGTCACTGCCTCTGGAAAATTAGAAAGTTTCTTCTTACCAAGTCCGAGCGCAGCAGACAGTTTCGACGATCTTCTTAACCATATCGTCCCTTATGGACCCACCTTTTCTGTTGTGTCAAGGAGGAAGTTGAAGTCCGGCGAGCTGAACCATATAGCGTTTAATTCTTCAAGAAAGAGATGCTTATTATGCTTCGTTTACAAGTGAAGCGGGAAGTGGTTGTTCCCGTCGCGGAAGGTACCCAGATATTGTTGAATTTAGCCCGCATTCCTTATCATCATTTTCTCTCACCATTCTTTATTGTCTTCTTGAGCGCAATTTTTGAGGGAGGAAGATCCAGAGACCGAACTTTTCATTGAAAGCTGGCTGCTGAGCACTCCTCATCTCGTGTGCAGCGCTGGAAGGAAGCACCGGGGCCTGCACGGAAAGGGCCACAACTACACCAAGGTCCGCCCGTCCGTTCGCGCCACATGGAAGACGAACAACAGCCTGTCTCTCCGGCGTTACCGATAGAGGGATTTGGCTGGTCGTTTCAGAAGTTGACATCCTGGATTGCGTTTTTCATGTCCTTCTGGGGAGCCAAAGCACCTCTCACCGCCCGTTTGTTGTTGCCAAAGATGTGACGAGATTCAGTGTGATTACATGCTCCACATACTTGGTGTGAGCCTGCTTTTAGCAGCTCAAACGAATGACGACCGCCTCCAATGCTTGCCCTTTGTGGTGTATCCGATCGATATGCATGATACAACTCCTGCCCTGAGCATGTAAGGTCCTCGAGGATTGAAACTCATCATAGGTTGAATGGTATGCCAAGCTATCGAATAGGCTTAAGCAGAAGCAGCCGATGGTCCCGTGGTATTTAGGTGGACGGATGACGATGTCCCGGCCCATGCAGACCAGGAGGCACCTCACGAGCATATCATGCACCATTAGTATGCCGGAGTCGATTCCTTTCAATTGCAATTTCCCGGGATATGGATGCAATTATTGCACTAGCATGACCCGCCAAGCAAGCTGAAGCGCTCTTTTCAGCAAGCTCAATGATCTGGCACGCGGATTACATCAAGCTGCTAAAGAGATGAATTATATCACAGGTGGGGTCCCACTCACAGCCAAGAGATACAGGGGAAAAGAGAGAAAATAAGAAGAAAAGAGGAAGAAAGAGAGATAAAGAGAGCCGGTATGACCGGTTTTATAAGACGATATCAGACCATCGAGTGGCCCCCGGACAACCGTCCGATACAGATATTGATTCATTATACCCGTCCGGGATCTCTAGAAAGTCAAGAGTGACGAAGGAATGACGTTGCATCAAATTCTATTTCCGGCGCCTCGGACCCCGGTCTATGATCGACACGTGGTCTTTTTGACACGCGGCCCAATCAAAACGGCGGATCTTATGTCCATGTCCCTATCTGAGTGGGACCGAAAAGCCATCCTCGAATTAAGCATCCTATCTATAATGGGCGAAGCATCACAGTACCACGAGCAACACTCGTTCCAGTTTTCAAACCCGAATATATTAACGATTCCACTTCTGTATTAGATCGCGTCAAACCAAAGAAGCCACTCATTGTGTTGCTTTCTAGCCGCTCACCTCAAGATCTCACAATACAAAGAGCACGAGGGTCATTCGCAACAACTTCTTGCACGTAACTGAACCGAGTCCCATCAAAGTTGCAAAATGCTTCTAGTAAACAGCTTTGACGTGCAGACGCATGTTTACCATTTCAGAAGCTATGTCGCGGTTGTCAAGGCCGAGTGATTTATCGTCGAAGAGATGTAGTGTTTCAACATGACAACAGCACCGCTCCTTCTATTTCGACCTTTCAGCCCCTGGATTGGTCAGCAGAAAGACCGTGGGACAAGAGCCGAATCGGGTCCACCTCGGGGAAGTGCAGATGCTATCAAACACTTGATGTCAAACTGCTCTCTGGCTGTAGCTCAATCCTCGTCCTTCTCCGGTGGCAGGCCGCAAGGAAGCAGCATTTTCTGGAAAACCAAACAAGGGCAGAGGAGATGAGCAACAATTGACTGGTAAATTGTAGCTCGCACAGACTTTTCGCTCTTTCCAATCTTGGAAAGGATCCAGTATGAGATGTGCTGTGCAGACAAGTGGGGCTATGATTGTTATGGAAGCACTGATCTGCTTATAGAGGCAGGACGCTCTAGTTTTGGTGCGGGTCAGGTGGTAGAAGAGTAGAAGCTAATCAAGGCTCTGGTCGCCAGAAAGACCCTTTGCACGTCAGAAAACGTTGAAGCAGACGAGATTTGATAGCCTCACGATGGAAAAGAAGTTGGTCAGCTTGCCTGCATGAAGTTGTACTTCTCCCTTCCGATGGACTCATTCTCCGCAACCGCGAAGTATGCTAGCAGGGGGTAGTGACCCACATAGGAAGCATAGCTGTCCCGCTGGATGTTCACGGCCCACTCACTGCATTGCAAAGTGCAAAGCTTTGGGGCCTCGATCTTTGTCACCCAGCCAACTCAATCACAGCAAAACGAATGCATAAATTTCTTTTTGCTTTCTCTGCACTTTAATATCAATTGAGAGACACTGCAACAGCTATCACGAATTCCAAATCTGAAGCAATTTGAATGAGACACAGAAGGTGCAAGCCAGCCGGCCAAGAAGTTTAACACTAGTTAAGATATGACCACAAGCTGGCCAAAGCAGATGTCTCTCACAATCGGCTCACGTCCGCGTGGCCAGTCCCGACATACTTGGCTTGGAGGTGTTCCAATTGGCTGTTGATGTTGAACCGATCGCTCGCCTGAACACCCGACATAAGTCAATCTACTTTATTTCCGATGATACGGCTGCCCCTTGAGTTCCTTTCAAACAGCACTTTTGGAATAGCAACCGCCGACTTCGCCCCGAAGCCCTTAGGTCTCTCAAAGAGCAGGCCTGACTCAGCCAACATGACAGGAAGAGGAGTCATTTGGTGCACCAGCAGTCATCACTAGGGACATAAAGTGGAAGGGTCGAATGATAACTCAATGTAACGGTGGAACATGTTTGTTGTTTGGATGCTTCGTCCGCTTGCAAATCTACAGTCGCCGTGAGGTCAGCAAACACTGCATACCAACCTCTAGACTATTTTTAACCGTACGCTGCTTTCATTGCGCAAATGGAACTTACCTGCATCTTCGCTACAGGAAGTTCGCCCAAAAATTTTGTTTGGTACCAGAACCCTGCTCCCCAGCCAGCAAATAGTCCAGTGATGCAAATACCACCTGCAGCGACGGTTGCTTCAACGAGCGAGCGTCTCGAAGGTCCCTGTCTCAACCCTGTCTCAAGACCTTGGTCTTCTGGCCACGTCTCAGGCCGAGTAAAACTCAAGGTGGCTTGACCCTTGAGATTTGCTCCTTGATGCGAGCTGCCAGCCCCCCCGTTCTGCAAGCCACCTTCCCAGTACTAGCGCCGCCCCCTGACGTCCTCCAGCTCCCAATGGCAACACAGCAGCAGCAGTGCTCAGTCCTTTGACATCAGGCCAGCTCTGCTGTGTGCGATATCCAGCGGATTTAAAGGCAGCAGAAAGGCTCCGAAATGCTCCGAAATTCCCCTTGTATATTTTTGTAAAATTCTGGCAGGTACTATTTAAATATAAGAACCGGCAATCGACCGGCTTCTTGGGCAACCCTTTAAAGTTTATAGGCAGCAGCTCCTTCAGCGCCTGCCGTTGGCGTCACCGCGCCAAGCGACAACGGTATGCCGCGGGCTGCGGTAACGGGTGCAGCAGCCAGAGCTATTTTGAACAAGTCCCCTCGATAAGCAGCCAGACTTCCATTCATAAGCTCTTGAATTTGAGAGCTATCCAAGTGGAGCACTGTCCAGCGTTACCCAATCTGGGCTCCTCAGGCTCAGGAGGACTAACATTTCTTCCGACTGAGGCCCAGAGGGAGGGCCACAATTCCAATTCAAGCGCCAGAATCTGCAGGCTGCAGCCCGTCGCATCTTCTTGGAGTTTTCTGATCATCTCCTGAACCTCTCAGCTTCATCCATGGCGGGTTTTGGGGATGGTGAGAGCAACCACTCACTGCATTTTGTCGCGTGCATCTTAGGATGTCACCGTACAATAGACTGTCCTGCTGATCCATCGTTGCTAATGGAGAGATGCATTTCAGCAATGCATAATATTGTCCCTGTAGCTGGAAACTTAGCCCCTAGGCCCTTCTTATCTTGTTGTCAGAAGCTTCCAAGAATCGGAGGACAGCAACAAGGGAAGGGCAGCAACGAGGCATTGTATCAGCTCGCGGGGTTGTATTTCTAGCAATGCTTTCCTTAATTTCCACTCTTCCTTTGATCAATCCTGATCAGCAAGCGGATCACCACCACTGCAAAAAAGAGGATAGAAGGCAGTACAGTTGAAGAGTCCACTTCGCTCATGAGTTGCTCAACAATATCATGAAGGCCAGCGGGCTGACAATAACCAGGGCCGCTGTGCTTTGCTGTCTTCAAGATGCATTGCAAACATTGCGCTACAGGTCCAGGGAATCTCTGTTAACATGCCCCCACCCTGTGCAGGCTACGTTGGGAGCTTCCAGGATGTGCAGAAGATCCGGCGGATGGAGAAGAAGCGGGAAGAGGACAAGAAAAAGATGGAAGAACTCAAGAAGAAGACGGCGGAGGGGGCCTCCGGTTTGCTGCAATTTGGCCAGGGCACGTCTGAGGTACTGATTCTCTTGCATGGGGTGCCTTGGAGACGGGGAGTGAGAAGAACTGAGAATCTCGTGGACGGTTGGTTAGAGGCCTCAAAATCATAGCCAGCTGCTTGTCGACTATTGGAACAGCTTATGTTGAGATAGCACGTAGAGGGCGCCACTTCAAGAAGGAAGTTCTGCATCGCAGCGGGGGGTCTGAGAAGGTGGAACTGATTGTGATTGGTGGTATCATCCCGCGCTTGAGCCTTTTGAATGGTGGTGTCATCAGGAAGTCTTGAAAGGTGACACTGCACCCGCTCCTGTGTTCACATTTTCCCATTCTTTTAGCTTTCCATTGAACACGTGGTTTGCCCGAGAACCTTCAGAATAGCAATTCGCTGACATAATCTCTGCAGATTCTGGAAAGTGCCTTCAAGCAGCAGACTGTGGGCCTGGTAACGCGGGATGAGTTTGTTGAAAAGGTAAGCCTGCTATAGCGCGGTCTAAAAGAAGGCTTGAAGTTCACAAATTGACCGGTTGTTGCGACTTTCGTTGGCTCTCAGAAACAGATCTGGCATGGGTTCCCCTGCCGTGCATTGATTGTTTTAGATCCAGCCCTTCCACAACATCAGTGATGTTCTGACTGGCCGACTACAACACCATACGATCTACACTTTTCGCTTGGGTAGAATTTTAATCCTTACAGTGGAGCGGTCTCCGTATGCAGCTGTCACAATGAATCTTTCCTGAACGGAGCAAAAGTGTCTCCGTGTAACAACAGCCCCACCATTAGTAAGGACATAAGTAAACGGATAAACAGTGACAGTTCATCACTGTCGCAGAGGTGGTTTGCATCCGAGCCTCATCAAATCTTCTAACAACAGTCTTGCACTTTCAGCTCTGTGTTCACAAGCCATCTGTGCTTGAATTGCAGAGAGCGACTTTGCAACAGAAGCTCGACGAGGAAGAGAAGCGGAAACGAGAGTTGCAAGAGCAGTAAGTGCTTTTTTGTGCCTGCTTGCACAATGATAACGGACCCACAATCACTTGTGTTCTGTCCTCTGGTCCATTTCCCGATTGACTGGCTGTCATCTGTTTGCCTCGATGATGGCTGAAAACGTTTCTTTAGCCCTTTTGAGATGAGCTTACCTCTGAACGATCTGTAAGTTTGTCGTACGATATGCACCTTTTGTTAATCCTAACGTTGGCCGGAGAAGGCAGGCTACTGAAAAAGCTTGCCATCTTTCGACCTTGTCAGGGCTGAAGTTGAAGCGAAAATTAAAAAGAGGAAGAAGAAGAGTGCACAAGCGTCCAAGCTCTCTTTTGCCGAAGATCTGGACGAAGACGAACAGGCGGAAGCTGCAGAAGCAGGTGAGATTCGCCTCGGTGGTTCTTTGAACTAGTCGAGTTCCGTTGACCGCTTCTTGTTCTCTCGAGCCCGGATACCTTGAATGCCGTCCGATTACCTTTCTTATTCGACCCGCTTTTTTGCTTTGTCAAGGGACTGGAGTTGCTTTATCCTAGATGTTTGGTGACAAACGCACGTTTCTACTTTGGATACGGTTGGAGGGGCATTGAGCTTGTCGGAGACATTTGACGCAGTTCGAGAGGTTTGCATAATTCGCTTCTTGGTTACTTCTAGCTGGTTAACAGATTGTCAGCACAGTATGGGAAAGCGATGATTCTAAGGCGTAGGTCTTCGAGCTTCGGTTTCTGATCATAGGGGCCCAGGTTCACGTCCTGAACTCGCAGTCTGTGACTTCGAATCGCAAAACAGTCTCCTTCGAGGTCATGTCTGCAGTCGGCCGAAGGTTGTGAGATCTAGAGGAACGCGCTTGATGCGTCCACTTCGAGATTGCTGTTTCTACTTGGTATATCTGCTTGACGTACATTTGGACTCTGATTGTGCAATAATGTGTCGTAAAATGGTGGCACGGCGAGACATTCACGAGCGTACTTTGAAATCGGTTGTGCAATCGTCTGGCCTTGTTGTCGAGGTTTGGGGCGATCGATGGCTGCTGTTTTGTGAAAGTAGGGCAATCAACGGCTGTTTGATGTCGAACTTAGCCAAATCGAAACACTTCTCTGGGACGTTTTTGGTCAGTGGTTAGCCCCAACAGACAACCTGCCGAAAGGTTGCAGTGAACGAACGAGATAACGGGGCAGTCATGATCGTCTTGGATACTTGCAGGTATGCCCTCTAGTTCGGAGCGAAAGCCCGATAAGAATGGTGAGTCCATTTGTCTTTGATAAGGTTCAAATTTGGACCACAGCTGGTTGGTCCATTACGTCCAACTTTTCTGCGGCGTATGTGTAATCTCAGTTGGTGCCATCAACGTTTTAGTATGCCAGCATCCGACGCTCGTTTCTGACTAAGAGACAGACAATCAGAGCTGCGAGTTGTGAAGTTGTGCTCTGTCATCCCTCACGTGCTGCGAGAGAGGAACAACGCAGCCCACCTTATCAACGTCGAGAGCGACGTCTCTTTCTTCGAGCGAGCCGTTCTCGTATCATGTCAGTATCACCATAACTGCTCATCATTGTTCAAGTAAGCTCTGCGTGAGGCGCGACATGACGTGAGCTTCGGAAGCAACAACCGCAGCCTCTCTCAACCTTTTATTGTTCCACACACTGCAGTTGAAAAGAAGGCCAAGCTGGGCAAATTCGGAAAGGACCCCTCTGTCGAGACAGGCTTCTTGCCAGACAGGTAAGCTTCACCTCTTGAGCACGTTGCCGTGACGTCCTTCGTTTGTGCGTATCAAGTCGTGCAACACAAAGGACCTCAACGTTGTGCGTTACGCTCAAGTTGAAGCAGAAGCACGCAGAATGCTTGGACGCTGGAAGACATGGTGTCGGACACTTGTGCAAATGTACCCGGGTTATTGAAAAGTGGTGCAGCTTCACAAGCTTTTCCCCGTTTTGGATGCCGGTGCCGCACTCCCAGATGTATGATACACGCTCTACTTTTTTTATTTCCCCCCAACAGTTGGCCTTTCGCTGTTTGCTTAACATTTCCGCTTTTCCATTCAATTCAGTTTTCATGCATAATTTGAGCAGAATTGGGTGACTTTCTGCTCGGGGAAAGGTGCTCGCAAGCATCCTCGCACCTCATTTGAGGCGTTTAACCGTTGGCGAACCTCCTCAAGGCCGTTACGCTGCCGTGCTGCAGGGACAGAGAAGCCGCTGAAAGGGAGGAGCGAAAGCGGCTGCGGCGGCAGTACATTGCGGAACAAGAGCGGATCAAAAGTGAGCATCCTTCTTGAGTGCCTCCCTTGGGCCACACACACCGGTCAGTCATACCAAGATTGCCGAGTTTCGTCGGGCCTCAAGTATGCTGGCCTCGCTGTTTCTCCTTCGCAGGCGAGCCATAGAAATTACCACAGCTAATTCGCTTGGAATCCGTATCTAACCCCAAAGCCCAGCTTAGCCCTCCCGGTTCTCGAGCGCATTTACCCGCAGACAAGCCCTTTTCTTATGCTACCATTGCTGTAAAGGGTCGAACCTTCTGATCGCGACATTTGCCCAACGACCGCACGATTCCAGGTGGCTTCGGCATCTGGTTGAGTCACATGAACGTTGGCAGTTTCCGCAAAACTCATTCTGCTTCTCACGCTACTTCTATTCCGCAGACGAGCCCCTAGAGATCACGTACAGTTACTGGGACGGCACGGGCCACCGGCGGAAGATCCAGGTTCGGAAAGGGGACAGCATCGGCGACTTCATGCGGGCAGTGCAGGCGCAACTGTCGCCCGAATTCCGGGAGGTGCGGACGACCATGTTCGACAACCTGATGTACGTCAAGGAGGACCTCATCATACCGCATGTGAGTTGGAGTTCGCTAAGGTCTTTGTCGTTCTTCTTTTTTGTTTCTATCCTTCTCTTGTGTTCGATTGTGAGTTCATTGTCCACCTTTCTGTCTTCCTCTTTCTCCTCTTGTTTTCAATGCTTCCCTTCTCGCGTATTTGATATGAGCTGGTTCTCCGCCTTGTGTCTTCCTCTTTCTCCTCTTTTTTGTTGCTTTCTTCCTTGCGGTACTTAATGTGAGATGGTTCCCCGCTTTGTGTCTCTCACTTGCTCCTCTCTTTTTTGTCGCTCTCCCTTATCTTGTGTTTGTATCTCAACCTCCCCGCGCCAGTAGACCCGGTTCGGCTCCGGGCCATCGCGAAGGATCTAGAAACCTTTGGTCAGGGGTACAGAATGAGCTCTTGGACCATCTCGAGCAACGGCTAGGAAAGTTTGAGACCAGGAGAAAACAGTGACGTCGGGTTCAAAACTGCGGTCTGCCCAGGTTGACGCCGTTTTCTTGGTGTGCAGCAATTCACGTTCTACGAGCTTATTGTCAACAAGGCGCGGGGGAAGAGTGGGCCGGTAAGTGGAAGGAACAATTCTCAAACCAACTGCTTCGTTGCTCATTACCAGAGAGGTTGCCGGATTGTCCGTAAGCAGATTTGCTAAGGCTTGCCTTGAGGATGCAACAAATGGACCGTTGTTAAAGATGCCACTGTGAATGACGACGACGCTCGGATCTCGGAACGTCCTTTGTAGATGTATTCTTTGAACATCTTGTAAACGTGGTGTAAATGTTGACCATGCATTCGTCGCGGTCGTTCCATCAATCGCATGCCTTCCTCACGTCAGGACTGTATTCTCAACTGCACCAGGGATGTATTTGGTGATTCTCCCAATTCAGCAAGATTCTAAAGAAAATAAGCTGCTACTCTGCTACCTTAGAGCGACATTTTTAAAATTAAGCAACTGATAGATGGATTCGACGTCACCTTTGACGAGCACTCACGTCATCAACCCTGCATGAAACTGCCAATTGAATGTACTCGCGTTTTGCAGCTCTTCCATTTTGACGTGCATGAGGACATCCGGACAGTATCAGACGCCACGAAGGAGAAAGAAGAGGTGAGCAGCATAGACACTTGTGACTATGGAGAGATTGATCATAAAAGCTAAGCTTCATATCCTGATCAGTCTTCTCAGACGATGATTCTTATGTTACGGTCATTCTTTTTCCAGACGATATGGTCTCGTATGTAGGCTCTAGTGAAGCTTAGTCTTGTAATTGTTTTTAACCAATGGGAAATTTCTGTTCTGATTCATTAAGGGCGTGGTGAGCGCTATGAGAGCGCTACGATCGCTATTCCAATTTCCATCTGGTTTTTGCATCCGTTGTGACGGGTCTACAAGTGCGGATTCGTTCCCGAAATATGGGGTTTGATTTGTGAACATCTCTGGTTCAGATTGTCTTCCTAAGTGCTCATAAGGACTTTCCGTGGAAGGAGGGGTTGCAAGGCCTGCAAAGCCGTAGAGAAACCTGTCGGGGTTACGTTCTGTTATGCAACGTCTAGGAAGGGGCATAATCAGGCTAAGTTCAATCCGACTCTTGCTTTGTTCATAGGCAACTCTTGTCTGCATTCTTGTGGACTTCCTGAATCTGGAGATGCCTGTGTTACGATAGCTTCAGACTCACCTCGTTAATTCTCTGTTTCCGTGATCCAGTCTCATGCAGGTAAAGTCGTCGAAAGGCATTGGTACGAGAAGAATAAACACATCTTTCCAGCTTCTCGTTGGGAAATCTATGACCCAGCAAAACAATGGGAAAAGTACACGGTTCATGGAGGCGAAATCAGGGGTGTAAAGTGATCCATTTGGACGAAGTGACTGCAGTGCTAACGCTACGGGGTTAGAATCTTGTCCGAGGGCGCACCGCTTGCAGGACTCGCAGGTCGAGTAAGACAAGCCTAAAGCTACCCGGTCAGCCGTGCCAAGCGGCTAGCTCTGGTTAGTGATCATCCAGTGTCCCTCTCTGATTCAGACTTTGTTGCGGCCATGCACGACCTCCAGTGGCACACGAAAGTGTGCATACTCACATATGATTCCAGCTAGGTCACAATCAAAGTACACATGCGCTATCCAAATGGCTTAAGCCTGGGACCGCGCGCGCAGGCTCCGTTTCAATAACGCATGCCATTTGATAGCTGGGTACGCGGCCATATACCGTAGATTCAATGATTGCATTATGCACAAAGCTGGATGTGGCCGGCTGGACTCAGGAGCTAGAAGTAGGTAATTCGACTGCATGCTGGCCGCCAGCATGCCGGGCATGCATGTGCGTGCGCATGCATACGGTATGGTATATGCATGCCAGGCATGAGCTGATGCTTAATAGTACGCGTTCGATCCTGATGCCGACGTACTTAGTACTGGTTGAATCTTCAGCGATCTGAACTACTGGCTTGAGCTTTCGATAAGTACTTTTGGCTTGCTATTTCTAACTTGCTTGATGAAATATGTAATCATGGCGGCAGGATGCTCAATTAAGTCAGTCCGACAGTACGTACAGGCATGAAGCAGCTGAGCTGAGCGGAGTAAGGTCGCACCTCACATGGCAGCCTAGCATGGCTTTCGATCACAAAAGAAGCATGGATGATACAAAAGCAGAAGTCTCTGCAGGACGGCGGCGGCGTTTAACACATGATTGGACCGTGGACAGCTTCAATGTCAGGCCCTATCAGAAGCAAATCGTGTCGTTATCTTGTCCTGAAGGGTTGAGCAGCCCAACACCCAAGGTTAGCTCGCCGGTGTACCAGCTCTCGAAAGTTGGTCATAAGCACTAGTGGGAGGGAGAGACAAAATCTCCCATGGTTCCTTGGGCAAGCCAACAAAGAGCGACTCCTCTCCTTGTTGTCCCACAGGCCCCGTCGCCCCCGTTTCCGGTCCCGCGAAGGACCTCCGCAGCTCTTTCACCGACCGTGTAACCGGGACCTCAACACCGTTTTGCATAACCGTCTCGGGCCCGTGCTGACCGTCGCTGTTGATCACCGGGCTTGCCGCCTGTTTCGGGTTGGTGGAAGGAGTTTGCTTAACCGGGGAGGTTTGAGTAGCGAGACCCAAAAGGCCTAGCCTTTGGAGCAAGTCCAAGGGGTTGGCAGGGGCCCCAGCCGCAGACGTCACACCGTCTGCGGAATGTGCGGTGCCATTGGCTACTATGGGCACGCTGATGCCCGCAGCCACGTCCTCAGCCTGGAGCGGGAAAGAGGAGGAGTGAATGCTCTATTTGTGAGCGGTTCCGACATATTCATTTCATTCTGCAGGGTGGAAAGCAAGCCTCTGCTTAGACCTCCATTACATTGGACCGGTTCGGTTGGAGATGCTGACGTTTTCCAACGGAACCGGGCTTTACATTGGAAAGTTGCGGTTCGCCGGTCAGTTGGTTGTCGTCGTACTGGCAAGCCCCCCAGAATCTCAATCGATGTCCGCAATTCAAGGAACCGAAAACAGCGTTGACCAAAGGACCTAGGCTAGGTCCTTTGGTCAACGCTGTTTTCGGTTCCTCGATCCTCGGAGCTTCTCATGGTCTGGTTGCGTCAAGTAGTGCAGGCCGGGAAAATGGCACAGTCATACGTACTACGGTACTGCGGTACTACGATATCTACGATACCGCTAAGGGAATTCAGTTCGGGAGAGGGGGTTCGACACGGACAAAAACCGGGCCAGCCCAAGCTTCGGAAGGGCCAACGGCCGTTGGCCTGATGACGTTTTCCCAACCAAACCGGTCCAATGTACTGGAGGTCTTTAAACAGGGAATCTGGTGACCGAACGCTTTTCTTGTCGAAGCGGATGTCCAAGATCCACGCGTCTTGAGCAGCTTGATTTTAAACGGCGGATCTCCTTGCCAGTGATCAGCATCACTCCTTGAACGATCGAGATTCAGGCGATGTTTTCCAGTTCAGAGGTGCTAATGCATCATTCATTGACCTCTATTGAAGCGCACCCAAAAAGGTGAGCAGGGAATATGAAATCGATCCCGTCCGAGAAGCTGATACCATTTGCGGAATTCGCCCCTCACCTGCTTCAGCAGTGCCTCAACGCTGGGCACGTCCGACGCCCTCGGCACCGACACCGCCGACGATGACCTCAGCAGCGCGCCGGTGGACTCGTCCTGCGGCTTGGCGGGGCTCAGCATGACGTCATCTTCGCCGAGGGACTCGGCGCGCAGGAGGGACGAGTTAAGGGGGGAGCTTGGAGTGACGACGCGCGCGCTGAACTCCCGCTGGCGCAGCGCGTAGTGATCGTCCGGAACGAACGGCTCGCCAAGCCGGGCCTCCAGCTCGGCGCCTTCCAGCTGCATAAGACGGGAATCCGGGGTTCAGGCTTTGTGATAGATCCAGGGTCGAAATTTGGGTTCAAGGTTTGAGGGCTCGAGAGCTGCACTTTAGGGTTTGGCGAATCCGGACAGATGTACAGCAGGGAACGGTCCTCAAGGAACGGACGGCTCGCCCAAGCTGGCCCCCAGCTTAGCGCCCTCCAGCTGCGTCGATCGTGTTTCCATAACCAAGGTTCGAAAGGCTATGCTTTTAGGTCTGCAATTGGGGTTTGCATATCCAAGGATCAGAAGCGCAGCTCATAGAGCTCGGGAAGAACGCCCGTGTCGCCCAGACGGGCCTCCAGCGGGGCCCCCTCCAGCCATCCAACCAGCCAAGACGTAGGCTCACTTAGATGCGAAGAAGCTGCTCTCTCTCAGAAAGAAATTTCTAGGATTTCAGATGGACAAAAAGGCAGCGCGCAGCGTTGCTAAAGAGCACGCACGAATGGCCCAGGCTCACGTGAATGCCGCCCGAGTGCTTAAGGTTGCCAGCTTGCGGAATTTGTGTGCACAGCCGTCCGTCAACGTTTTTTTTCGTACAACCGAATGCAAATCTCGGACGTCTTGCAAGGTGTCTTTTACCGAACATCAGATCAATTGCTACCAGTGAGACACTTTGATCGATTGCGCGTTCCTGTCATTGTACTATTTCTGGGTGAATGGAGAGCTTTGTAACAAGGAAACGTTTCAAGTCCCCGAAGCTCACGGTCGGATTCACCCTCACCTCCAGAAAGCCAGCCGTCGCGGCTATTTTGCCCGCCAACACCGCGAGCTCGGTGTCAAACTCGGGGTGAAGGGCCGGGTTAGGCGGCCAAACCCGGGAGAAAACCGCCCGGTCTTCTGGGGAACCGTACGGCGGCGGGCGTGGAGCCCCGGGGACGTCCAGCGGAAGAAGGGGGGAGACGACTAGCCGCTCGTTATCGGAGAGATCCAACCAGGGACACCGCTGCAAGGGAGAAACGATCTTCTCGTGTTTGAATGCTGGCGGAGGTGCCGAGACAACGTTAGCTTCTGAGAGACAGACATGAACGATGCTCCAGGGCACCCAGAAGACAGCCGTTATAGTTTCTACAAGCAGGGGGAGATGACTAGCCGCTCGTTGACCGAAACCACGTGTCTGGTAGATTGAACTTGACGGAGACGCAAGAGAGGCTACTTGCGAGCTGAGGGAGTTAGTACTCTGGACGAAAGAGTACAGAGCGCGTTGACAATTAGCGAGTTGGTGTGCATGGTTGTCTTATTGTGTGTGTTCTGCCTTCGGTGTGACGGGAGTCTCCACACTGAAAAAGCCAGAAGAATCTTCAGGCAACAAGCGTCTTCCTTGTTACCCCGACCAATCCTAGGGCGTTGCCTCTTTGTTGGAACTGTCGTGAGAACATGTCAATCAACGCCCAATACCATTGTAATATTCCAGAAGCATCAAAGAAAGGAGTCAACAGAGAAAAGCAGCTCCAGAAAAGTGGAGGAACTACTTGACAGATCCACTTTGACTGCAACGGGTGAATACTCACAGCGCCTGCTGCTCGCATGAAGCAGAGTCGAGACAGTGCTTACCTCGTCTCTCAACTTATCATAAGCGGACAGCACGGACGGGATGATGTGAGAGAAGCCGTACGCTTTTGCCGCCGCAGCGAGCATTGCGGTCGAGAGGGTGAATAGGGAGCGGGCCTGGAAGGGGCTGACGGACTCTGCAGGAGAACCGCCGAATGCAGAGTTAACCGATAATGGAGTATCCGACGAGACATTGCCTGCGGTTCGCATTTCCCTCCGTGACGGACATCAGAGCAATCTACTTCCTTCTGGGAATCACTAGCACAATATATCTTTCTCGTCGAATGCTAATTTCGGACCGAGGTGGATTTGTAGATGCCTAGTACCAGATCGGTTCTGCTCAAAAAAGTTCGTTCGGCACAGTTACGCCGTCGCTTTCAACGACAGCGACGGTGAAAATGAGCAAGGCAGCAAATGGAGGGATGATAGTTTCTTGCATTGATATGAAAGGTGATTGACTGGTCATTTGAAAATACAGAAGCCCCTGCCCCATGCTTCATAAAGCCGTCATGAGCGCTGTAGACTTTGTGGCCAATTTTCCTGGACATGATTGCTGATTTCCAGCAACCCCGTTTCACATGACACTAAGTTTTCCCGTCAAATAAATCCAACCAAAGTGCTGATCTCTACCTCAAATGCAGTCAGTGACTGATTATTCTATATCGAGCTACTTAGATGGGTTTGAAAAACGCACCGTCGGCTGGAGATGAGAGAGATAGGGCCCGAAGAGAGAAGGCAAGACGAACGGCCTGTATCATCGGACTGTGATTCTTGGTCTGCACCAAAACAATGACGGAATTGAATCAGGCCACTTGTGACGCCATTCTAAATCGAGTTTGCCGATGCTACACAATGTGTAGCTGGCTGCTAACGAGTTCGAGCTACGTGACAGACGTGGATTCGGAGGGGTGCCGTCAGACAAAAGAGACACCACTGCTTTTGGCTGTATCAAAACCACAAGCGCACGGATCACAACGAAGCGGACCGTAATGTGAGCAGTACGTCAAATAGAGCTGATGTATCTCTTACTATCGGCAAGAGATACCATTAGCTATCAAGTCCACGTAGTATTACACGAATGGCACCCCTCAGAGCGCTTGACGTGGTCGAAGCTCGTCTCCAACTGGAAGGAAGCGCTGCGGTACTAACGCTAAACACCAAAAGCACTTTGGAAGCGGTTACAATAAATGAAAGACGTCTACACCGAGCTTACCTTTGGCAGAGTGAAGGACACGACGGCACTGAAGGTGTAGGCCATGGCTTCAAAGTTGGCGGGTTCGTTGTCGGGTAGAAGCGACTGGAGCCAGAGACTGGAGAGGAGGAGACACGCCTGGTGCCCACTGAAGCGCGCCAGGTGCATCTCGCCGTCGCGGCTATGGCTAGGAGGAGAAAAAGCAAAGGCGTGAGGCAAGAGAGTGCTGACAACAAAAAATGCCCGAAGTATCACGTAAAAACAGGTGTAAGTCTTTCAGGTAAAGGCAGACAGCTCAATGAAAAGATTACTGCAAGAGATTGATGCCCAAATGCGGGAGGTCTACAGCCTGAGGTAGAGTTGAAAACGAGCATCGTCATTTCATAGCAGCAAAACGTATTCAAGAAGTTCGACAATGTGAGGGAGACAGTTTGTACAGAGTGAGGCGGTCTATTCAGACACTACCAAACAGGATGGAAATCTTCGACTTTATAGATTGAAAGTCGTTCCAGCCGGGAAATCCGAACGAGAGCTGAGCAGGGTGAACTTTACTGATCGTATGACTGGCAAAAAGGGGGCACGCTGCTGCTGGTTTCGTGTTTGTCACCCGGAATGATACCGCTCCGTTTAAACATCTTGCATCTTGCAAGAGCCCTCCGCCCTCTAGGAACCCTCCCTGACCATGACGCACTCACACGCTCCCCTTCAGTCATCGTGACGTCACTTGCGACCGCTCACCTGCGGCGGCGGTCCCTCTCCGGGTGCGTTCCGTGCGCTGACACGTCCCGGATCTCCTGCGACTTGTGCTTGCCCAGCGTGCTCAAACTGTGCAAGATGCCGATGCTGGGGCGACCAGATCCCGTGGGTTGAAGCGGGGGGGTCGCCCCATCCTCGCTGCTACGCCCGCTGGCGGGTTCCACCTCTTCCTCGATCTTGCCCTTTCGCTTGGCGTCCTTGTCTTCCCTCTCCTAAGAGAAGGAAAGGACAGTGATCAAGTGTTTAGGAGGTTGAAGTTTGGGCATTTCCTGGGGGTTCAAGGGAAATGGCGAAAATGTTGCTGGGTTCTTTGGCGTCAATCCTCTCCTCGACCTTGCCCTTTCGCTTGGCGTCCTTGTCTTCTGTCTCCTGAAAGGGGGCGAAATCAGCAATCAGACGTCTGATGTTGGAACTTGAGCGTTTCCATACTTAAAGGGAACATGGCAAAACGGTTGCTGGGTTTTCGGCGTCGATTTGGTGAGCCCTTTGTCCTCAAGCTTGCCCTTTCGAGTCTCCCCCGGGGTGGACGAAAACACCGGTGAGACGTCTGGAATCGGAAGTTGAGCGTTTCCAGGATTCGAAAGGAACATGGTCAGATGTCAGCCGATCGTTGACATCAATCTGGTGGAGCGTTTTCTCCGCAATCGTGCCTTTTGTACGCGCGTTCCTGCTTTCGACGCAGCTTCTGGCACATTGCTTGGCTTCAAAAAGGAACAGGAAGAGACACTGAAAAGCGTCTGTCGAGATCCATTCAGACTGGCGCCTTCCTCTGATCTTGCCATTCCTGGATTGTCCATGTTGTCAATCCCCAGTCTCCATCTGAAAGATCAGAAGAGACCTCGACTGCCCAAAACCGACAGCTCCACAAGGAAAGACCTTCTTAAGCACAACTATAGCTTTAGTTGTGTCGCTCAGGCGCTTCTAACCTCCCGCTGTTCGTTGCTGATTCCTCTCCTACTGCCGCAACTTCTGCCAAAACGCCTCACGCATTCATCACACCCGTCGACATGGAAAAAGGAGCTGCATTTCCGCAAACCCAGTCTGCATTACCGACCGTACAAGCCCCCGCCACCTACCTTCTCTTTCCGCTTCCCCCCATCCCCCTCCTTCCGCGGCAATCCCGACGGCGCCTTCAGCAGCCCCCCTCTGCCGCGCCCGTAAATCGGCACAGTCGGCAGCAGCGTAATGAGAACTTGGTGCACGAGCACCCGGGTTTCCGCGTCCGGGAACATCATGATCTGCAGCAGCTGCGTCAGCAATGACTCCGGGAAGCTCTCCTTGAGCGGCCCGCTGACGTCAGCGACGATCCGCGCAAGGGAGAGCATGGCCTGGACCGTGCTGCGCGCGACGGAGGGGGGTGACGTCAGCTTCTCCAGGATGGAGGCCTTGAGCTCCAGGATGGTGCTGACGTCGGTCACCTGCGGACGGGAACAACGAAAACCAGGTCTGCTTCCCTTGCAATTTGCAACAGCAGGGACTCATCTGAGTGATTGCTCTAGGTCTCTGAGAAACTACGAAGCATGAGCGAGAAGCTTACTCTCCTCGAAGCGCGTTTCAGGAGGAAATTCTGGGCAAGAGTAACAGTCTCAATCGACCCGAACGATTGACGCCTGCGTGTCTGCGCTTCAATTGGGAGGAAGAACCACGAAGTAGACGAACATTTTGCTGGGGAGTCCATTTGGACTATCCAGTCTGACGCCGCACGAGCAGATGTGTAACATGTGTTGCACTGTGTCGCGCCCGCATCTCTTCAGCTGGAATTTGGAAAGAAGACGTCAGAAACTGACGGCCCTCGTGCAGCCGCAGAACGAGGATAGTGGGTCCGCAATTTGGTCTCTGAATTGTCCTTCGAATTATCTCTGAAGTCACGACCATCTCATATGGGCGTTCCATTCCTATCAGCGAACGCACCTTCTCAACGAGGCTGTAGCTCCTTTCGCTACTGGCCAGCTCAACAATCCCAATTACCGCACTTCTTAGCTGATCGCAGCCAAACAAACGAATGCACACCAACGCACCTTCTTCACCAGAGCTTCCAGCGCCTCTTTCGCCGTCGCCTGAAACCCTAATTCTTTCCGCAGCGCTTCTTGGGTCGCCTCTGCCGCGCCCTCCTGGTCCGAAAGGGCCCCCGACGCCTCGTAACTCGTGCGCAGGTGCCGCGTGATCTCGCCGATCTCGCGCACGAGCGTCAGCTCTTCCACCCGGGCCTTGGACTTGTTGATCAGCCGGACGAAGATGCGCAGAATTGACGCCTGCGCAAGAGGGAGAGTGTCTGACGTCAAAAGACATCCTGCCTGACGTCATAGAGTCCTGCGGCTGTCCGAAGCAAGGAGCGGCAGCTCTTCCACCCGGACTTTGAACTTGTTGATCAGCCGGACGAAGAATGCCCAAAACCGATGCCTGCGCGTGAGACAAAGGGTCTGACGTCACGCGACAAGCTGCTTGAAATCATGCGCCCATTATGGGCTCAAGGATCAGCACGCTGCTAACGTTTTACCCCAGGTTACCCTGCGTCCAGATCGACCGAACGCAAACCGGACACGCACCTTGCTGTCGGGTTTCGTCAGCGTATCCAGGTGCCGCGTCAGCGCCGTCAGCAGGAGCGCGCTCCTCTGGTGCCCTTTGTCCCGGTTCATCGTCTTCTGCATCGTCCGCAGGACCTTGTACGCCAGCCCTTCTTCGGACGCCCAGTGCTTGCCCGTGTCGAAGTACTGGAAGGCCGGGTCCAGCACCATGCGTGCAGTCGTGACCTGCAGGTTTTTGGGTTCAGGGTTCAGGAATTAGGGTTTGGGGTTTAGGAATTAAACCTCTTAAGGTTTACTGTTCAATGTCCAGAGGTGTAAGGGTTAGCAATCTGGATTGTTTTCGGGCACCGAGGAAGCCAATCTGCAAGCCCTCTTCTTGCGGCGCCCTGAAAAAGCAACGTCTTGGCTGCACTACCAGTAGCTTTTGGGGATGTTTCAGGTTGAAACGGCTGGCTTTGCAATCCATGCGATTGAATCGACCCCAATCGTCCAGTCTAATCCTATCTACGCATGCCGCCACATTTTTTTGGCACCCCACGCTGGATGAACAGGGAGGCCGTTGAGAAGCAACTCGCACTTCACACTCCGAAAAGATCACAAGACAGCGTGTGTGCCAAGTCATTGCATTCGCTACGGATTGCTTGAGGGCGCCTCCTCGAGAACAACGCTCAGATCGATACAGATTGATATAGTATGCACAAACTGGCTTCTCCAAGAAGAACCACAACCAAAGGCAGTAACATGATGAAGAATATTAGCCCCCGGCTTCCATTTCCACGATTTGGGCGTGCAGCTGTTAGTCTCTCTCTAACTCAACAACCTTTCAAACCGTACAGTTCGAAAAAGACATCGCAGTTCGAGTTCAAGCATATTCCACGCGTGCTTAGACCATACCTCCTTCGCCAAGCGAGCCAGATTCTGCACACAGAACTGCGCGTTGTCCCCCGGGTCCTTTTCTCCGTGAGGCGCGTGCACCCCCCGGTTCTTGTCCTTCATCTTTTCATAGGCATCCTTGACTGCCGCCACTGCCCGGTTGACTGGCCCCGGGCTGTGGCCCCCGTCGTCGTCGTCGTCGTCGACGAGAGCAGAGGGGGGGGCCACGTTGTCGAGAATTGCCGTGACGATCTGCGGGAAACGAATACAATTTGATGTTTGACTTGAATTGATTTAGCTCAGTGCCAGGGGGACGGTTGGGGTAGTTTGGTGGTTTATGGTGGGTATGGTTGCGGAGCATGTTGCACTTGGGTTCAAATTTCTCCTTTGGGGTGCGCCTGGGGAGGTGATGCATCTCAACATATGCCTAATTCGAAAGAAAAGTGAGTGATATCCGCAGGTATGGATGAGGAGAGGAATAATGATTGATGGCTGGCAGACGGTGAAGTGTCTGCATCCTCCCCAATGTATGACCATTTTGGTATCGTCCTGGGGATCGGAAGAGAGTTCACATCGTCAAGAGTTTAGCATGACCTTTCCAGTCGCGGTTTCTTGACGGATCTCGAAAGCGTTTGTTAACTGAAAGATTTGCAGCAAAAGCAATCAACCTCCGGTGATCAGTTCATTCAGACGCTGTTGGCTCTATTCACTTTGTCAGTGTCAGTTCCAGTATGCTCCTTCATAGAGTATCTTCAGAGATTCGACAGTTGAGACAGCGTTTCACTGCAGTCTAAGAAAAGGCTGAAAGTTGGAAGACACTGGGGGGTAAACAAGAGTGCAGGCAAGATGTGTTTGCGTAACGCACCTCCTTGAACCCTGGGGAGATGTGCGTCACCGAAGCCATGAACCAGAGCTGCAAAACGAATCCGGTTGATCAGCCGCCACGTTAGAAAGCTGTAAAGAAGCGACTGTAGTAGAAGGTACCTTCAGTTCGCCACTCTAAAACCTCGGGATCTGCCATCGATGTCCAGATGGACGTGCCCGGATAAGTTCTGAGCGCCAATGGAACCGCCAATCTCTTTGGGGGGGTGGGCTACCAAGGCCGAGGTCCGAAGCAGTGACTGAAGTCCAGCTTCTTCTATCACCAATCATGTAACACCGACTGCGTAATGAATGGCGTAAGATGCCCCTTTGAGTCCAGCTTCTCCTACCGCCGATCATGAAACAAATGCAGTAAGACAGCTCGGGTGGCGGGGCCAGTCTCGACTCAACCACGTGCAGGGGTTGACAAGCCCTGTGGAACACCACTTAGCAAGAAGCTGCTAACCGAGAGGGGCCTGTCACATTTCGGGAGGGTTCCTAGCCTCAAGATCGCAGTCAGAAGCTCTGTTGACACCTGTGCAGATTCGAAAAGCTTCTGCTCACGAGCCTGATCCCGCTTATAGCACGTTCACTTCAAAGGAGAACGAACCTTCCCCAATTATATGCCCCTCCCTCCAGACCACGTTCCCTGAATGCAGGGCGGAAAAGCTTACCATCTCGCCAATCCCAGCCAGCCCCGCTGCTCTGAGGGGGTTCCTTCGATCCTCTGGCCCTGTTTCGTGCGCTAGAGCGACCATGGCAGGCAACAGGTGATCGCACTGGTGAATGTAGGCCGAATCTTTCTGCAGCCGGGTACGATAAGAGTAAGTAGTTGGATGAAGAAAGGCAGGGTTGGCACACCCAAAGGCTGTGCTTCTGCTTCTAGTTAGATTACCAGCTTAACGTAATGTATCAGCCTAGGTACCAGGAAGAGGAGTCACTAGTTAGTGCCATGGGGGTTATGCATGGTGGCTACTAACAAAGAGTTTCCGGTCAGTTCAATTAATCAACGAGGCAAAACCCAGCACAAAATAGTAGAGTACCGCTTCTCAGGCCTGCCTCGCCTCACCTGATACCTGACAAAGTCCACAAATGTTTCGCATGCCAGGATCTGCATTTCCTCCTTCCGGTGCCTTAGCAGAGTTTGAATCATGCTGAGGGCGCTAGTAGCAAAGAGGGGCCTGCAATTACACGATGCGAGACTCTTAACATCATCAGAAGATTCTATGCTAAGGGCGAACGATGAACGGAGCTCTGCAGATTCACAAAACTCAGAAAACAAATTCTGGCCCACAAGACATCATGAGCAGCTGCGTGACAATATCCGTTTGAGCAGATCTCCAGGAGCGCTGATTGTTCACCGACGTGAGTACTGCAGTCAGAGCTCATAAGGGCACTTTATAAGATAATTCCTGGAGTGAGTGACTCCTTCAGCAGTGATGCATTTTGATCGGGCTTGAGCTCTGTGCAATTTTTGCGATTGCTAAGTGGTCACATTCCAACTGACGCTGACTTCCCCTTGCTATAGCTGACACAAAGTTGCTGATTCGTTGCCTCAAGCGACATACAAGGCGACAGAATCAGGACAGAACGCTTCCTTCTCAAGACAACTTACATCTGATCTTGGCAGGAAGAGAGCAGCTTGCTATATGTGCGCATCACTATTGTGACGTAGCCATAGCGCTCGCTACGCAGCTCCTTTACTCCGCGCACTTCCAGGCTGTTCGCAATCTGCACCACCAATGAAGATCTTGACACGTTCAAACAGCAGGACCACTTCGTGGCTGCTCATCTCACTTCCTGAAGCCAATTGATTCATACCGCAGCTCATCAACTTGCTCAATTTTAAGCGAGTGATGATCTCCTGTGTTCTGATTGAGGTGATATTCATTAGATGCATTCGACTCTTAATACACCCACCATAAGGCTCCCTGCTCAGCTAGTGGTGGATTGTATCAAATTTGGCAATCCATGAATCTGGCTTGGGGCCTTTTGGGAAACAGCTTTTCGTGGTGAGAGCACCGCAATAGGTAAATCATTGTTCTGCCCAATCTCCTACAGTAGGTTTCCAACGGGGGATCCCTTTGCCTGACTGAGCTGTCGGCCATTGATGTTCTACCAATTTCTCGAAGACATATTGGACACTCACCTTTGGAACACGCATTGGGTTTCGAGCAGCATACTCGGCCAACTTTCCAATCTTTCTGTCATTGGGGCTTGCATCCTGCAAGACGGGATGTAAGGTGACATCTCAGAATCACCAAGACATGACAAAGTGAGCAACAAATAATCCTGTTCTGCTCAAGCTGAAGGCTCCAAACCGTGGGTGCCGAAGCAAGGATTAATTGGTGCACGGTCTGTTGCCAAAGCCTTGAGCTGATTGCAAGCTTTCAATGAGCTGCTCTATGCTCAGCTGTCGGTGCGCATTCAAAACAACGAGCTGTGCTCACTGGAGACTTCGGGAATATGTCCGCCAGTAGCTTCTTGTACCGCTTCCCAGGCACTTTAGACTTTGATCGCAGCCCCGGGCAGCACGGGAACACCGTCCCGCAGCTGTTCATGCACGCATTCACCGCCTTCCCCATTGTAACCTACTTTCTAGTGCATGATTTACAGGGGTTTCTACCAGTTGAGCGAATCAAAGCAACTCTTGAAAAGGGACTCCAAATCTCAGGAAAACCCCATGGCCCCAACAAGCAATGAATCTTAGTTCAATGAAACACAAGGAACAAGGAGTGAGTCTTCTCCAAGCAATGGTCGCATGAAGATGGGCCTTGGCAATGGCATTGGAAGTGGCGGAGCCTGAGCCTGCTGAGGAGTCGGACAACTGAGGAGTCGGACAACTTAGGGTACCGTCATTTTGTAAGCGGTACCCCCCCATAATTGTATCGACCATTTTTGAAGGGGGTGTATTCCCAAGCCCCCCCCCCCCCTCCACCTGGCGGCATAAGAGGGTCTTGCAGCCAAAAACGAACGCAAAGTTTTTGCAAGGGCTTTGATAGGGCTTTTTTGATAAAGCCGCATATATCGCTCGGTTCGTGCATGCTGTAGAGCCCCGCAGGGCCGCTTTTCAGCAGTTTCAACGCATTTTGGGGCAAACTTTGTACGAATATGATCAAGAAATGTGGAGAAAGTGTGGTTAAACGGGGCTAAACGGGGACTGAAGGCCGTGACCTCTTGAGGTCCCAGGTGGTCCCCCCCAGGGACCCTCACTCTCAAAAACTCCTTTGGGTCCCCCCCCCCTCCGACCCTGGTCCTGCATTTCGGTCCAGGGCCCCCACCCCCATAAAATTATGGGGGGGTACCACTTACAAAATGACTCTACCCTTAGGACCAGGTAGGTACAAGGTAGGCACCTTTGTGTCAGCCAGAATCAGATTCTCCAGACTTCAGCAGATTCTCCGGTTGAAACAACTGGAGGGCGTCGATGCTTGCCCAGCTGGATCAATCGATTTATCTGAGCCGTTGAAACTTGAAAGTACTAATTGGTAAGAGGCGTGGAATGAGGACTCGTTATTTTATGTATGACTGTAATATCCTCACACTAGTTAGCTGCAATTCAGAGTCGAACTCGAGTGCTGTCACGTACCAAGTAACACTCTGACTGGTGGAATTCAAATTTGAACACTTTCAGAGAGGGAAGGTGTGAAAGCTCCTTGAGTCGTCAGGCTGCAGCCTTGCAGGGAGCTTCTGCAACCTTCGTGGGTGCTTGGCGCCCCATGTCCCCTGCGGCGGTGCTGTTGCCAGTGGTTGCCCGTGCTCATCAGATTAGCAGATATGCGCAAGCCTCGTATTGGGATGTGAGACTGGAAGACGACGAGGCCACAGGAGTCGTCTGCCGTAGTCTCTAGTATCCAACTCCGAAAGAAGATGGTGGTGTAATTAGAAAAGCCAAAAAGTTTTGAACGTGGCCTCAGAAAGTGGGGTTCATAGGCAGGTGGCAGGCATTGCTTGATAGGAGCCATGGCGCATTGTGCCCCATCAGCCCCTCTAACATCGGCCATCGAGGGCTTGGTCACCCCAGGGCACCAAAATGCAACTAGGCACATAAGGGCATCAATTGCACCAGGGATAACGACAGCTTCTCTGATGCACAGGGAACAGTGCTCTGGAGCTCTAGGAAGGTCCAGCCACTTTCTGGGAAACGCATGCTTGTTTGGGGCCCTGCATGAATCCAACAAACGAGGGCATCGCACCAGGTTTGTGTGTCTGTTTGGCCGCGGCAGACACGCTCCACCCAGTCCTCCTCAGCAGGACTTCAACTTCGCTGTGGTCGAGAGTAGAAATGGAAGAGAGAATGTGCCCCTCGTCAGCCAGCCGGTGCCATCACCATTTGCGTCCCGTGCTCAGCAACCCCCCGCGGCGGCATTTTTGGCAGCCATAGTCTTCGCCGGTATGGCCGTCCTAGCTGTGAAAGTGGTCAATCACCTGAGAGGGGGGCCAGCTCCTGCCATCGAAGAGAAGCAGCCAGCTTTCGTAGGCTACAAAGAGGACGCCGAGGCGCTGACCATCGCAAGGGCGCGGTTAGCGCAGGCTTTTGGGGACGACCCAAACGAGTATAATGGGGAGATCGTGGGGATGCAGATTGCTTCGATGATGGGCTCAGCAGTGGACTATCTGTATGCGCTCGCAAATGAGGTGGCGGAAGTGAAAGCAATGCTGGACGACAAAGAAGAGAGGCTGGCATTAGCGTACGAGAGAAGCAAGCAGGATGCGGACGAGAGGAAGGAGCTCATCCGCAGAATCTCAATGGCCGAGGCCGAGCTGGTGGAGGAACAGGTATGTAGCATGCCCGCTGTTGCTTACGAGAGAAGCAAAATGGCAGTAATGGGACCAATAATTAAGTCCCTAAGTCTCAAGTATTGCGATATACAATTTAATGGAGATCTTTCAGAAAGTATAGGCACACAGATAACAACAACAACAAAAGCGACTTTCCAGCGCATCTGCGCGACATGCCCTTAGCTAATCTGCTGTGACAGGATATAACATCTCACAGGAGGGAGCCGCCCCCTTGATTCACTCAAAAGTCATACCACCCTGCGGTTCCGAATGGGCTTTTGGGCGCCTTGTCCGCAACTTCAAAGATTGTTCCACTTGCTTTGCGCACATACCACCCTTCCAAGCTTTTGGAAGCAGTAAATGTGTGCATGAAGTTAAGCCGTCGCACCCCCTGCATTGCAGCTCAAGCAAGCTGCCGACAAGGCTGCCTTTGAGGTGCGCGACAGGACGCTCGATGGCGAGAAAGCTGCAGAAGTTGAGAGGCTGATAGCAAAGTAAGTGGAGAGAACCGCAGCTGCCACACCCTTCTGACTTTGGCGGAAACTGGAGGTCGTAAGTATCGTGCACTACATAGTGTAGTTGAAGCATTCTAACATCATGGTTGACGACAACCACCTTTTCAGAGGTGTGCTTTCTTACGTCGCCGATGGTAGAATCCAACTATTGTGCCCAGATTGGCAGTCGCAAGTGCCTTTACTTGTTGGGTCTGCAACTTATGCAAGCAATAACGGATCTTGCCAACAAAAACTTCCTTTGGGAAGGCAGTATACATCTTGGCGGCCCAAGACCTTAGTTGAGCACCAATCAGGGATCTAAGCACATGAACAGGTATAATAAATCAGTTGTCTTGAAGTGAAGCCTGTCGGAAGTCGCAAAAACATTTCCTTCTTTCATCAGCGTTTTCAAAATCAGGCATCGTTCGATATTGCACAGGTAAAATAAATCACGCCCCTCAGGAACATCGTTTCTTACACCCTTCAGAAAAGAAAACCAACCAAGGACAATAAATTGGTCCCCTTTTGGAATGAATCTTTCCGTGAAGACGACCATACAAACTGTCAGTGGACACCACACCAAAACGTCTTCTGGAATTCTGGGCAAGCAAACACGTTGTTCCCCCATTTAAGTACGGTCAGTTTGTCGCACTTTGTGCAGGCACCAAGCAGAGCTAGACGGGCTGCGTCTACAGTTCGACACCATGGAGAGGAACGCGGCAGAGGCGGCCGCTAAAACCATGAAGCTGAACGAAGAGGTACAGGCGCTCAAACGGGGCCTCAAGGAGAAAGAGGGGCAACTGGCGGCCGCAGCAAAGAAAGCCGATGAGGTGAGGCGGCTTTGGCAACTCGCATGCTCAGGACCCGAATTTAGAAAGCATTTTATGTCGACATACCTACAGGTGCAAAACACCCAAGTTAGTTACTCCTCGACCTCACCGCACCTTGCTAGATTCTTCTTTCAGCAGAAAAAAAGTGAGTGCTAAGGCAACTTTTGCTCAACAAAGCACGTTTCCTTACGCACAGCTGATCTTGTCGATACCGATGCACATCTACGAAGCATACTAAGTGAGTATCGAACTTGCTATCATACTCTGAGCCAAGTTTCTTCAACCGCAGGACAAAGCACTGAATGCGTCCCTCTCTGCCCGCCTCGAGTCCGCCAATTCCGAACTCCAGTCCGCCCTTTCACGCGAGACGGAACTCCTGGCGTCCCTGCAAGATACCACATCTGGGGTACAAGGGGCGGAGGAGCAACTAGATCAGATGCAGCATCGGCACGAGGCGGAAATACGCGCTGTGCGTGGGATCGCGCAAGCGCAGGCCAAGGGGCTGGAGGAGCGGCTGAAGGGCGCGCAAGACCGGGTTGAGGAAGTGCAGGCGTTGAAAGAGGCGGAGATTGCGGCGAGGTAAGAGGGTGTTTTCTTGAAAAGTGTCAGATTGCAGTATATTTGGTTTGTTTCTCAAGGATTTGCAGATTCGAACTTCAAGAGGAGCGGGAGTGCTGGAGTGCTGGAGGCTGAAACTCTCGGGTGGGTGAGAAATCAGTGTTACGTAAGAACAACGTTCAATAGAGTCTCTTTTGGTGTTTAGCTTAAGCTCTTGCTTTGCCTCCTCGTTCATTAGATGCCGTCCAGCTCCGACGCCTTTCGGAACGCCTGCATTGGTCTCCAACCTACAAGAACGAGCTCGTTTTGCTCAGTTCCATTTGACGATCATTACTTGTTCGTTTTCTGGCACCCGGAAGAAGTTTCTGGAAGCTTGTGTCTGTCAGGACGATGGTCTTCGTCTGCCTTCAAGAGCAGGCAATGCGAAGGGCATGTTGCTTTGTGGTCGCGCCTGTAAATTTATCGACCTCAAAGTTTCGCTCTCCTACTTCTCCTATTTTCTCAGCGGTCTAACTTCGCAAGTGGCTGCTTGCGAAGATTCTCGTTCCGTCTCAACACGTTGGCTTGCGCGTTGCTTATTGCTCAGAAGTCTTGCTCAGCCAGTACTTCACCCCTCGTGAGAACTTTGGGCTTTCTGAAGACAAGATCCGGACAAAGTCGTCTTTGACAGAAAGAGGCACCCCCTTGCTTGCCTGCCAACCGCAGAAGGAGATGCGTACCTATGCAGAGCGAATTTCACTATCAAGATTATGTTGAAAGCGGCAAGGATGGCTCTTGCTTGTGGACTTCTCCAAGCCTCGATCAAAGGAGGTTCCTCTAATGCCAACCTCAACTACCAACCTCGCTCTCAATCTTGTCACCCCATACTTTCCTCTCGCCCAAAATAGATGCTGACATATTCAGCTTAGCAGCTAGCTTTTTCTCTCGCCTTGCATCAAGCCCGTGTCTGTTATCACGGACCTCGTCTCTGCTCCTACAGTCCAATGAGTGGCTATCGTGTGACTTGTCGGGATGACTGAACCGCTCGTTCTTTGCCCCTGGATATCATTTACGGTGCCTCTAAAGTAGGACAAAACACTGCCCAGAGGGGTTCCATTGTCAACTGCTAACCTACTACAAGCTCCCAAGTCGAAGCCGTCCGTTGGCATCCCTTGCGCATCTGTACGGATGCTCCCGTCCGCTCTTCATCTTCTGATTGTATGATAGGCGTTGCTTCTCCAGTTTTAACGAACCGCTGTGACTGCGCACATGGCAACAACGGCTTGGTAGCCTTGACTGACGCCAAACGATACCACCTGTTTATCTGGCAATCATATGCTTTTCCTTCTTGGTTCTCGTTCCCCGTGCCGCGTGATGCAGGTGCCGTCTGTGTCGCTGTGTCATTTTTGAATGATATTCTACCCTGTGCGAGTATTGGTCAACAGAGTCTCTGATATTCGGTTTGCACTTGGACGGCTACGATTCTTGGTACTCTGGGCCCACGCTCAGTGCCTCGTTGAATTAGATGATGCCGCCCCGGAAGTACAGCCAACTTTGTCTCTCGATTTCCTCCTGCTGCAATCACCATCAAGCAGCCCGTGAAGCCATAGAGAGTATCTCATTATATTGTAGCCCCATATCAAGCGGGAAAAAAGGCCCAAAGACTTACAAGATTTCGATTCGAATGTTGCCGCTGGTGTTTGGTGACTAGCTCAGCTTCGAGCCAGACTGGCAACCATGTTCCCGGTACTCAAAAGACGAAAGATTTCAGAAAGAAACGGTTCAAGGTTTTGTTCCTGGCTTTCCAGAATTATTTCCCGTGCGCGTCGGCCCGCAGGCTTTGCTCTATCCCAGATTTGTCGCCCAGTATATCCGAAACCACCTCTTCTTTATGTCGAAAACCCACCGTTTCTTTGTATCGCGCAGGGAAGCAGCGGAGGCGTCCGCAGCGGAACTTCAGAGCCAGGTCGACCAATTGGAGCAAGACCTCGTCTTCCTCGAGACCAGATACAAAGACGCGCTCGCAAAGGCCAGTGCGACGGCTACCGTCGCTGAAGAACCCAAGCAGACCGACGCCATAGAAAAGCTGAAAGAAGCACTCGAGTCCAAGACCCAGCAAGCGGCGGTCGCAAAGGAGTTGGTTCTCCAATTCATGGAAAACGAGCGCGAGAAGGACTTCGAGCTGAAGCAACTGCGACGCGAGTCCTCGATGATCAAGGAGCGGCTGAGCGAACTAGAGGGGGAGCTCGAAGCGAGCGTCGCCGCGCGCATCGAGGGTGCGCTGGACGGAAAGGCCGCCAAGCGCGCGGACGGGGACGCGGGCGGGGAGGGCGCGCGCGCACGCTTCGAGGAGCAGCTCGCCGGATTCCGGGCGGAGTCCGAGCGGGAGGTGGTGGCGCTGCGGGCGGAACTGAAGAGCGCGCGCGAGCAGCTCTCGCGCGCGCGGAAGCAGCACGCGGTGGAGATGGAGGCGAGCCTGGGGAAACTAGAGCGGGAGTTCCGGGCGACGATCAACGAGCGGGAGAGCGAGCGGGACGGGTGTTTGCTGAAGCTGGGCACTTTGGAGGAAGGACTGACGCTGGAGATTGCCGCGAGAGAGGCGGCAACGCGCGAGTTGGGAAGCGCCCAAGAAAAGGTACGGCTTTGATTTTGACGTTTTGTTTTCAAAAGCACAGAGTCAGGTGCGAGTTTCGCGATGGTGTCTTCTCGGAATCGCCTCGTTTTGACGTCCAGAACAGACGGGCATCGACTTTGGACCCAGATACAACAATTTCAGACACTGTGGATTGTCGTGAAACCCTTGGAACTTAATTGATTCAGGCTGACGGATGTTTGCTGTTCCTAGGTATTAGCTTCTATGACAGGTTGGTATTCGGGTGTGTCGATTGTGAATGCACTTGTTTCGAACGACGGAAACACTTGTGTGTAGGTTGATTCCTCAAGAACCTGTCGCGCATCCATACTCCGTTCTCGTTCTTTGGAACACGTGTCTCGCCTTTTTCTCCCACTTTTCTTTCTCTTGCTTTTCTGTGGAAGATAAGCAGTTGGAAGTCCGCTCACATACCTCAATTGCAAATTGTCGACCTTTAAAGGTTCCACTCCAACCGCTTTCTATTGCAGCTCCACGATTGGGAGCGGCGCATAAACCTTCTCTGCATCTCACTAACCTTGTAGAGTTCCTAACTCAAGTGTTCAATTCCCAACCCTTTTCCTTTTGCAGCTCCTGGAGTGGGAGCGGTGAGCAAAGGAGATGGATGGCGCGCTGAGGCCCCTTTTCACTACTCTTTTAATGACCTTTCGATGACCTTTTAAAAGTTCAACTCCTGATTGTCTTCCTTTGCATCTGTTTAAGTAAATGCGGCTCACGAGCTGTATGCAATTGTCACTGACGTTTTCAACGTCCGAAACATACACGTTTTCTCTTTCAGCTGTTGGAGTGGGAGCGGCGAGCAAACGAGATGGAGGTTGCCCACGCGGCCGCGCTCGAAACCGAACGGGAAGCATCCCGGCAGAAGTTGGAAGCGCTGTTCTTGGACTGCGAGAAAGCGCGCGACGAGGCGCGCGAGAAGGAGGGCCAGCGAGTGACGCTCGCGCAGCAAACGGAGCAGCTGCAGGTCGCCCTGGCGGAGGCGGAGAGCAAGCGGGATTTGCAGGCGGCGAAAGCGAACGATGTGCAGGCGGGTGAGAGTTTTGAGATACGGGTATCCGCCACTTTCAGCTTTTGAGGTTTTGGCGCTGTACTGCGTCGCAATTGTAGGAAGCTAAGAGCAAGCAGTAATTGCAGGCGGCGAAAGTGAACGATGTGCAGGCGGGTGAGAGTTTTGAGATGCGGGTATCGGCCACTTTCAGCTTTTGGGGTTTTGGCGCTGTACTGCGTTGCAATTGTAAGGGTTTGGAAGCCAAGAGCAAGCGAAACCTGCAGGCAGCAAAGGTGCATGAGTTGAAGACGGGTAAGAAATCCGCGATACGGTTTGTTTCTACTATGAGCCTTTCCTAATCTTTGGTTCTGGATGAGTTGCGGAAGAAAGTTATTGGAAAGCCAAGAGCAAGAAATTGCAGGCCGCGAAAGTGAGCGATGTGCAGACGGGTAAGGGTGCGGCGATCGGATTTTTAGGGGATGGTTTAGATTCTTCCTCTATTGCCCTAATGTAGGGCGGTTTAAACCTGACGTTCTAAAGCATTCTCGGACAAACTTGGTTCTGGGTTGTTCAATGGCCCACAAGTATCGATTGTACGACCCATGTTATGTCACGTGCGACCTTTTGACAGGACGCGCAAAGTGGTATACAAATTGTATACGTGACAATATTCGCGAACGCACTATTCGCGACGTTTTTTTCGAAAGGTCCCTCTGTACAACGACTTTCTTTCAGTTTTCAGTAGAGAGCTCTAGCTCCTTACCTAACACTAAGTCCCCCATCTTTGACAGCCATACCCATTTAAAAATCCTGAAATCTCAAAAGCTAAGACTCTCAAGCCGACCCCACCCGTCCTAGTTCGGCAACCTTATCATTCTTCACGCTAGTACCATATTGAGTCCAACAAATCTGACTGTCCGCTTCCTTATAGCCTTCGCCTTCAACGAAGACATCGTCGAGGAGGCACGTGCCAAGCAGAGCCGCTACGAGGCCGAGCTGGAAGCCCTGGCCAACCAGCATGCGACACGTGTCCAAGAGCTGGAAGGTGACGCCGCGGCGGCGTGGGCCGAGCAGGAGCGGCTAGCCACTGAGCACGCGACACGTGTCAAGTCCCTGGAAGACGCCTGGGCCGCCGACAAAGCCGAGTTGGACGCGCTGGCCAATCAGCATGCGACACGTGTCAAGTCCCTGGAGGACGCCAGGGCCGCTGATGCTGCGGCGGCGCAAGCAGAACAGGAGCGGTTGCAGGGAGAGGTGTTGACACTGGAGAACCAGATTCGGGAACTCAAGGAGGCGGTTGAGGGCGCTGAGAAAGAAAACGAGGAGACTCGTGCTAAGGTGAGGACTCGTGAGTTCGCGTTCAAATTGTTCAGGGTTTAGGTCTTACATTTGAGCACTTTCAGGGGCTTGAAATAAGGGAGGACTCTGGGGAAGCAGCATTCGCTTCTTGGAGTGGGGGGGTGGTCGACAACGTGAGAAAGGGGAACAGAAAATGGGGCATCTCGTACAAAGTGAAACGGTCAGATGTAATGTCCTTGACGGGTTTGCAAGTGAATAGCCCACTTCGGTCTTTGTTCATCGGAGGCGAGAGCATCATCTCTTGCGCATGACGTGGGTGCTTGCAGAAGAAGTTCTTTTCAGGTTTTCGAGTGTAAGGTCAGTGCAAATCTAATTGTATTTGCCTGTCATCACTTCTTTATCGGTGCATACAAAGCAGAGGTTTACTTTAATGCAAGTATGGTCTATATTGATATGAGATCCAAGTCGGAAACCGCAGGTCTGTTTTTCAGCCGTTTCAAATTCTCTCGTCGCTCAGACGACGAAGTCTGCTGCCCATAAACGGTACACGAATTGGCTCGGTACTATTTGGAAACTTCTCTTTTATCTTTCAAGTGCCTGGTCCATGTGACACAAAGTGAACCCCAGCGAGGCAGAATCTGGGGCAGAGTGGTCCCAGACTTTGCAACCCGACGCAACAAAACACAACTGAGCGGTGCAGGAGTTTTTAGTACTCACTTGTCTCACCTGCCTCCAATCTTTGTGTGACAGGTGGCGCAGCTCGAGTCCGCCAACGCCGACGCCGCGCAGCGCCTTGCGCGGATGGACGATCTTGATCGGCAGCTCTCCGCCAAGGAAGCGGACGCCGAAGTGCAGCGCGACCTGTGGGCGCGCATCGCCGAGCTCGGTGACGTCATCTGGGACAAGGACAACGTCATCAGCGCGAAGGATGACGTCATTGCGGGGCTCGAGGCCGAGCGGGCAAAGACCGCCGCGGAAGCGCTGGAGAGGCTCGAGGAGACGGACGCACTGAAGGAGAAGATTCGGGCGCTTTTGGAGGAGCAAGATATGGCGTTGGAGGAGGCTCGGGCGGAGGGGGCGGCGGGCGACGAGGAGCTGACACGTGTCAGGCAGCGGTTGCGCGAGGTGGAGCGGGCGCTCCAGGGCAGCCAGGACGAGCTTCGGGGAGCCCAACTGGAGGGTGAGGAGGCCGTTAACGAAGTTGATTACGCATAACCATGTTCGCTCGAAGAAGTCGGTTCAGGTGACCCGTATGCCTTCAGTTTCAGAGTGGCTTCCCCTCCTTGAAATTTGCAATAGGCGTACCATTAGTTTGCAAAATTCGTTCGAACGCCGCGGCGGCTTGTGTGCGCTCACGACCGCCTCGTACCAACGGCCAGGTCAAGGGCAGTAGATCTGCGGGCACTCAAGGTGCAAAGGCAGGCCACTCAAAGACGTGCAACGCCTCGCTGATTGATCTATCTGGTCCTGTTCCCCAGTGTTGAGCCTATTGGATGTCCCGTTGACACGCTTCTCTTGCCCAGATCAGCAGCAGCCACACCTCTGTAACGACTATCGCCGCTATGACGTCAAGCCGCAAAGACAGTGACCCGTCAATCGTGCTCGATATCCTCTTTGCTTGCACCATCTTTCGGAATCACAGGCGAGTGGTCCGCTAAGCAGTGGCCACGATTGTCTGGCACAACGACAGAGAGATCACGAGAAAGCGGGTAATACTTGAAGCTTAAGCGCTGAAACGCGTCTTGTTTTGATCTGCAGAAAGGAGGCTTGAGCTCGAGTTGACATCCGCCAAAATAGCCTCGCACGAGCAGCGGCAAGCCTTTCAGCAGAAGGTGGACGGCTTGGAGCGCGCTCTTCAGGCGAGCGGATCCGAACTGCAGCGGTCGGCGGAAACGGAACGAGGCTTGAGTGACGGGATCGAGGAGGAAAGGAGGTCGAAGGAAGGGGCGCTCGGCGAGTTACAGGTGAACCCGCACCTCCGAACCGCTTTTGGCTGTTGCAGAATGGACGGTTAGCAGAGCTCGAGGCTGTCATATACCCTAGAAGGGCACAAAAAAGTCAACGTACTGACATCCAAGCGCTTCTGGTCTATCCTTTTGTGCGACTTGATGAACTTCTGTAAATCAGTGCCTGCATTCCGTATCGCCTATGGAAATACTGAAAAGGAGGCGCCCAAGGCCTTGACAATGAGACTGTAGGCGCTGCCCCACTGCACTTTTGCAAATTGCTTTGTCGAACGAAATAGGGCCCTATCTCGCCGCAGAGTTTCGGCGATGCAAGAGATTGTAGCTACGCCTTCCGACTGCCTACCCGTCATGATGGTTGACAACTGTGTGTATATATTTTTCAAAAGGAGGAGTTGATGAAAACCATCGCTACAGATATGGTATGCACTGCGCTGCTGATTATGACATATTCACACCCGGTCAGAGGACGCTTAAACTGTGCCTCAGTCGATCCGATTTGTTTCTGCTACTGCTGTGACCCGCCAGAAGGTCTTGGCAAAAAAGGAATTTGAGGTTTGGCAACCTCGAAAACTTTCGATGAGGAGTCAGGCGGAGTCGGGGCCAAGCCTAAACAGCTCACCTGGTCTCCTTGCAGGACCGAGAAGCGGCCATCACATTCCTTCAGCGCTACTTCGAGGAGCGTTCCAGTCTGGACGTGCAACTGTCTGAGCTGGGCAGTTTGGCGGCAAAGATCGAGGCCGCGAAACGGGATCCTGATGAGAATGGGCCCCAAGGTGTGAACGAGTCCGAAAGTCTACCCAGCCTCGAGGCGGAGTTTTCGAGGATGCTGCGGAAGTTTGAGAATGCAGTTGCCGAGACTGCCGAAACTTTTGGGTTTCTAAACGGAAACGGTCTGGAGAATGACCGGGGTTCAAGTGCGAGGTTAGGCAGGGTTAGCGGGGCGAGAAACGGGGTTCCGGCGCCGCGAGCGCTGGGTTTGGTCGGGGTGGAGGAGGTTGCGGGGTCCGCGCTGTCGGACCTGAACGAGAGATTATTCACAGCGGAGAAAAAGGCGGATGACTTGCAGGTGGAAATCCGCCAGCGGGTGGTGAGGCAGATGGAGTGGCAGGATGATAAGAACGGGTCCGAGAAAGCGGGCGTCGAAAGCGTGGATAAGAATGGGACGGGGGCTGGACCGCAGAAGTCGGAGATCCAGGACCGGGTCTCACAAATGATACAGACCTTGGCCGAGAAGGAGCCGAGCAGCAAGGAGCAGTGAAGAGTTTGTGTGCATAGAAATGGACACGTCTTGCTTGAGCCGCCCAGCGTTGTTTAGTATTCGCATAGCAAAGACGCGCAGAGTTGCGTAACATACTGCAAGGATTTAACCATGAGTTCACCATTTGGCCAAAGCAAGGACCATGTGTAATATCCACTAGGTAGGTCGATTGATTGAGTGGAGGTGACAGGAAATAACTTCAATATTGATTTTAGATTGTAGCAGCAAAAGCTTCTACTTACATGCATTGGACGCCCTCTTGATTGGTGTAGATCCAACTTCATCCATATTTATCTATGCGGGCACTGCCATGGACGTGCCAGAGCTGCTGTAAAGCTCTAAGTTCATTACCGTCTAGTCGGACGATGACCGATCTGGCAAAAGGATGTGCACATAATGATTGCACGTGCGGCACTGACTCCTATATGTATATGATACACCGTCGTGTATGCGACACAGGCGGCCGCGGCCCCGGGCCATGGGCCCACGCCAGAATTATACTAATTTATATCTAGAGGCCGAGCATGATATAATAAAAGTCGATGCATGCATGCGCAGTACCATGTGCATATATGCGAATAAATTATAGCGTATATATATACCGGTACTTCACGACGGTATACGTTGCATCATATACATAGACATACAAATATGCGGGACGCAGTAGCTACCATGAGGTAGATGCAATGATGTGCAGTGACATGGTATTAAGAAACATTGCCGTGCCCGCGCGCGATTTCACATATGACATGCACTGTTGGCACGCACGTACCGGGCATGCACGTACCATGGAGCACGCATGAGAGCGCGCCGAGGTGCGGGATCACTCATGCACTACCGTAATGCACAATTAAAGGGGACGGTCACTGACGCGCCATGAGCCTTTCAGAAATTGATTATTGACATATGCATGTACATGTTCGTGATACCGCAGCCGCGTACGGATCTGCTGCAGGGCGTTTAGATATTATACTCTTATCGCCGGGAAGCGCGATTACATGTATTGGAAAACGGGGCTGCAATTGATTATATAGGTAGGGATTCTTTTCAAGTTTATTTATCCTGTCCTTTCTATAGTCACTGACGTCAGTTGTGCCAAATATTAGTCAGACCTTGATGATTATTGACTTCCTTCTAATGCTTAGCTTAGCCAAGACATTCGTCGCCAATACCCGCCAGTCCTTGCTGTTACCAGCATTCAAGGCCTTCCATGCATCATTTTCCGATAATATTATGCTCCCAGGTCGCTTATTCCTGTCGAACCTTGTTGAGAGCCTACTGACCTATGTACACCGATACTAGTCAGTCCTGCACAAGAAACCCATAAGCAGCAGGCTGGTCTATCAGGGTGACAACCTGCTTTGCAGACGCATTTTCACTTATTCCAACCCCCAATTGCAATGATCAAATTCGCGATGCTTATAACGTAATAACACTGCTGGCCCTTTCCAATTGCTCACCCCCTTTCTCCAACTTGCCTCCACCCGTCCCTTCGCCATTGCTATACCCTGCCCATCCAAATTGCATGTACGTATACGACCTTCAAACACTCCCTTTCGCCGCGTCCGTTCTTGCCGCAGATATGTCTCTTTCTAGCACGTTCCACGCTTAAATGAAATACCTCCCCGTAGAATTCCAGAAGCAAGTGTCCAACTCGCGACACCCCCCTTTCAATTCGATTCAACATGGGGGGGTGAGAAGTCAGGCTGCCCGGTTGACGTCAGGCAACGGTGCCACATGCGGCTGTCGGGATCAACGTTGCGCGCCTCGCGAATGACCTCAGGGATCGGCAGGAGGCAATAGTGGGTGTTTACGAGCCCAACGGTGACACCGGTGTAGCCCCCAAACGCGGCGTGGACCTGCAGAAAAGTGTGTTGTCAGAAGCCGGAGTCTTCAAGAAGGTAGAGGCACGACAATCCCGAGGTCGCCTAGTATTTTGGTGCAAAAGCCCAGCGTCTCCGCAATCGGGGGCGCGCTCGTGACTTGCCCCTAGTAGTAACATGTGACATATACAATCCACAAACCCCCGAGCACCTCTGCCCTTCCCGCGCCTCACTCATAGCAGCCCAATGCTTTTGACGGGCACGGGCTTCTGAGAAGAGGTTATGTATCTTTGAAACCAAGCTCACTCCAAGGATGCTGTGTGGAGCAAGCTACCTTCTACGCATACGAATTGAGGGCTTTCGAGTTGCCGGCCGATGTCCAACCAAGCCCTGCAGGCTGCGTTCGCGGCAACTACTGTAGTACGGTGCTTTCGATCCCGAAGAACAGTTCTCCGACATGAGAACGGCTGCCAAGGCAGAATTACGACTGAATAATTTCTTGCTGTACAGTTCGAACATAAACCAAGTAAACCGAGTTGCAAGTCCTGTGTACCGCCAGTACGTTGATTGCTTCTGCTGAACTGACAATCGTGGTGCAGATTTAACACTCTGCGTGCACATGAGCAGTCGCTCAATTGAGAACCTCCTTTACAGTCGTTCAAGAAAAAAAAACCCACGAACCAGATGCTCAGAAAAGGGGTGCAAAGCAAAACCGAGGAGCCACGCCATCGCACGCCCCAATTTCGAAAGAATGACTGGAGCTTAGGTACTGGCGCACGCACCGCATTCTGGCCCAGCACGCTGCAGAGGATGCCGTCCGAGGCGTTGGCGGGCGTGGCGCGGATCATGTATGTGGGGTCGATGTACTTGAACTCAGCCGGGAAGCCGACCTCCTTGAAGTGCTTCTTCGCCTGGAGGCACAAAGGTGAACCGTTTGGTAGAGCTTATCGTCTTGATCGTTAACTTGGTACTAATCCAAGCCTACCTTACTAGTTTGGAAGAAGCGGAGCAGTAAGTAAGGGCAAGACGAACGGACAAATCTTCGAGAACTTTGGGGCAGACTTTGGGATAGAAGGTGGGTCAGATTGTCAAACCTGGGAGATCGAAGGATACCAATCACCATAACGTCACCACGACACCGCACGCTATCACGAATCATTTCCCAATATTCGCGAGGATGGGGTTGCCCGACGCGTCAGTGCCTCCCTCCCTAGCCGTCAAATCTCAAAGACTTCAAGCGCAAGCCCCAAACCTTCCGTGACGTCAGCACGAACCCACACCTGCTTGACGAACCACTGGCCACTGTGCGCCAGGATCGAATTGCCCGACGCGTCGGTGCCCCCCTATCCGCCACCAAATCGCAATCATCACAAACCTGGACCCCAAACCTTCTATGACATCAGCACGATCCCGCACCTGCTTGACGAACCACTGCCCAATATCTGCGAGGATTGGGTTGCCCGACGCGTCGGTGCCCCCCTCCCCCGCCACCAGGTCCTGCCCGGCCCCCTCCGCAATCACCACCAGGCAGTGGCCCTTGCGGTTGATCACCGTCTTCATGTGCTCATAAACGCCGTTGGGGCCGTCCAGGCTGAAATGCACCTGCAGGATCAGGGTGGCTGACGTCAGCACTCGCCCCTGGTGACGTCAAGCAAGTGAACAGCGCGCCTGCTCGAAGGAGCGATCTGCTCGGGTCAGCAGCCGTCGGCAGTGGAGTCAGGTAAATGAGCGAGGATTAGTACAGGCCGCTAGGGTTTTCCAAGCGGAAGTATCAGTTTGCGGGGGGCTTTGCTCACGTCGACAACGGTTTAAAGTGGCTTGATGCAAGCAAGAGAAAGTGAAACCTGCTGTTTGAGACCTCTCCGGAACGCAATTGCTGAAGGATGATCCTGAGGTGTGCTGCGCTCTGCAAGGATATTACAAAAGTGAGCGGGTATGAGCGAGCGCTGGTGCCAAAAGTACCTGGAAAGGGCGATGCTGACGTTGAAAGCGGCCTGTAATGACTTCAGAACGCTTGCTTAGCACTTGTGATGCAGAACGAGCGCAAAGGGTAAAAAGGACAAGCAAGGGTGTGTCTGCAAGGTCCAAGAGCCGGTTGCCTTTGTTTATGCATGGAGCAACGGAAAATGATCTGATTATTTGAAGGGTTCTATGCAGCTGCGAGAAGACAACGGGATTGAGGGGGGTATAATGCATGGATGACCACTGCTTTCGCAGAGAACTTGATAAAAGATTGACGAGGTGTACACAAACAAAAAGCCAGATGAAGACGAAACAAACGAAAGGAAGTCATGTCTGTCCAGCCCAAAACGGAGAGAAAACAGGAGTCAGGTGCTGACCTCAGGGATCAAGCAGCAGTCGACTTGACCGCTGGCCAGGCTGGCGTACATTGCAATGAAACCTGACTGCCTGCCCATGAGCTTCACAACTCCGACGCCGTGGTAAGCCGACGCGGCTTCGATGTACGCGGCTTTGATGGCCCTCTGTACGAACCAGAACGCGACACGTGTCAGAGGAAAAGCAGGAGCACTTTGGAGACGGCGAGCTGCGAACGTGCACGTGAAGGTTCTCGACAGTGCTCTGATCAAAAAGCGAGACGATCACGACATGCAATGACCACTTTTAGAAGACTCAACTGCGACCCTCGGATGTTTCGCCGTTGAAAGGATGGAGACAGCCGAGCAAGGGTGAAAGCATCTGAGACTGTTTTACTTAGAATGTTGAAGAGCTCTGTGCAAATCGAAGCCCGGAAGTCGTCAATTTTACGGCAATTTTACGGCAGGTATGGAAGGACCGCTGACCTGTGCCTCCTCGACCGCTGTGTCGAACCCGAAGGTTTTGTCCATCAGCAGAATGTCGTTGTCGATCGTCTTGGGCTGCAACAGAGGGACAGGAGTACGTCCGGTTTCAGGATTTCGAGCTCGAGGGTCACGTCGGGTTGGCGCAGCATCAAGCATGCAACACGATTTGAACAGCAAAGCCGTCGTTTCAAACTTTATTTCTGTGTGCGCAAACAGGTCTGGGAAGGTGGCTCTCTGGGAGGATTGTATCAAGCGCACTGACGTTGGACACAGCAAGACGCGCAGTCCTGTCTTCATGGGCTTGCTGTGAAACTACAATGAGCTAACTCCTGGCTATGATTAGGTGGCAAGGCAGGAGGACGGGCCATGACCTTTATCCGGCTCTTCTTAGTCCAAGTCAAGAGACTCGAAGGCTGTAAAGCATTGGCCGGACGCAAGCTCACCACTCCGACAACCGCGACCTTGAGCTTGCGCTTGAAGCACTCCTGGTGGATCGCCATTGCCCCGGCGTGCGACCCGTTGCCACCAATAACGAACAGCATGTTTGTGCCGCGCTTCTGTACGGTGAGGAATGGACACCGGTTACGGGCTCAACACAGGGATCCAAGTCGGGTCTTACTGACAGTGTCAACAACTTGCCGCGCTTCAGAAGGGGGGGATTGGTCCCCGGAAGGATGCAAAACGGGTGTTCGATGATGATGTCAACAAATAACGAAGGGGTTGCTTTCGAGTAATTGTGTCGAGCACTTGTCGCAGTGCGCCCCTGCTGTGTGGGAGGAGACTTAAGGGGACAGAAGCGCCTTCCGTGGTTGTAGGGAGGATTCAATCAACCGACAACTCTTTCCACCAACCAAAAGCTTCCGTTTGAGAGAAAGCACAAGTCGTACAGAAACAGACCACCTATTGGACGTTGTGGAAAAAGCAACAACCGACTGCCAAAGCGTCTGCTTAAACATGAATCAATTGCAATCTGCTTACCTCGATGTTATCCACAATCTCAGACGTCTTGCTGTTTCCACGGGACGACCCCAGAATGCTGCCGCCCATCAGGTGGATTGTCGCCACCGATTGAGGGGTCAACTGCAAGGAGGCACGTGGCAAGATGTAAACGACGGCTTCTCTGTGTGATCCACACTGCAAGCTTTCAATGTGTATCCAGATTCTCGTGATTTCAAACCCTTGCCACGAAGCCCAGAAAGTAGACGCGTCAGACTGCGACGCACCGACTCCCCAAAGAAGTCCTCAGCGAGCACTGTGACTTGTACGTGTTTGAATCCGAGTGATTCCGGCGGTCATGCTCGATGAGACCAAGAATGCAAGCCTTTGATGGCAGGGAAGCCGTAGGGATCGAAGCAGCGATTGGACGAGCTGATGGGGTTTGAAAAAACCTGCTTGTAGATCACATCACATGTCACACTCTGAAGAGCAGTGGTTACAAGCTAATCATTGACTGTGCTATATTTTGAGATAACCAGGTCTCTCTGGCAATTTTTCAGAGGAAAACAGGTACAGGGTAGCTAGCCTTACGTCAATGTCTCTGATTTTCTCGTCGATGAAGCCCTTGTAACCATAAGCGATGCCCTTCACGTCGGTGACACCGTAGGTTGTCAGAGTCAGCGCAATCTGCAACGATTCGAAGCGCTGAGACTCTGGTTGTGAAAACAAAAGGGGAAAGATCGCAGAATTGATGTAGGATGTAGGGTAGATAAGGTACTTGTGAGGAGAGTAGGCGGATGGAAGGCTGCATTCGGATACAACCATTTTCGGCATGCCAAGAGTGCCTACTGTTATGAGAGCCAAGGCCATTTTTCCAATCTACTGCTCCTCAGGATTTTCGTGTTTCTCAAAACATCCCGCCGACCTCTATTCATTCTCATAACCTGACTCTAGCTGAGTATCCTCCACTCGACCACCCTCAGATCAGAAGCTCTGCAAAGTAGCCACTCATGCTGAAGTGTCCACAACTCTGGCACAGTCAATCGGTGGAAGCAATCAAAAATGTGCCGTTCATGGGGGCCCCATTTTGACGAACAGTCCAGGCACAAGCAATCGAAACTCCAATGGAAACCACCATCAGGTGTTCAATAAGCGCAAGGTTTACAATTTCTTGTCGAAGGAAGGGCATTGGCAACAAAAGCACACGAATAATTGGGATTGCGTGCTTACCTGCCGGATGACGTCGTTCAAGCCGGGGCACAGACCTGCAGGGTGCACAAAACAACCGAAGCTGAGTAGACTACTTGTATGGTTTATTCGACTTGTTGATCCTTCTGAACGGCCTTTCAGCCAAGTACACCTAGAAACACAAGCTCTCAATAAGGACGAGGGACCAGCTTTCACTTTTGCTGCCAGTCCAGTGGACGTACCAACGAGCATCTGCCTTCGGTAAGATCCATGATTATGATACTATTAGCACTGACCAGTAGTATGTTACTCCATAAGTTCTACCAACAGGACTTAGAAGGTGTTGGTAACTCGGTCGAAATGGACGTAACCGGTCCGCAAAGGAATCCGGCGAGCTATATATGCCCTTGCTGAGCATCTTCTGAACAAGTCAGAGTGCTTGGATGCCTAGAACTTCAAGCAAAGAGTCTATAACTATATCAGACCAACAGTGACCTCCTCTTCCTGCTATTGCAAGGTCAAAACTGCTCTCTTTCCTTGAATCAGTCCTGAATATTGGCTTTACACTTCCTCAACGTTGACCATTCTTAGGGCGCCAATAGTGTTTACTCATTTCAAAAGTTTGGAAGGAGTCAATCTATGCTGAGTTGGACTGCGTTTCTTCAGGGGGTTCAGCTATTTCATACAGTCGATCTATGCAGAGAAACCAGGAAGGTTGCGGTTCCCTCGAGAACGACACTGCAAAATGGATCAAAGCCGCTCTGAAGCGAGCCGTAGATTACCTCCACAGGTGACGATAGCAGCATTCACCTCTGTAGGCTCAAAGTAGATGTGGGACCGCGGCCCTGCTCTACTTAGCCTGCACTTGAACACAGGAATCGCTCAAGCGTCTAGATCGTGTGCATTTTGCAAGGCTTTGAGTGCGGCAATTACGAACTTATCATCACGTGCACACATGATCGGCAAGTCCTTGACCACCTGGTTGTAAGTGAACAATTCTTATACATGGCTGGACAAGAGACGGCTCTCAGTGTTCCGTTCAAGACAGAACAACTCTTTCGAATGTCTCAAACGCGCTCAGTTGGTGCGAGCGCTATGTTCTTCAGATGCTTTGCGCATCATTGCAAGTTTCTGGAGTCGTGCGCCCTTCTAAGCGAAGCCTAAATCTCACAAAGAGAACCAAGGCATGCCTACTGTAGTGGACCAGGGCCTCCAATAAACTATGATCAGAGTGGTGTTCGCAGTCTGAGATGCCAAGATATCATGAGAGTCAAATGCTCACCACCAGTGCTCAAAAGTGCAATCATCGTTCAAGCACTCTGCACCTGATGAGCTAGCGTGCGCATAACGGATAACCTGCATAGAAAGGACTTGAGTTTGTCCCCCCAAAATGTCGCTGAGGGTAAGCTTCCTGCTTCAAATTTGGACCCCAACAGACCTCCTGATAATTATACTGGCTAGAGATTGGAAGGTTTACCGTGATGCCTTGCATCAACCTGTCAATACCGTAGCACCATCTGAGTGGCAGCTTGCTCCATTATACTAAACAGGTGTACGTGATGAACTCTTAAGTCCCTGTGTCAATCAGGGGGCTTCCTTTTGCGAGGAACTTTTTCCTTTGAAGTCAGTTGAAGATCTAAGAAGGCAATTGCTCTATGCTGGAAGCAGAAGGGTTGCAAGAACGAATACGTCCAAGTGATCTCATGAGCACAGATACTCATAAGGATATGAATCTTTCACATCTTGTATTGTTTAAGGACAGCACCGAAAATATCCACAAGGAGGCTGTTTCTTCTTCCACCTCGACCCTGAGGTTTTGCATGTTAAAGTATCAGGAATCGAATTTGAGCGAGGAAGTTCACCTTAAGGAGCACGCGGTCCCTGTCATCAACAAACATCTTGCCGAGTTCCTTAGCGCGCAGGGGACCTTGGACATTGCCTCGGATGAGGCAGCTGCATAAGATCGAACTTTTTTCCTCTCATGATCTTTTCAAACGTCTCCTTGAGAGCTGTCATAATGTTTGGCATATGTTGCTTATTGGTTGGATTCCAAAGGCTCGCATATGACAAATGGAGAGGCAGCGAAGGGACTGAAATGGAGGGAACTACATCAAGGAAGAGGCAACTTGATTTTCTATCTGGGGGTTGAAGAGCATGCAAAGTTTGGCCTTTCATCATGCGAATACGAATTGAGAAGAATCCAAAATTGAGGCATCCGAAGGTTTTAGGAAACTCATCATTGACCAGATTAAACATGCAAGTGATCTCTGTGCAAAGAGTGTCGATCTTCATAAGAAGCTTCCCGTTCGCCAGCATTGGCCTGGGCTTACAATTGTCAGCACTAGAAGGAGAAAATATTGTGGTTATGTTAGGAGGCTTTTGTGTTGACATCATGAATTTCAAAAAGTGAGCGACCAAAGAGTCAAATTGAACTTGGAATAGCACTTTATGGGTAATTGAATCCTGATTGTTGCAGAATGTGGCAGCGATCTGAGCTTCATCCACCCTCAGTTGGTAAGTTCAGTCCAGGAAAATGCTGATTGATCCTGGAACCAACCCAGGGAACATCAGATTCTAGCTCAGATGTGACCAGAGTCTCCACATCGGAACCCCGTCTGCTGATTGTTTTTACGAATGCTTACCTTGATTTTGTTGAGAAGGTCGAGTACTTGGGTACAATGTCAGGGAACAGATCTGTAATGTGCGGCAATCTGAACCGTTCGTTGCTCTTCTTCAGGCCTGGCATGTCTGGGGGGTCCTCATCAAAGCTGTAAGCGGTGCCATTGGTTTCAATCGTGCTCTCCAGCGGCTGTCCTATGCTGACTGCCATTGTCAAACCCTCTCCAGCCTCACCACTATTGCGCCGCAGACCTTGGCCAACAAATGCAGATGCCAAGCTTCCCTGACAGCGCTTTGATCTAAGCACACGATGGCTTCGAGTAAAACCTTTGCTGACTGGTAATTGCCAATCAGGTTTTGCAGGCGCCCGACAAGCTTCTGTGTTGCGTCTGACGTTCTGAAGCTCGCCAGATGTGTTGATCGCATGAGCAGTGGGCTGACAGAGGCACGTCAACTGGGTGATGCTGGTCATTGTCACCCTCCCTGAATGAATCAGCGGTGTTGGTGCAAGCAGCTGAAGGGGCCAACTTTGATCTGCCCCCCCACTGCCTCCGAGAGTGAGATCTGCACGCCAATTGCTCCCAAACCAGACAAAGAATTGGATCTGAAGCACACTGCACCACCCGGAAGGCACAAACAGCCGCGCTTCAGGCGAATTCACGTGAACGATCTGCTGTCATTCTGCAGTGAACTTTGAAATTGAAGCATTTGAAGAGCTTGGGGTAAATTGAGAAGCTGCGCTTCTTCTCGGAGATATCTATGTTCACGTGATCCGCTTCTGCCACGTGAACGAGCCGGCCGGGTGTTAGGCCCGGTCTGAAGTTATTGCCTTCCGGGGGTTTGTAGAAAGTTATTCGGTGCTACAAATGTGCCCGGATGTGAAGCCCGGATGCAAGTAGCCGGCCACAGCCTCAGGCCGGCATCACATTCGGGACGCCTGACACATGCAATCATTACTTCCACCTGACCTCAGCTAGCTGAGCAGCGATACACGTTACTGATAGTGAATACAAAGGTGGCCAGCTATAGCCTTTAATAGGGCTGAAACTTTTCAGTACGTTGTAGAGAGCGGAGAGGTTTGCTGCAGTGTTTCAGAAGGTAGGCGCCAGCTACAGTAGCAGCAAGAGGCGCCAATGCCCCGGGCCGTTAGTAGCTGGAATGCTCATTGGAGCTAGACCACTGCATTCCGAAAGCTGTCCAGTAGTACTATCTGAGTACTTCGGCTCAGTGCCGTTTTTAATATCAAGGAAGTCCGTTTGAGTATCGATTGGATGTTCCGGTGAGCAGGTGAGCGCTATGTTCTGCATTCGTATGCGGCTGCATCTGACACCTACAGGAGCTATACCAATCCTGTAGCTATGCACTTGTGGACCCTATAAGACCCGATCAGTTATTAGATACAATCATATTATGAAATTCAAGGACGTAGATTCAAACATGAGCTCGTGAGGCGCCCGAGGGCTCCTCGCTGAACTTCAACTCCCTTCCAGCCCCACGAACTTTCAATAGGTACGTCGAAAGGGGCTTTTGAATAATCAGTCGATGGAAAGGCGCTTTTGAAGTGCTCCATTCAACCCGAATCATGGAGTGCGGCAGCACTATCTTGTCTCAACAATCTTGGCGTCTTTTCTCTTGGGAGAAGACGCCAAATCTTGACTCTGCTCGAACGCTGGATTGTTGGCACAAAAGCACCGTTGAAAAGCACAGGAGCTGATGGTTCAACATACAAACACAAGCCAGAGACGTTTTAAAGAAACGGCTAGTGAAGCACTCACAGGAGCGAGGTCTGCTTAAAGTGTTCAACTTGCAGACCCAATACTGTTTCGAGTGGCTGCATATTCCTTGAAACCTAGTTTTTCCTTGGACTTTGTGCACGCCGTCCGGCGACGAGGGTGGTCGAAAACCTTAAGCGAGCTCACTAGCTCGTTTGCGTGGAGGCTTTCAAAGCGCACGCCGTGATAGAGAAGAAGGTCTGCTTCAACGAGTGAGAGCCGGGCGAGCGACAACGACCAACCCACCAATCCCACTTAAACATCCCCGAACGAAGGCTGTGGACCCCTTCGGTACCTATGTGACGAAGTGACTAATCGACAGTAACCTGAACAGGAACTACGCGCGTATGGAATTACCCGATCTAATTCCGCCTGAGTCGTGCTCTGTTTCGGGATGGGCACGATCCAGTCAGTACTCTTTGTGGGCCGGCACTTGCGTCACTCGATCTGTCATCAGCCCCACGGCTTTGTTGACTCAGCTGATCAGCCGCCAGTGCTCCAAGGAAATCCCCTTTCAAAAGGCCATTGGAACCATAGTGCTCTACACGGGGGCTCACCGTTTCTAGCTCGTCACTTTCCGGCTCGCTCGACGCTCGCTCGACGGGACCAGGGGTTGCATACACACATGCATCAGCGAAGGGAGCAACTTCCCGCTACTGACTCATGCAGTGTGATCTGCTCACTAGAATGCATTCTCGACCAAGTTTGTCATTATAGATCTTGCACTAGCGCGCGTGCGTTCCACGTTGGGTTCGAAACGAAGTCCATGTTTGGACCTAGAAGCACGCATGCATGAGCTAGCTATTTGGTCGTTATCCATCATGTAGGGAAAGGTAGATGCTTCAAATCACATGCACACGGTCCTGAGTTGGAGGGGGATTGAAATTGACGGTCCCTTGCGGAGGAATTCCGCAACCGATCAGGGCTGAAGACTGAATTGCTGCTCCGACCTTTAGGGTCAGCCCATGGCGGACGGACCATCATTGCGAGCAACCGCTGTCGAGGAATCGAGGATCCGGGCCAAGTCCGAAGCTCACATGAAGTAATGCATTAGCATGGCAACAGAAACAAATTCTAGGAGGAACAGTTCTTGGTTCCAATCTGCAGTGTTGTGCCGCCGCGGCCTCCATGCAGTGACTTCTCTGCGCCCGCTAACCGCGTCCGACTGCTTGTGTCGTAATTGGCTTGCACGCGTGCTGTCTGCACTTTACCATGAAGACTTGTCCTATTCACTACAGTTTAAGCACTTACTCAGACAGAAGCAACTCCTATGAGAAACTACCAGAATTCTGATCTTACAGGATATTGCAACTGGGATCAAGGGCCCGCATGGATATTTTAGTATTCAAGCGCATTCAATCATCAAACCAGTCTTTGGCTTATACAGCCCGCCGTCTATTTGTTCGCGGCTCCAATCTACCGAAGCACGCTGCTGATCAGTGTTTGGGTTCAACTAAATCTAGCTTTGCCAAAACTTGTGACGCGCGCGAAGGACTTCTAAGTAACCTAACGTTATTCGGCTCTGTCAATCCATCGTTATCAGAGTATTTTGGTTCGTCTCCGGCTGGAGCTCACAGTACGCTCACTCTAGCTACGCCATAAATTTGATATGGGTTCAACACACAAGTGAAAACATGTCCTAACGTACATCCTACGATCACTGGCGATCAAACGATCAGTTCAGTGCAAACAACCACAGACCTTGACTGGGTTTTTCTGTATTGACTGCTCGAAAGTGCACACCACAGTATAATACACAAGCCGGCCTCTTTTGCCGTCTAGAACCTGCGTCTATCTCCCACTTTCCGGTCACCTCATTCCTAGGCGTGCCGAGGCACTCTAACACCAAGTGACATTACGCCACGCGCTGTCCGTTATTCCGCTATTCCATTGATGGCGTGCTCCGCTCCAGTTCCGAGTGCAAACTCAGATGTGATCGTTCCCGAGCCCGGGGAACCCGTACTCCGCCCCGCCCAGGAAGCTACACGTGTCGTCTGCTGGAGGCACGTCCAGCAATGCCTCGAGGGGGATCCCCCCGGCCGCAGGGAAGCCGTCAGTCTTCCTAGCGCTCTCGGCTGGCCAGTCAAGCGTGCACTGTCCGAACCGGGGCTCCCATTCCGTTGCCGGGGTCACAGGCGCGTACTGGAGGGGGATCTCTTCGCTAACCGCGGGTATGTCTAACCCCTGGCTTAACCCGTGGAGAAGCTGCTCGACCGGGAAGTTCTCCGCAGGCGGGAAGCTCAGCTGCGCGAGCATGCGCGCATCCAAGCTTGCGCCCCGGGAGAGAACCCCGAGGAGCTCCTCCGGCCCCTGGTAGCTTAACCGGGGGTCGGTTACGTTAACCGGGTTGTCTCCAAGGGGGAGCATCTTCAGAGGCCCACGCTCCAGAGGGCTCAGGGACGGCTCAAAAGGACCCGGGTCCAGATCGGGTCTGCGGATAACCGAGCTGGTTACCGAGCCCAGCGTCGTTTCTCGCTCGTCTAGTTCCCGGGGACCGCTCAACCGGTCGGCTTCCAGAGAGAGTGGGTCGGGGATGCCGGCTAAGGACGACAGGAAGGATAGCGCACTGCGAATCTGCACGAGCGGAAAGTGACTTCCTTTGTTATGCCTCTAGAACGGTAGCGAACATCTATGGACCGTCTACAAATAAACCTGCTTGCGTCAGCTGTCTCGAGAGGTTTACACAGTACATTCACCCGAGGAGAGTATCTCTAAGAAGAAGCTTTTCGATTTGGTAAAGCTTGATATCGAAACCCTTTGGGGCGAGCCGCTTCCCATTGTCCGTTCAACAACTTAGGAGCCGCTCTTGTAGAACGCGTCAATCCTGCAGAGGATTGTCTCAACGGTCCGAGAAACGTGTGGTCACTGTTCAAACAAATCGTCCGGCCAAAGGCAGTACATCTTCCGACCGGCGAAATGACCACGAGTAAGTTTCACAATCACAAGTCGACTTCACCAAACCAAGCAAGAAACCGATCAAAAGTTCCAACTCCGGTACAGAGAGCAAAGGTGGAATAAGCAACAAAGTTTAGAATGGGCAGGTTGCGATCACCCACCTGCAAGTGTTGTTCCCGCAGTCGCACGACTTGCGTCGGGGTGAGTGTCGCCGCATCCTCGGTCTCCTTCAGATGCTCCGCCTGCTCGTCCAGCAAACTGCGCAGGTGGTTAGTGACCAGCGCCACGAGAACCGGGTTCTCTGACTGCGGGTTGTCGCTAACCCCCGGCTTAACCGAGTCGAGGACTCCCGGTTCGATGCTGAGGCTTCGGGCCAGCGCCGCCAACGGGTTGTCCTCCTCGATGCCGTTCCGCTGATTTGACATTCCGGGGAAGCCTTCTGTTCCGCCGGGCAACTCTTGGTCAGGGCTCGGTTTGGCAACCGCCGTTAGCATAACCGGTGAGGCAGTCGGGAGGGGGATCCCCCCGGCACCCCCAGGCCCGCTTAGACCGTCCGACGGAGTCGAAAACGGCCGCCCGATTATCTCCGTCAGCAAGCTGGAGGGGTCCTCCGACTGGACCAATGCTGACGTAATCCCCGAGGTCGCTGACCCGAGCACCGGGTATGGTGACGTCACCACGGGGGGCGCTGACGCCATCATCGGGAATGTGCCCCAGCCCAGAGATTCTTCCAGCGCCGCCCGGTCGCTGATGCTCCTCTTCCGGGGGGACAAGCTGACCGCCTGTCCGGGCCCCCCCGCCGCAGGAAAGACCTGGGGTGACGTCACGTCCAAGGGGAGAGCTATTCCCCCAAAGGACGTCAGCGGCTTTAGATCTGCTTCCACTGCGAGGCCTCCGATCCGGTGTTCCGTCTCCTTTCCGTTGACCATCCCCAGCGCTCTCAACCACTCATTCTCGGTCATCCGGTCAGTCAGCGGAACGCTCGTCCCGACCGAAACCGGAACGGCCCCCGGAACGGCGCCCGCAACGCTCGCTTGCTTTGCGGGGTTCAAAGCGGCCCACCGTTTGATCCAGTTCAGCCGGCTGCCCTGCCGGACCAGACGGGGCTCTCCCCCCGCTGTAGTTCCCTGGCCTCCGGTTGCTTCTTCCAGTCCCACGTGGTCCGTCTTCAGCTTCTTTGTCTCCGGGGCCGATTCACACTCCCCGGGAAACAGGGGCATCTGCCGGAATCCGGGACTGGGAGTATCGGATTCCGTTCGCATTGGGGGATTTTGAAGCGGAGAAGAAGCCCAGCCGGAAAGGCGCGTCTTCAGGGCTTCGCCGGGCGGACGTACTGGGTCCAGTTTTGAGCTGTCCATGGAAAGGGGTTCGTCCGTCCAGTCGAAGGACGCGGGGTTCGACATGTGGCAGCTCTCGACGGTGCCACCGAGGCTCGTGATGTAGTCGCGCAGCACGAGGCAGCGCTCGCGTTTTGAGGTGCGCTGCTCCTGGCGAAAAACGGATGGGGTTAGGCAAACTGTTGATGGGTTTAGAGACATGTTGTTGGGGTTGGCCAAGCAGTTGCTGTGTCAGGAGAAAACTTTTGGGAGTGGCCAGAATAATCCACATTTGACCAGAGGAGTTCTACTGACCACCAGGCAAAAATCCAGACGGGAACAAAGAGTATGCAAATGTCCTTCAGATGGAATCAAAGAGGATCCCCAGACTATGAGGCAAGGAAACATAGTAAGAACGGACAAACAACAATGACAAAAGATAGTGTGTTCTCAGACCTTTTGCAAGAAAATGAAGCCATACATTTACAGCGGACGAGAAAGAATTGCATCAACCGGTCAGCATACTGTCAAGGGTTCAATTGGGCTTCAAGTATTTCTATCGTTTGCGCAAGGTTCAATTTCAGATTTGTCCCAGGTTCTGGCGATCAAGAATGCGTACCTTGCATTTGATCGTGTTGTTCCAGTGGTTTTTGATGGCGTTGGGGCTGCGGCCCGGCATGTGCCGCGAGAGAGTTGCCCACCTGCACGGCAGAGAGTGACGGTAAGCATTCGTTGCCACCTGTTTTCTCGCTTTGGACGTCAAATTCCCTTCAAGAGCAGAAACTTTTCATGTCAACAAAACGGCCTCGATTGCCGCTATTGAGTTCAGCGCACAAACTCCAAAACACTTCCGCAAGAATCGAGACATCCACAAACCAGGCGCGGCTTGCATGTCCAGCTTTCGAGTCTTTAGGCTGAAACCAGTCAGCCTATGCCCTGGTCCGCAGTAACGCCGAAGTAAGCAAAGTTTGTATGATCGACACGTTGAAAGACAAAGCATCATGCGATTTCCGGCCCCGTTGGAGGCAGATTGTGTGCGCAGGAAAAATCTACTGACCCGCGGGCATGAGATGACGATCGAAAACTGACCATTGAATAGACATCCAAAGGAACAAGTCACCATCGGCAGGACCCACTGGGCCTCTACCTCAAAACGCTTGGGCGTTAACGGAAGCATCCAAGATATGTATGCTACTTCCTTACCAAGCAGAACAAACGCAATTGTCGGAATGGTAAGCAGTTGTGGTTTCGGTGTCGTCACTTACTTTGAGCCGAACTGTCGGTGGAACTGCACGAGCCGTCGCTCCTCTTCATTGGTCCACTCAACCTGCGACAGGAAGAAAAGCTGTTAGACTTGATCTGCTACTGAAGCGGTCTTTGGTTTCACTCCATACTTGCATTTACTTAGCTCATCAAGGTCTTTGGTCACTCAAACTGGACAGATGAGACACCTGATGAAAACGCAAAGCAGGGGCAGCGATTTTGAATACACGTTTCCAAGAACACAACTAGACCAATGGAATTAAAGGCCAACGCTCGATCGGATCTCGGCTTTCCAACAGCAGGCGCCAACTCGCGTCTTTCAAGCCAGGCTCCAGCGTAATGGACCACTGGCAGAGACAGCAATATTCTGAACACCTTAGGACAACATGAGAACAATACGTAAGCAAAGACCAAATCTCTCCGTTCGCAGAACCGCCCACTCACGTCTTTCAAGCCAGGCTCCAGCGTATTGGACCACCGGTTGCGGCACTGCTTCCCGGTGCGCCCGAGCGTGCGTCCTGCTTTGGCCCACTGCGCGAGCCCATGCTTCTCGACGAAGGCAACTAGAGCGGCGTCATCATCCTGCGACAAAAACGACAAGACTCAGCGTATGTACAAGGCTGATATGCTGTTTTATTGGACGACTTAATGTTCCTTCACTAATCTGGCTCAGGCCCCGCTCAGGCGTTTTGTACACTAAAGGCTCAGCGAACTCGTCGGTTTGAGAAAGGATTCAAACACAGAAGCTATTAGGAAACAAAACTAGTGTACTAAACGAACCACTGCCTTTCTCAGAAACATGGTTCAACAACCACTAGGAAGAAGGGTTGTCTTTATGCTCCTGTTGTGCTTGCAGATGCGCAGAGGCCACGTGGGATCCGCTCCCTCTAGCAATTCAAGCAGCTCTAACAATGATTGGGTTGTACCTTGGTCCAGTTACTCCGGCTGGTTCGGCCTCGCTTCGGCAAGTCCAGATCGGAGCCGCTACTGCCAGTGCTGCTGGAATCATGGGTCTGCATTCAGAAAGAACCAAGTTATATCATGTGCAGATCCGTCGAAGGTGTGTATTCATTCGCGTGCATGCAGCCCGCCTTTATTCTTATGAAGCTCCTTTCAGAGGTCTAATGAATTCTGAACGCAAATGTGGCCCCACCCCCGAACTTGAGCCGCTCGGCAAGTGGTGTGCATGCAAAGACAGCGCTTCCAGGATAAGGCAAAGAACCTCGGAGCAGAAAGATATCCAGCAGTCTCTCAGGCATAGTATTGGAAAAAACAACAATCAACATTGGATGAAACGATCTCATTCAAAAGTGGATGAAACAAACATATACAGAATTGAGTGGGACAAAACACATCCAGAATTGGATGGGACAAACAGGTCCAAAAGTGAGTGAGATAAACAGGTTTGATACTGGATGGGACAAACACATTCAGAACTAGGATAGCGATGTTCAAACCAGACAGATGCAGTACTAAAGTGACGTACCCTGCAGATCCCCGTAATAAAGCACAATAATGCAATCTGGACCAGCATACAATCCCACTTATGATCTAGATGCAATTAAATACAACCCCCTGCATGTTCTGATGACTGTTCCTTAGATTCCCTCTCTTCTGAAGCGGGTCCTTTAAATGAATTACTACTGTTGCCCTATCCAGCTTCTGGCTCTACCTTACCAAATGATCCGCTTCCAGGCGTTAGCCTTACTTGGGATACCATTAGACCAGTGTTTGAGCCCTTGTCACTATTTGGCTCAATGACTTTATTTTTGTACAATGTGTACTTGAGAGGGGGGTGGGTTGACAGTCAGAAGCAACTCACCTCAGCATGCAGATCCCTCTCCCTTCCCCCCCGAGCGCAACGAGCGAGCGCCCGCAACTCCTGGGTGCTGAGACCTGTCGACCCACTGCTTTCTCGGGGACCCGCCGCCTCCCCCCCACCATGGGGGGGTCCTTTTATCCGCTCACCATGGGGGCCTGGTTCGTCCTTTTCTTCCACGCCAACAATGGCAACAATGCTGTGAGCCTTCTGGAGGGGGGCATGGAAGTGGATGGGGACGGGAGCCTCTGGTGTTGGCTGCATAGTTGCCGCGGTGCGACAGCTGGCGGGTGGTTTACAAAAGCGCCTGCAACGAGGGGGTGAGGGAAAGGAGGTTAGAGCCAGGCTGGTTGATTAGGGGGAAGGCAAATGGGGAGATTTAGATGTGGGTTGTCAGGCGTCTACTTCACGCCTGCAATGAGGGGGCAAGAGGGAAAGCAGGTTGGAGCTAGACCGGTTGGTTAGGACGAAGCCAAATAGTGGAACCAAGGTTAGGCTCTTAGGCATCTGACTGAAGACCACCTGTCCAGGGTTACTAAAAGCAGGAGCGTGTGTAGAGACATCAGTAGCAGCAGAGAAGATCGATGAACAGCAATGGGCTTGTAATGCAACTTGCAGATCTGAGCTCGAGCAACCAGTTGTCCTTTGTGCAAGCACTTTTGGAGAGCTTCTAGTGACACAACGCAGCTGGGGGACTAGCCCCATATAGACTTCGCAGCAACCGTTCTGTTCAAAATGAAAAGGGTAGCACATGCTATTTCAAGCCAATACATCCCTCCCTCGGACACTTGCTACAGCGAAGAATGTAGGCATCTTATTCAGGTTTAGCCCAAAGATTAAAACTCAGGAAGGTGGTACACTTCTGAGCACAATGGAGTGCATTGATACTACAAAGATCCTCCCGTGTGCTAGTGGCAGCCTTCAGTTGTTTTTAAGAAAGTGTCAAGGTCCGTCACAGGAAACACACTTGGGGACAACTGATTGCAGGACATATGTATTTCCAATGCAGGTTTCGATGGTGAGCAGAAGACATCACTTGACACCCCCACTTAGCACCACCAATTGCATTTAAAAGAGAAGCAAACTCCCAATGGACTCTTCTAAAAACATGAACATGAGCGTTCCATTGGAGAGTGGTGCCTATCTGGTCAGGTGACCAAACCATTGCACGAAAGGCTCAATTCGCAACTCTCTGCCGAGAGGGTTATAGGAAAGCAAGTTTAAGGCATGTTCAGTTCACCGGCCATGGATAGAAGGCTTCGTTTGCAAGCCCTTGCCAATATGGTTCATCTCAAGGCATGCATGCAACAACCCACAAACAGTGGATGTATCCTCACAGCTTGAGCAACTGCATTTGACAACCCAGATACACTGCAACCTCTGCTGCGTTTGTATCTGGATGCCTTGAGCCGCAAAACGAAATCCTTTTCGAAAGCTGCCCGTCTGACTTTCCCTTGGATGCAAGAGCCGCTTTGACCAGGTGGAGGGACCAAATAAAGGAAGGCTGACATTTACAGAACGCACCGTTCAAGACGAGGCGACCGCCAAAGAATCTCCTCGTCGGGCCTCGTCGAAGTTCATCAACGTGTGGAGGGGATAAGCGCCGGAAAGGCCATGAATGGCTTCACCGCAGGTAGGGACTCTGTTGCCTGTCAAAAGATAAAGACACTCTGACTGAGTTGTCGAGGCACCTGTCCAATCAGCATTTATGACAGTATCCCCTCTTCTTTTCAAGCAACCATGTAAGGGGGCAAGTTAAATGCAGCCCACCAAAACCAGCAGCGTGAGCACCGACATGACAGGGAAGTGTCGCATATGCATTCTAGATTCTTGGGGTTTGTCAGGCCAGAAATTGAGCTTGCCATCTTTGTGGAGACAACACACCCGCAACTTTCAGCTGTCATCTGGTACAAGGGCAATTGGAATGTAAGTGCTCAATTGATGTAGCTATCCCATTTTAAGCAAAGGGGCAGAGCTGATGGTTTCTGCAAATCATCATAAAGAGCATTGCAGTCCATCAGGATTGCAAGATTGCATCCAAACCAATGCATTGGTGAAAGAGAACCCACCTCAAATGCTTTCGAGTTGCAATTCTCGTTGCCGTTTCCAGCCCAAACCCACAGATCTAGGTTGTCTGTCCAGTGCTGACGAGTGACCAATGGTGGCTAAGCTCTCCCGCTCTCCCCTCAAGGCACAATCCAAAAGCACACTGTTGCGGAGGAAAGGATTGCACCGCTAACGGTGGCTACAGCAACAGGATTCTGCGAGCTAAAGTGAACGACGGTGTTGATGTAAATCGCTATGACACAATGCAGGTCTGCGGTGTCTCAGGTAGAGACGGTACGTAAAACGCTCAACCGGATCCAAACACAATTGGCCAGCTCTGTGAAGACGTCTAGAGCAAACAAAAGCAAACACAAATTGCTAGCTCAATGGAAACCCTCAGTGCACGACAGCCCCCCTGCTGACTGCAATCCCAGGAGCAGTATTACTATGTGTCACAGACTTCTCCCTCACGTTCAATTGGATTAAAAGCAACAGGTTTATAGCAGGTATCCCTGATTGCAAACGGAACGACCTCAGAGAAACCCCAGCTAGCACCTACTATTCAGTCATGCTTCCACCCGGACAGCATGAGACATTGAGAATGTTGTCTTGCGCCAAGGCGACGTGCACGGTGCACCGCGTTCCCAACCCCGCAGCCTGCCCCATTAAACCACTGATCCAGCTGGCGCCCTCTCAAGCGCGCCTGCGGCCTCAGAATCTGCAGACGCGCTTTGATAGGGCGATTCCTAAATGACCGTACAATGGTGCAGATATGTTGATTGTGAGGAGATGGCTTTGGTGAAGACACGGAGGCGCCCCTACCGGGCTCTGGCCAGAGTCTGGACATTGAAATTTGAGGCCTGGGCCCCCCCACTGCCCAGCAATTGGCAGTCATGCACTTTCTTACCTAGCTACCTACCTAGGTCGGTAGGAGGTACGGTACTACAATTGCATCGACTTGACCCTGAGTAGGTACTTGGTAGTACCTAGTACCTACCCAGATCTTAGGATGAATCATCATATCCCTGTGTACGGTACATGACGCACTCCCCCATCTCACCTGCTTCACCCCCCCTTTCCTTCCGCACTTTGCGACCCCCGTTCTGATACATTTTCTCTTTTATCCTTCATGATTACCTTCGGGCCCTTTCACACCCAACTCAGGTATTGGCACGAGCAGGCTCGGGCTTGAAGCGTTTTGTAGACTTGTACTACCGGTAGATACGGTGTCCGGTCACAGCTCTCAAGTTTTGCCGTCAACACAGACTCGGAAGTACCTACCGGCCTGCTCTTGTGGCACAGTGCAAAAGCGCCACTTCGTTAATACAGTAATTTTCTTTGCATGTGGTTTGTGCGTAACGCGCAACGTAACCGCCCTGCTGACTTCCACCAGAAAGCACCCGGTGCAGCAGCTTAACCAGAAAACTAACCAGAATGCTAGAGCGTTCTGCGTGGAACCCACCCTAACCAGCACAGTAACCCTACCCGTCTGCCGGCCAGGGCCTTATAACGTCACTTGTAAGTTTTGAAATACCGCACGTTTCCATCTGTCCACAATCAAAAGAATGATTTGGCCCGCTGAGTTTTTCAGAGGAATTATATAAGGACGATATTATGGTTTACTGAAGATTACGGTAGACATTTAGAAAGTAACGTTAGGTGTGCCGAAAGTTTTAACGTCTCCCAAACAATTGTTTGGCGTCGAAGGTGCCAAAAAGCATTACGATACTCGCGACTAATAGGTATGCGTGTGTGTGTCCGAGTGTGCACTGTGCACGCACTGCGGATTTGCGCAAGGTAAGGGGCCGGCGCCGGTGTTCACTGTCGATGTACCTTTTGTAGTACCGGTATGTACTGAGCAATCATTGCAAGTTTCGTAACGCGTTTATTACGGAATGATTCCCTTCTAAAGCTTACGTCAGCCCTTTGTCAGCGGTTTGTGTTCAACAGGGATGCGGACAGGATTTTGCCCCGGGGCGCTTCTGCGCCCCGGGCCTTTGCCCTGGGGCGCTGGCCAGCTTCGCTGGGGCGCAGAAAGTAGTACCGGGCTCCAAATACGCCCGGTTCCCTTATCACGTGCTATATTACGGGCCTGCATGAGACGCCTTATACTCCTCCAGAAGTTGAATTATCTATGGTACCTATTGGATCAAAACGCTACTGACTACATTTCGCTTATACAGGCAGTAGTTGCAAATATGTATAAGAAGATTTTCTCATCTGGCACAAACAGTCAGATAATGATCCGATAAAATGCTGGCAAGTAGGCACTGATAATACTGAGATGCTCATCCAAATCGTCAGCCAGCGCTTATGGCATATGTCATCTCACCTGTAGTATAGCCTGTTCAAATTTTACCAGATAAAGTACCGAATATAGTCCATATTCATGCTTAGGCCCAGATTTGCCCGGGGGCGCTTCTGCGCCCCGGCCCTCTGCCCGAGGGCGCAGGATATTTCCCGGGGGCGCTCCGCGCCCCATTCTGCGCCCCGCCAGCACCCCTGGTGTTCAATCAGAATATGCACGCGTACTTGGGCATGTGACGTAAGATGACCTTTGCGCAACCATCATTGATTTTCAACCAGATTTGACATGTGACGTGACGTCTAGAGTCTACCACGTGGAAATGGTGATGTCAGTGCAGGCTACTGATTTGCTGAACGATGATGTTCCATGCCCATCTGACGCAACTTCTAAGATTGCGTCACAGAATTACAGACATTACGTACTACTGACCCCATGATGACGTACTACAAGGATCGTCCGCTTTGCAGATGCGGCCATGCAGTTTGCACAGGTGACAGGCAACTGTCGCACGAGCGGGAGTTCCACATGGGGTGAACCGGTCGACACCCCGTATGATTGGACCCACTAGCGCACTGCTGCACGAGGCACCATGGTGCTACCGGTCACTTCCGAGCTGTAGTGGTTCAGCTAGGTACGGACCTGCTTGACACTTTATTCCCGTCGGAAGCTCATTCATGGTGTTCAGTTCGAACTTCGGATTCTAAACGGGGAAAATGGCCCCTAATAGAGGTTCCAATTTGGAACTTTGTCTGCCCGTATCGGGTGGACGTCGGCCTGGCCCTGAGGTTGGTGTCAGATAGGATGCTGATGGAAACTTCCTCAATGCGCCTTTTTGCATGTTGCTTTCACAGTAGTGCCAGATGGCGGTCAGCAATTTTTGATGACACCTGCGCAGCAAATGCGCGTTTTACGTTGTTTGCATGATCACCGGAGAGCTCTAGATTGCGCCTTCTTAGGCATGAATCGCGTCAAGCCATGCCACCAGAAGCCACATGCCCACAGCCCCTGCAGAACCTCTGCAGAATCGCTGGATTCGTAATTCACCGAATCTCATGATCTTGACTTCCCTGCCCAACTTCGCTCCCAGATGATATGTCCTGAACGATGGTGTATTCAGCCAGGATATCCTGCAAGGACCAACTTGGATCACGCGGCTCATGATGCCAATGGACACTTCTACGGCTCAAAGAGAAAGTTGCGTCGACTCACCTACATTCGGCCATGCATGTTTCCCCTTGTTTCCCCATGTTCTTAGTACTCGTCACTCATAGTCTTTGATACTGCTTAACTTGCTAATACCGTGTTAAAGCGAGCTAGGGCCTACTACCTACAAATACGGTATGCAGTTTTGAGAGGCCTAATCAGGTAGTTGACTATAAATACTCTCTTTATACAGTCTTGCTGAATTGCCTTGCAAATCTGCGATACGCTGAGGTGCCTTTGGCATGTAAGACGGACGTCACTATGATACCCCATCATCCAGTGATGCAAAGTTTTGGACTTAACACGGCTATAATCAGCCTAGCTTTGGCATGCCTTGCTGACAGCCCGATAAGATAGCTTGTCTGTCTCCTTTCTTTGCACCCGGAAAGATGCTGTGGCTACTGCATGGCAAAGCCGAAAAACTGCAACGTCTTATACCATCACTCATGCAATCCTTCGGCGAGCCCTCAACTGCATGAGCGTTGATTCCCATCGGCCGTGCTTCCTATATCTCAGGACACTTCGAGAAGTTCTTGAGTCATGCATGAGCCATGATATACGACTTTGATGCATGATGTATATCGGAGGCAATGATAACCGTACCTAGGCGGCCTAGCACGTGAATTTGCCGCAATTCCTCGTCATCCTCTTCCAACGGATCGTGTACAATTGGAACAGACTGATTACAAGCTGCATGTGCCAACTACACACGTTGGAAGTCAAGCAGATTACCCGCGCAGCGATCCAAGCAACCTGCACATGTGCATACTGTACCAACTCACGCCGTGTGACATGACACACGAGGCAGTAACTTCGATCTTGAATCGATCATGCATGTCAAGCTAGCTGAAGCAATGTGACGTCACGGCGCATGCATATGTGCATTACTTGGAAACGTATTCGAATCCGCAGTCGGGATTCGAAATCTTGATTACCTCGACTGGCACTGCAGTGCTTCCGTGGGCTGGCCGCGTGCAAGAGCGTACAGCCTTGGCGGCCAGAATTGCTCATATCTTTGTCAACCAGGTTCGGAAGTCCTCAACAATGGTTCTAAACCTTCGACCCTTATGGGGCCCCTAAACCACCTCCTCGCATCCATGATCCACCAGACCATGAAGAAAGCTACGACAAAGCTCAGGGCTATGGGGGCGTAATTGAGGTTTGCTACCCGAACCGGGAAACTTGTGGGCAGTAGAAAGACTGTGCATGTGTAACATATCCATGAGAAAGCGAGAAAGCAAACGGGACGACTGAAGGACCCCAAGTGGAAAGGCCCTCGCTCGAATTTGGACGAAGGTTGGATCAGTCGGAAGAAGATGGGAACAGCGTACCCGCCGACCTGAAAAGACGGTCAGACAGTCACTCTCACCAGTTGGCTGACTGACAAATTGCTGCAGCTATCTCAGATATAGCGCTCTTCTGAAAGATTATTGCTCTGACGTTCCTTCCAGAAGTAAAGTCTCTCGACACTTGAGATTCCGTAGGTCACGACCATTGCAATTCACAGCGTTTTGCTAGAAGGTCGCCAGGCGCATTATCACAAGGATATGCATAGAGAAACACTGACGCAGCTCGTCCAAAGATTCTTCAAGAAGGACCGAGCATGAAAATGAGATGGACGACCTGAACAGGATGGGTCAAAACATTGATGCGAGAGACCAAACATCAAACCTGAATGGAAGATCGGCACGAGGGACCAGGATACTGAATTAAAGAGGAAAAATGAAAGAACGCACGAGGAGAAATGGAATGTTGAGAGAATACAGAGTCGGACGAGCCACTGAATCAAATTGATACGGAGGTCAGGCGTGCAAACAAAAAAACGGGCAGACAAAGCAGATTAATGAACTTCGCCGTTGGCCACTCACCCATCCGACGGTGGAGATCGAAGTGATGGCGGTGAACAGCGCATCCAGTTTGAGGACGGGGACGCCAACTAGAATGGCGATAAACGCGCACAGCCAGACCGCGTGCACCGGGGACTGTAACCGGGGATGGATCTGCCGCCAGTAACGGGAGCCCGGGAGGCCGCCGTCCCGGGAAAACGCGTAAACCTGGCCGCGGGTTAACCAGTGGTTAGGGGCAGTTTATCCGACAGAGAGTGCGGGGTTAGAAGGAGGGTTTAGGAGACCGATTACTTTGTCATTCAGGGGCAGCTTCAGTCAGCGAGATAGAGTCTTGAACTCGATCATCTCTCGAGCCCTGCAAGAATCTGGTGGCTGGTTGCGAAGCGAAGTATACACGTGGCCGGCTGTGACGATCTCGCCACCATTGAATCCGCGCCTGATTTCAGACCCGACCAGGTTGGCCCGAGATCGTACTTCGTGCTGACTTGATCAAAACTCTTTTCATCGGCCTGAAGAGAGGGTTTATGGATGGTCGCGGAAAGCTGCTCTCCTTCCGACGCCGGACTGACCGAAAGAGCTAGAGTTTCTCGAGCTGGGAGTAATATCAGCTGGCGACTCACATCGTCCTCTGTGGAACTCAAATCAGCCTTCCACCTACGCGGACTCAATCTGACCAGCAAATGTCCAGACAACCAAGTATCAGAATGCAGAAACTTCACGGTCGTCTAAAACTGCTCGTCGCTCGGCTGTCGGTTTCGCGGGCTTGCCGGAGGTTCAAGTTAGAGATGCGCAAACCAAGGACGCGTGTTCCTCGATACTGAGCCACTTCGAGGAAGCCTTCGCAACCCACTTGGAATCGAATCAGGTTAGGGATAGACAGCGCGGCATTTCTAACCCCTCGACTGACGCAAACGCCAAAAGCGTTAAACCTTGAGGCTTTTGAAATTGCGTCAGCGGCCGTGCCGGCGGCTCACCACTCGGGACGCGCTCGTGAGTATGCTCGCGCCACAGAAGAAGAAGGAAAGCAGGATGACGCACAGGATGACGTAAGCGCCCGCCGCACTCCCGAAGCGGCCCTGAAAGACGTCGTAGTAGATCTGCGCCGGGGCGAACGCACCTGCACGGACGCGTGGCGGCTGGAGAAGTTTGCGGACGCGATTATGACGTCAGCCAACGCATGCTGACGTCAGACTGCATGAGCGTGACAAGGAACGGCAGTCTGATACAGAAACGTTTGGGGCTGCATCAGCCGCCAGACTGTGACTTCAAGGGAGATTCAGGGGCGCTATAGACACCTTCAACCAATTTTGGCGCTTTTCATTTTGCATGAACCTAGTTCTGAAGCAGGAGACCGGAATAAGGCCGTTCAACTCGCGGTGCGACAGTTGAGATACTATGAGCGAGACTAAGAGCCTGCCGTACATGGCCTGAGAAGATGGCAGCTTGCTGAGACGAATCTGCAATTATCTCGATGGCAACGTTCTGCCGGAGAGGGCGACCACGGACCATACCTGCCGTCTCGTTGTCTGGGCTAAACAGCCGGGCCGGGTCGCCCTGGATGCTGAAGGTGAGTGCGAGGATGTACATCCAGCCAAAGACGGAGATGCTACCCAGGCTAAGCAGAATGGCCATCGGCCCATTCACATCGGCGCGCTCCGTTTCCTCGGTCAAATACGCGGCAGCGTCAAAGCCTGCACAGGCAAAGCGTTCCATGAGTACTACTGCAGCACGGAACCCCTTATTCAGTCCGATGCTCTCTTCTTAGACGGTCCTTCACGAAGTATCTAGTGAAACTACGTTGATGTCACTGCTCAAAGGACGGGTACGGTTGGCCCGGCGCTTTAAGGCGGATGACTTTGCGGAGCATGTCAAAATTGGTTTAGGGTGGATTGATGCTTGTGTGTAAAGATGTGCGCGTCAACTCCGAGGATTGATTCTTCAACCGGTCTAAGTATTTCAGCTTGAATCCCAACGGCAGAAATCGCAGCTAATGCAACGAGGCATAAAGTGGATGACGAAGACTTTGTTGACTCACGAGAAGCTTAATACGCTACGTGCGAAGCATGTTAATACTGGGTTTAGGTTGAAGAATGCATGTGCGTAAAAGTGCCTGCGTCAAGATCGAGAAATGGTTTGTATTGTGTCCTGCTAGTGATCCTGGTTGACTTCGAATGACGGAAGACGCAGCTTATCCAACGGGGCATAAGGAAGAGAATGAAGTCTTCGTCAAATCCTACGAGAAGCAAAAAAGAACAAAGAACACGCGCCGGACTCTTACCGTAAACTGAGAACTGGCTCATGAGGAGCGACAGCGCGAGCGAGTACGCCGGGCTCTGCACCCCCGTGACGTCAGCATGGGTCTCGAAATTTCCGAAAACGAACGCCGCGGACTGACGTGTCACAGCCACGAGCGGCAGCGCCGCGACGATTGCCGCGCCCGCGACCACCTGAAGCCATACGCCCACAACGTCCATGTACGCTATGGCCTCGATCGATAGCGTATTTATGCACGCCCAGACCAGGATGAGCGCTACGTAGATGGCGAGGAAGATGGGTTTGGGCGCGAGGTAGCCGCCGTGCTTGTGCGTGCCGGTTAGCAGAAGAATGAGGGTCTGAACGGTTTTCGCGGCGCAAAAGGACTGAGCTCCGACGGAGACGGTGAGACCGACGGCTTCAAGCCAAGCGGTGAGCCACGCGGCAAAGGGACCCCATGCGGGGCCGGCCAAGTGAGCGGCCCAAAAGTAGAGGGAGCCGGTAGTCTGCAGATTGAAAACGGGGTTATGTGAGGGTTTGCTTGTTGGAGCAAAGTGGCTTTACGAGAAACTTCGGAAGAATGACGCATCCCGATCAGAGGCGTGCATAAAGAGTTGGAATGCGGTGGCAATCAGATCAAGGACCAGCCGCGATCTTGAGCACGCGCGGAACTTTTTACTTGTGGACCGTTCTGTCCTGACGCGGCTCATGTCATCGAGGTTGGCTGAACGGAGACACTCGTCACGCGAACGAGATTGAAAGCTACAATCTGAAGCTCGAAGGAATCCACCCGGGCTGTCAGATGGACATTTTGCTACACCCTTTCCAAGCAGTATTGAAGGAGAAACGACGAACAACTGTTCGCAGTTGGCCGGACCACATATCAGCAAGATTGCTTCTTTCAGATCGTATGCTTGTACAACAGTCTCTCGATTTCCGACCAAGAGATTATGAGGAACGTCGTAATCAAAGACATGGAGTCCAGGAGTCCGACCTTCAGTTTTCGAAATCTGCCGCATCCAACGGAGATGAGTTGCTTTGCAGGCTGGAATGCACCGTGCAGAGTTGCCCGCAATAGCAATCTTTGCTTGCCAACCTAAGTATATTTTCGAACGCGGTGAACAGTTAGCCAGCGGCAGGCTCTTTCAATTGCGCAAAAGTTCCTCTAACTTCGAAAAAACGAGTTGCATCGGAAGCCTCCCTTTCAGAATCCGTCTATACTTCAGTCTGAGCGGACAGTCAGGGAGCGGCAGCCTCTACTAGTGGTGCACTCACCGGGTATGACGAACAAATCTCCGCCATAGCGAGGGCGACAAAGCTCATGAAGAAACACACAACGAGCCAGCCCCAGACAACGCCCACGGCCCCGCCATTAAGAAGGCCGAAACCGTACAGGGGGGTGATTCCGGTGTAGAGACCGATGGTGGAGAAAGCGACTGCAACAATCTTGAAGAGGCTCTGCGAGGGACGAAGAACATTGACATAGGAGTTTGAGGGTTGTGATCCTGCGAAACTCAAGACAGAGTACGGCAGACGGTGAGGACTTAATAAGCGGAATTAGCAACCGCAACGTCTTGAAGTCTACATCCTTGGGGTTTCAGAAGACGTTTCTTAACGGGTTTGTTGCTCTGAGCAATCATTACACGACCCAAACAATGCTACATCTGAAGTGAAAGATCATTCAACAACAACTTGATTGGGTCAATTATCCTATGACAGGTTGCTTGAAAGGCTTTCTGTCACAGCCAACCTGATTGGGAAGAAGAGATGAGCGAAGCGGATTGCTCTTATTCATTGGGGGTTGAAGAGGGCGTATGACCGGGACGGCCCAAAACGTCAGAACCGGTCACGCATACGCAGAAAACAGAACTTGGAGAATATTACCGCCACTTCGGTCTGTTGCGACACAAGCGCACAGGGGCACTGTTTACAGTCGCCATGTGACGTCAGTAGGACTTGCGACGCCCCTTTTAACAGCCGACCTGATTTTAAGACAGCCGAGAACTTCTTCCTTGCGAGTCAGTATAAGCACGTCTACATCCACCAAAATTGAGATAGATGTAAGCAATCAAACAGCCATCAGGATAGCACTCACCAACTTTCTGCGGAGCTCTTGCTTGTAACCTGCAAGGCAGATGCTGTTGAGTATCAGCAACAGACGCTCATTTCGGGCTGGGGACTCTGAGCTTGGGCACTTCTGAGCTTCCAAGCATAGCGACTGGACAAGTGTTCTGCCACCACTTCTTGGACGTGGGGGAAAGTAGTCACATAAAGTACGATTTGCCGACCCACCTGAGTAGGTGTGAGAAGGCGCTTTCTACAGGAAAATCCAGCAGACTGAAACTTTTCTGCTCATTATTGACGCCACTGCGGAAAATGTCTTTAGAGCGAGAACGCCATGATAAACCGCTCTCTTCCTCAAAGCTTGGCACTTGTCATACCACCTTGCATGTGAAACCCAGCGAGCTCCAGCCCCTTCAAACCATTTCAACAACAAGGTGCATGCCCTTTTACTTTAAGACTTGCTTTTGCCAGAGCCAGAGTCCAATATAAGCTTGGCAGTGTTCTCGCGCCAGTGTTCAGTCACCTAAGTTTCTCTCATCATAAGTATAAAGGCTCCTGTGAATATACACAGGAGTCGCACGCAAGTTTCCTTCTTCGAAAGCAAATGTCCGCTTACCTTAAGATGTCTGCCTACAAAGGGGCAAAACAACCTACCTAGGGCCTTGAGGCGCCTCTCTCCTGAGTCTTGAGAGTCCGTCATTGGGGGCGGATCCTCTGCCATGTGGCTTGAGATCTTCAGTAGTTAGTTGCCAGACTCAGCATCACAAAAGATCAGCTGTAATCCTGGTTCAGGTTCGCAGCGAAGGTCTCAACGTGAGGTTTCGCAAAGGGGATGAACGTTTCTTGCTTATGGGAGTTTAGCTCCATCCAGGATTTAATATCCTGACATGATGGGACTCTCATTTCGTCTATATACTTCATGTGTCCTCTCACTTGTCTCTCACAAGTCTCTAAATGCTGGGAAGGCCTGCCACACAAATTCCAACACAAACTCAGTCGCAAATGTTATTGAGCTGACTTGTCAGAAACCTTAATTTCAGAGACCCTTGCAACCTGGAAAGATTCTCAAAAGCCGGTGTTCAATGCAGGGAATCACCTTCTTTTGTAACTACGACGGCTGCAATCATATGCCGCTGAATCCTTTCTTACGTAAGTTGAGCACAAGACAGGGGCATGCTGGCATGAAGCCGCCATTGTTGCAGCAAGCGATTAAAGGCCCACCAGCAAATCCTAACGTCACATGGGTGCGGCATTGCCTGTTCTTTGTGATTCGGAGCTTTACATATGAGCTGCACCCTGCGACCTGCATCAGGTGGAGCCCTGCTCACAGCAATCAGCAGGCAGCAACCATTTATTCGACCGTTAAAACTCCACTCTAGCTGTGCCTGTGGTGCAGCTCAAGAAGAGCTAGCAACGAGGTTGAGCAGAAAACGCAAAGAAAGAGAAGAGTTTGACGAGCCACCGAGTCGGACTGATCAAGAGAAAGTAAACTTGGTACCAGTGAAAACTCGCGACAGTTTGACACGGGGCTCATGTGGCATTGCCTGAGCCAAGTGCTGCATATGATCTAATTGTTAAAGTCATGAGTTTGTCATGACTCATGAGTGAGCAGTGAGAACAGCGAGAGCGTTGACAAAGAACGGTGGACACGTCAAGCTGTGTCTCCGAAAGTGAAACTTAAAAGTAGTACAAGAAGCCTAACCAAGCTCCTCGTTCGAGTCTGTGTCAGGGAAGCAACTTTTTGAACTGAGCTAAAACCACACAATGAGAGAAGAGCGAAGCGGACATTGACCTACTTAAGCAGCACAAGAGCGTCACAATATGTCCAAGGCGCGCCGGTGAAAAGTTATTGGTGGAAGTCTGAAGATACCAGGACGATGGCATTTCCAAACGATGAGATTCAGCTGCCCAGGAGGCTGGGCCTCCTTCCCTTCAAGAACAAGGTGCTGTTGCCGGGGGCGGTCGTTCGTCTGCGGTGCACTTCGCCTGCAAGGTGGGGCATGGGGTTTGGAAAATGCAAAAGTCACAGTCACACACTTACAATGTTGTGAACCTCCTCTCATAGACTGCCTCAGTTCGCCACTGGCAGTGTGATGCCCTTGTTTTCAGTCTTTATAATGTCGTACTTTCTTTGACCATGAAAGTATGTTGATGCTGTTAGTAGCAACTTAAACACACTTGAAGAGGGGTGCCCTTGTAAAGAAGCTAATGTTCAAGGAGTTGAAAGGAAAACAGATGCTTGGACATTCTCCACCCTTTCATGTCCCGTTTTCTTGGAATGATGTGCTTAAACCCCTCTGTTCTCCTGTTCTTTCCCCCTTTTGTCTCTCCTAGAAATAAAGCATAAAAAGAGATGATGACAAACCTTTTCTGCCCCTTCCTCCCTGGAGAAAAAGTCCTGGTGCATAAAAAGTCTTTTGATGTGCATGTCAAAGGAGTGCCGTCGTTCAGGATAGTGATGGCAGAAACGTTACAAATTCACAGAAAAGGAAGCAGGCCCCTATGCAAGAGAAGCTGTCGATGTAGGGTCCAATGAGGCACTCACTTTTTAATAAGTAGGACCTCTGTCAGGGTGGAGCAGGACAGGTGGCCTCGAATGACAGTTTCAGTGGTTGCTGTGAACCCCTTCTTTTTTGCAAACTTACCACTAACTATCACCGGCTTTTCTAAGTTGTGGTGCTACTATTGTTCAAAACCTGTTCCCTTGCATGCAACTTCTCGAAGTAAGAAGTGGGTCTACTAATTTCCCCCCACTTATGTGCACTTATGACACTTGCCTTCTCCTTTCTGCATCTTTTATTACATTCTGCGTATACATCTTGGCGGACCTACCATGTGAACATGACAAAGCAGCAACCCATTTTGGAAACCTGGATTCAGCTTTCCTTGAAACACCCAGGGTTTTGAAAAAGGAACATCAGATCTTGTAGTGCTTCATTCATACATAGGAGAAGGCCACCTTGGCTTAGGAAAAATGAGCCACAAGATAATCAAGAAGACGCCAGAAGCAGCATTCTTTGAACCAACCTTCTGAAAGGTTGCCAAGTCGTTCAGAAGAGCAACTCGACCAAAAGAAGGTTAGAAAACTTCAAATCCAGATATTGAATGCTCCTTTTCTTCTTCTTGCAGTGTTCAGCTGATTGAGTCGGAGCTGTGGCAGAAACAAGACAAGGGGCTCATCGGAGTGGTCCCAGTTCTTGAGACCGACCCTACCACCATCCCTGAGAATGCCCTCATGTTGATAGCGTCAACGCTAGGCCCCGACCAGGTGACGTCGCCTGCTCAAGAAGGGGATGACGGACGGGAGGATCGGAAGAGTATCGATGGAGCAATGAAACCAAAGGTTAGTGCGTCTTCCTTAACATGAGAGTATGGCGTCGGAACCTGAGGCGTGGAGAATCTGACGAGTCAGCTTTAAGATTTCAAAGATGTCTTCACTGTTTTGCTCACACTGTGATGCAACGTGCCCTGTCCCCGAAAATGTGTCTTTCATAGTCTGGCTCAACGCTGTTCCGCGTGTTGCAAACATGCGTTTATACTCATCCTCTAATAACAAAGGTTCTATGATAACTGGACTATGCGTCTAACTTTTGATGGTATTAACAGTACAGCGGTCTTAGCGGTGGGCTTCTGAGTCAGGTCTTCGAGTTGCAATTTTACTCTTCAGTGCCCTATAATATCGCACCCTGCCCCCAGCACAAAGTGAGTGTCCACTTGCCTTCAAATAGCATTGTAAAGCTTTCAGAGCATCTTCTGTTGAGGTGGCCAACTTGTTACTCTCACCACCTTCTTCCAGGTTTTTCAAGAGTGGGGTCATTGAACCCGTAAACAATTCTCCAGAGACTCTCACGAGCTGCTTCAGACGTCTACACTTGATGACGTTTCTGAGGGCGTTCTATTCAAAAGCACGTAATGCCAATTCCCGTTTGAATTCTGATGTCAAAAAATCAGCCTTCTTTCTTCTATGTACGCCTCTTTCCCCAACATCTCTGGGGCCCCGTCTCTTGGAAGGGTTCTTGGGGCATGGAAAACTGCACCCCGCACCCTCTTCTTAAATGTATTCCGGCACTCCTCAGTTGTCAAAGAGCCATGGAGTTTTGAGGTCAAAACACTCAGTTCGAAATTTTCTCATAGGATCCCCCTGGCATTTTCAGGCCCCTTCTCTGCGGTGGCACCCTCGGGGGGTGGCTGCCCGTGCGTTACACCTCTCTCGGGGCATGGAGAAGCCGGGCGGGAAGGTCACCTACACGCTTGTCCTGGAAGGCTTGTGCAGGTTCAGCATCAACCAGATGCTGAGTGACTCGCCATACCACGTGGCTAAAGTGACGCAGCTCGATCGGAACAAAGCGGGTGAGGAGCTGGCCAGCTACTGGGATACAGAAGCGTGTCTTTTTGTAAGGGCGTAAGTTTGGGTTCAAATGTAGGATATGATTGTCGTCAACAGGCCTGGAACTAGCTCGTGGAGATCTTTCTTGATGCGCCCCCACCAGATAGCCTGAAAGTCCTAGTCGGCGCACAGGCATCTCAGGCTGGCTCTTTTTGCGTGTTCGTGTATACTCAACATGGATTCCAGAGCTGATTTCCAATCTCATGCGCTCTGTGCTCTTCTCTCCCGCACAAACTCAGTTCAGAGCGTGGACACGTGTATGTCGAAGCTCCCCGTTGCTGGCATCGTGTAACGTTAAAATGCTTCACGTGCCACTGGAACCCAAGCGGTTCTTGGTTCCTTGTGATGCCCCCTTAGCCAGAGACCAGAGCGACATGCCACTGAATAGTCTCGAAAGGTTGAATTGTTCCTTATCCACATACTGTTTTGTTCCATTGGCCACCCCGTCTCTTTCGGACAAGCTTAATTACTAGTTGGGGAAGTTGAAGCCCCGAGATCTTTCAGCATCGTGACGTCATTGACGCTCTTTTCTATGTACAGAGGCGGACCACGTGGCCCATGATGAGAGAGCGGCAGAGTCGGCGCAGCTCTTCAAAGTGGCCGCAGGCGAGCTCATCACGCAGCTGGAGCAGGTGGGTTACGATAATCGAAATGGTTTCCTGGTGGGCTATGATAACCGGATTGGCTTGTGATGATCTTGATTTTGGTGTAAGCCGGTCCAATTTTCCAGATTGGGTTGCTGGTGGGCTCGAGCCCGTCTCTCTCAGCGAGTCTGTTTCGTCTCGAAACCGAATGCGCTATCGAAGGGAAAACAATTCCCAGCTAAGTAGGGCAGACTGCTCAGGTAACAAACAGTGTGATTTTCTGGCTCCTGTTCGTTTAATTGGGGGGGGCAACCTTTATACCGTTCGGTTTCTAAGGTTGAAGAAATAGGAGCACGCCTGGCTGCCAGGCTCCTTGCGATGTTGGAAAGTACCGACTCCAAATGCTCTTTCCAGTAGCAACTGCCTAAAGCCCTGAGATGCCTTCTATATGGTTGACGCACCTACACCTACTCCCGGCTTTTGCGCACAAGGTTGTCTGAATGCCTGCGTGCCTGTCTCGATGTGAATCCGTGGAGCTTGATCCTCGAGAGTCTCGGCAGAATCATGGGATGACGGAATCGTGTCAAAGGAGGATTGGCTTTCTCTTGAGCACCGTCGGAGCGCGCGTGGCAAAGACGGCATTCTCCTGTCCTCAGAACGGATTCGTCCATTGAGACAGACAGGTCACTGCGTCCTTCTGCATGGCCTGAATTTTCAAACCCTTGTGAAAGCATCCAATGTGACATTCAGAGTGTCGTATTTAGGGAGGGCTGAGTCTTAGACGTGGTGACTCTTTCCAATTTGCAGAAGCAAGGCGCAGGGCGCAGTAAGCTTTTGCTGGAGACTGCGCCCGCGCACCGGCTGGCCGACATTTTTGTTGCCAGCTTCGAGAGCAGCCTGGCGGAGTGTCTCGCGATGCTGGACGCGGTCCCGGTTAGGGACAGACTGGTTAAGGCGACCGAGCTGGTAACCCGGCACTTGCAGGTGAGAGCTTGTTGCATAACAAGGCCGTTGAAATTCCAAAGATGAGACCTGCAGCTCCTGACAGATAAGCACGTTTCTACGGGCTCTGCTAACTTGGATTAGGTTCGTGGCTTTCCCTCTGTTATGAGGATTTTGGGTCGGGTTGTTGCATCAGAATTAGGGCTTGTTGGAATCGGCACTACTTGTCAGAAGATCTAGCTTGAGGAGATACATGACAGGGTGGCCCAGGGAGCGAACTTTATATTAACATCAGCCTTCCTCCCTGAGAATTAGACTTGAACAGCTCTTAACCTCCCTGCTTTTGGCATTCCATCTTTCCCCTCGAACCATCCGCTCAACAAGTCCAGCACAGCCTTCAATGTCTTCCGGACCAGGTTGAGGAGTATGCCCGCCAATTTGATGCCCTTTGTGCTGAGTACGGAGGGTCCGTCTAACAACGACAAAATGGTAATGAGCTGAGCGGACCGGCAAGCTTAGTTACACGAAGTCGTCGTCGTTGTCTCGATCTGTTGTTCTGCCTTATCTGCTTTCATGTTCTCCGATCAGCTAGAATTTGATACAAATCCGAACCGATTCTCTGCAGACGCTGCGCGTGACTGACCAGCTGGCGCAGAAGGTGGAGGGCCAGCTGAGCAAGGGCCAGCGCGACCTGCTGCTGCGGCGACGGCTGAAGGCCATCAAGGACGAGCTGGGGGACGGGGACGGTGCAGGAGACGAGGATGACGACATCGTGATCCTGGAGAAGCGGCTCGAGGCCGCCAACCTGCCGCCGCATGCGCAGGTGCTTAACGGCCCTCTGTTTTGAGCCACAAGAATGCTTGGTTATTCGCTGGGACAGGGGTTATGTGGCTTCGAGGGCGGCAGGTTTTGTGAGTTATCGTTTATCGTTGAAGTCGCTCGGAGCGGCCAAGCTGTCGCCGCACGCACAGGTGGGCGACGGCTCTCTGCTTTTTGAGACATGAGCAAACTTTATCGCTGGGATAGGGACTAATCGGCTTTGAGGGCGGCATGTATTTCTGCGTGACATCTTGGAAGTTGCTCAAGGTTGCAAAGTTTGCCCTTGGGAAGGGTGTGCAGTTGCTGTCGCCACAGCAAGTCATTTACGTCGGCGATCGAGATTTCCTAACCAGTACCCACATCTGGTCGGGATGCACGGACGGGCGTCCCTGCGTGTTGAGTTGCCATGGAATACCTCGACTTTTCTGTCCTCATTCCTCTCAATACTTGTTCTATGTCTGCTGTCCCGAAGGCCATGCAAAAGCACGTTAAGCGTGTCAATCAGCTGAGGGACGTGCAGTATGCTTGCTCAAAACGCAAGCTTTTTGTTTCTTCTTTGTCTTCGACCCTAGAACGTTACAAGTTCATATGACCATATCACCGCAACTTTTCAAAAGTGAACGTTGTAGATGTGTAAAAGCACGTGAAACGCGAGCTTGAGCGACTGAGAAAATGCACCCTGATTGCCGTCATTACAAGCTTTCACATCTTGACCCGAAAATGCTCGGAATACCCCGAACCTGCAGAAGCACGTGAAGCGCAAGTTGAAGCGGCTGAAAACATGCAGCCCTGAAGCTCTTACTGCACGCTTTCAGGTTCTATCCCTTGATCTCTACAACCCCAGTAGACTGTACCATTAAAGCCCTTGAAAATTGAACATTTCCAAATCTGCAGAAGCACGTGAAGCGCGAGCTGAAGCGGCTGAAGAACATGCAGCCCCAGATGCCGGGGTTCGGGAGCGCGCGCGCGCACCTGGAGCTCATCGCGGAGCTGCCCTGGACGTCGACGACCAAGGAAAAAGTCACCGATCTAGATGTGGCCAAGCGGACACTGGACTCGGAGCATTACGGGCTCGAGAAGGTCAAGCGGAGGTAAGGAAAAGCGACATAAGAACAGACAGACTTTTTTGCTGGTTTTTTCTGGTATGGAAGGAGCCGAAGCTAAGTCGGGAGCGCTTACTGGTTGGATATCGCCAAAGCCGAGGCGGAATCCTTACGGTTGTTCTATCGACGCTCCGTGTCGTGTTCTATCGACGCTCCTTGTCTGAGTATCTTTATTCTAATGATCCAGAAGCGGACGTACTTCGATAAGACGCATCACAGGTGGGAAACTTTGGAAGCAGATGAGCCTGATTTGAGTTACTGGTGTCTTCATCTTGAGCGAACATTGACAGCCGAAAGATCAATGCCTTGGAAGGCAATGTGCGTGGTGAAATGGAGGATCCCGGTTCGCGCTCTCTTTCCTCAAAACGAAGTCGGACGTTCGGGTGCAGGAAGTCAAGAGGTGCCGCGATCTTTGTACTTCCTGGTGCTTGTCTTTTTTCTTGCGAGAAGCGAACTCAAAAAATCGTGGACTGATTAGGCGTAGGTTAGAGTCGTCTATCGTTTCTTTAATAAGTATGCTAGGCTGTTCTGACGCCGTCCACTCTCTTCGTTAAGGTCTGCTTTTCGGAACCTGTCTGGGCAGTGGCCGTGACGGGAGGTTGCCTACATTCCCTCGTGCCCGTCCCGCCTCCCAATCTGCTCTTCACTTTTGCCCTTTTCTTTCTTGTTTTCAAGCACATGAGTTTTGCATCTGAGAGCCGGTGATTGATGACGTGGCAGCTTTACGTTTGCTCAGCTTATGTGATCGTACTTCACAATGACAATGATTTGTACCTTGAAAGTATTCGTGCTGGCTTGTTTGAAGTCCCAATATAAGCGGCCGTGAAGTCGCCTCTCGCTTCCCTTGCCATTCTAGGGAAGGGTCAGGACTAGCGCGTGCTGATACCTCGTGTAATCTCCGGTCAGGAAGTTTCCGGCATTCCTTAGTAACTGGGGACTTTCGTAAGGCGACACTTGGTTTCCCGGATCGTCCCTATACTTCGAGTTCAAAACCAAACCTCTCAAGACACTCACTCCCACCTTCTACCACGCTGACCAGACGCCTTTCACATAAAGTCCGCCACTTATTTTCATTCCATCCTTCATGCTTTGGATGCTTTGACCTGCAATGCAGGGACGCTTGCAGTGCTAGCAGATCCTTCGGCCTCGAAGCAAGGAAATTCTTTCCTGCTATTGCCTTCGTGTTTGGATTGTTGGCGAATCACTTTGGACGCTGTACTTCGACCCAGGTTGTGGTCTCGCTAGATGTTGCAGAATCGGAAGTGCTCATGTCATCCAAGTTGTAGAAGACTGTATTATGGCACGTCTGTTGGGTTCCTTTTTGTTTGACGACGGTCGGCCACCGTCGCAAGTCGCTTGCGCTTTCTCTTCCATGAAGAATCTACCTCAGTCATTCTGATGCCTTAAGTAGGTTTTACCCTTGATAAGTGGGAAAGGCGAAACGACGACAACATAAGCGCGAGTTTGGAAGTCCGCGCAGGAGGCTCGCCATCAGCCATTGTTTTGGTCGCTCTTTTCGCGTCTTTATTTGAATCTCTTGCGCGGCTGGTTGCGAGAGGACCAGCGGCTCAAAGCTCAAAGCGAATTGCGTAAAGCAGGTGCTGCTGAATGGAAAAAGCACGTTGCACCGCTTCCGAAGTTGTTCACATAGGCTTCAAAGCGACATGTGTTAATGTTACGCAATCCCGCTTAGTGATTATGCCACCGGGCAAGTTCAAGATTTTCAGCAGCCAATTGGAATGTTAGTTTGCTTTGTTGCGACCTGAGTACTCACCTTTAGCTTATTTTTGTACGAGCCCAAAGCGGGGTCGGTAAATGGACTCGGTCCCAAGAGATGTGCATCTCGGGGTATGTCCAAGTCACAAGCCCTGACCATGCGCATAGCATCAACTCTGGAGACATTTTGCGGAAGCTCTGTCTTGTTTGTATTGTGGGTTGCACGCTCCTGTGCCAAGGTTTGGGTCTCTTTGTTGATTAGGAGTGGGATCTGTGGCGTTTACAGTCTGCTTCAACCGCTGTAGCAAACGCTTATTGTTTGCTGTGGAAACTTCGAAAAGAGTGCTGCGACTCGAGAGCAGTCGGCCATGATAACGCTGCCAATGAGGGACTCCGCCCCTGTCAGTAGTCAGCTTTCTTGCCTGATGCCCTCAAGACCATTGCACGATAATGAGCAGGGTTCCGTCGTTTCTGCCTGGAGTTTTCTGAATTCCTCATTATCCGCTAATACGCCCAGCTTTTGTTGTTGCTTCAAAAGTACTTGACTTGCAGCCATGATATAGAAGCACGGAAACGAGCACGTTCGCTCATTTCTGTTTTGGTCTAAATTGATGCTGGCAACTTTTTTCATTTCTCGAAGGATCTTTGTTGGATGCTTAGATGGTCCTCTCTCATCTTCTCATGTCGCCGGAACCGAGATGCGGCATTATTCTTTCGGACGGCTTCCAAGCGTCCCTTTTCTTTCTTATTGTCACCATCGCGATTCAGTTGTCCGGCTTAATTGCCCCTCTCCCCTTCCTGCATTCACACCTGTTGTCCCCTTTCTTCCAGGATCGTCGAGTACCTCGCTGTCCGGAAGCTCAAGAACGACGCCAGGGGTCCCGTCCTCTGCTTCGTGGGCCCCCCCGGAGTGGGCAAAACCAGCCTCGCGAGCTCCATCGCCACTGCGCTAGACCGCAAGTTCATCCGCGTATCCCTTGGGGGGGTCCGGGATGAAGCCGACATTCGGGGGCACCGACGGACGTACATCGGAAGCATGCCGGGCCGGATCATCGAGGGGATCAAAGTAGGGCGTCAGCCTTTTCCGTTCCTTCTTGTCTCTTCGCTTGTGCTTCTGGTCTGAAATTGCCGGATTGCTGTGCTTTGCGAGCTGGCAGGCAGAGAGCAACTCGCGTTCGTCTTCTCGTCCCAAGTCATGTCTGGTGGCCTTTTCAAATCTAAGAGTATCCTGCTTCCGGCAGAGGGCGCCGTGAATCACCCGGTAATTTTCTTGAACGAGATCGACCGAGACGGGGCAATCGAGGACTTTCCAACCAGAGGCAATATCTACAACCCTCCATTGAAACCTTAAGAACGCCTGATCTAAAGATTGCCTTACTTTCCAGAGGGCGGGTGTGAACAACCCGGTCATCCCTCCTTGCCAAGATCGACAGAACGGGGCAGTCAAGACTTTCTCTAACCTTCTCTAAGCGGATGTGCCAGCGCTTTCCACAGTCCTACAACTTTCTACGAAGACTGAACATCCCTTCAGATTCAATAGTGCTTATGTCTTTTAAGAGGCCGGTGTAAAGAGTCCAAGCATTTTACTCGACAAGATCGACAGACGGGGCAAAGGTAGCTTCTTGTAGGTACTTCAAATCGGGTGTGCCAGCGCCTTTTACAGTCCTTCGACTCCTACGGATCCTCAGAATGTCGCCGATTCTTAGCCATAAGCGTGTTTTGCTTTTTGTCAGAGGGCGGGCGTGAACAACCCGGTCATCTTACTGGACGAGATCGACAAGACGGGCCACGACGTGCGGGGAGACCCTGGCGCCGCGTTACTGGAGGTCCTCGACCCGGAGCAAAACACGTCGTTTGTGGACCACTATTTGACCATCCCGTTCGACCTGTCGAACGTCGTTTGGGTGGCCACCGCCAACCGCGTGGCGCCAATCCAGCCGCCGCTGCTGGACAGGTGAGCCGACGGCATTGTCCCAGACTTGGTATGATCCCTGCTTTTGTCTTCGCGTTCAGTAGACTTGTTTTCAACTGAACAGGACCTCAGCCCACGCAATCGCTCCTGGCTTCTCGCATGACAAAAAAGAGTTCGAGTACGCACCCCTCGAGCCCGACCTTTTGAATTGCTCAATAACACTGGATCCATTTGTTATGTTTTCAGGATGGAGTTGATTGAGTTACCAGGGTACACTCCGGAGGAGAAGCAGCACATCGCCACGCGGCACCTCATTCCCCGCCAGCTGGAGGAACACGGGATGAACAAGCACCAGCTCAAAATACCCGATGTGAGGCACAACTCACCTTTCTGTTTTGCTTCCTTCCTCTCTTCTCTTCTTCCTTGTTCACCCCCTCTTTTGTTCTCCTCGGTTCTTTCGATTGCTGTACGCTCGGGCTGTCAGGCGCCACCGTCCCTCCATGAAACTCCGAAGACCATCGTTTCAGCTTCAGTCTGCCTCGTCTTTCTCCGCTGATGTCACCCTCCTACCGCGCCATGGCCACGTCAATCCTGGGTTAAAAACTTGGTCACGTTACATACTTTAAGATTTGCTGTGAGCTGAGCTGGACTGTCGCAGCATGGCAGAGATAATCTTGTGGCATGTGCCAGTCCATCTGCCCACAGCCATACGCTTCCTGACAAGTCTCCTTAAAAGTTAAAAGAGAGCAGGAACGGGACAACAAAGAATTGCATAAGAGACACGAGTATTACCCTGGAAGGCCTTTTAGCGACTTCGTGAAAATGCTGTCAGCGCTTCTTGTCGCGGAGATGGTACTAGCGGTTCCTTTGGATAGGGTCGGCAAGCGAGTCAACTCAGCTTTCCTACCAGAAATGAAACCAGCTTTTTCGGTCTTCATTCGCTTGGATAAATCGACCGGTTTGAAAAGGGGTGCATCAAGCCGTGTTTCTGATGATCAAACGGTCGTCCTTCTTTGCAGGACATGGTCGCATTCGTGATCCAAAAGTACACCCGCGAGGCGGGCGTCCGAAACCTGTCGAAACAGCTGGCGGCGCTCTGTCGATCTGCGGCGGTCGAGGTGAGCTCGGTCGGTTGAAGTGGACTTTTTTGCATTGCTGTGCAACGTCAATTTCAGGATATTCTTACCGGTAGGAGCGACCGGCCCCTTTTTTGCACGCAAAATTTCGTTGGCTTTCTATTCGCTAGGCGTAATTGCCTCCTCCTTAACACTCGAAAGCGTTGATAAATGTCTGACTAAAGAAGTCACCGCCCCCTTATCTGCACGTGGAAACGAGGGTTCGACAGCCGCACGCAATGCACGCAAGCCGCACGCAATGCACGCAATCCATCCAGGTGCTCTCTCTTTGCAATTTTCCAAGTATTTAGACGTTGTGTTAACTCGGACGCCTGTGGCGAGACGATTCTGGACAATCTCTTGCGTCTTTGGACACGGGGCCCCTGTCCATTGGAAACCGGTAACGTAAGTTTTGCTCAAACTTCATCGTATGCCTGCTACATCACATGTGGTTTTGCTCAATAGGTTTTGATCATATAAACACAACATCATGTTTGTCATAAATGTATGTGTATGTTTCATTCCAGGTGGCGAAGCACCAGTCGGAGGTGGCTGTGCAGAGCAAGGCGCTGAATTCGCCGATGGGCGCCATTGCGTCAATGGGCGACCAATTAGAGGTCGAGATGGAACTAGAGGCGGACGTTTCCGGGGCAACACATGCGCGCGCGCGCCGGTGGGAGACGATCCAGGTTGACGAGGAACTAGTGGAGCGAGTTTTGGGGGTGAGTGCCTCGGAACGGGTTACACACCGTCTACTGCTTTTGAGAGCACGGTCTGGGCTGAGTATGAAGCGAGAATTTGTGTGGAGTAGGTTCGAAATTCCGTGGCCAGTGCAGAGTCCGTCAACCTGACATCTGCATCGCTGAGTCGAACCACACAGATTCTGCTCCAGACTGTCCCTTTACCTGGAGCGTCTTGTGACCGCCCCATCGTACGATGGTCTTGAACCATTCTAAACGCAGTCCTAAAGCAGTGTTTCGTATCAAATCGACCAGCCTAAGAACAAACTTCTTCCCCGTCCCCTCATTTCAGCCGCCGCGCTTCGATGGCAAGGAGGCCTCGGAGCGGGTCGCCACTCCGGGGGTGGTAATGGGCCTGGTGTGGACTGCGGTCGGGGGGGAGGTCCAGTTCGTGGAGGCGACCGCGATGGCCGGCAAGGGCGAGCTGCACCTCACGGGGCAGCTGGGTGACGTCATCAAGGAGTCGGCGCAGATTGCGCTGACCTGGGTGAGTCTGAGTTCGGCAGCGTAAATTGTCTGAAAGATTTGGTTTCGCTTGCCAGTCGATCCGGAGGATTGGCTTTGTTGAAGCGATGTTTACTGGTAGCCGTTAAATATTTCGCTTTGGAAGATGCAATGTCAACTTGACAGGGCTATGAGTCCCGGTTTGCTTGCGGTTTTGTCGATTCGGAGCAGGATGCAAGGACGTTTGCAACTTTTGCGTGTAGCAAGGTTTCCTGGAAAATGACGATGTCACGTCCTCGTGGGCCACTTCAGGAAAGTAGGAAGTAAGTTGGGCTGATCAGGCCATGTGCATCATGGCATGTAGTATTGCACAGCGTTATTGGTCAAAAGTGATTTCCCCCGTGACCGGTTTAGAACCAAGCTCCGCAGCTCCTGTCTCATTCGAAATTTGTATGTGCGGTTTGGTTTCTGTGATCCACAAGCGACGGGCCTGAAGAATCGATAGTCCATTCGTAAAAAAGTTGGACATGCTATTGCCATAGAATTTTGCGGTTGTCGCGACCTGCAACGTCGCCGATCTGCCCATATGCGACAAAATCCACGTCTGGATAAGCTGTAAGATAGCTTCTCGGCAACCGAAATTCTATGAGTTTATCCTGTTCTGAAGCAAAAGCACCGTGCCTTTGTTCGCAGGTGCGTGCGCGCGCGCAAGAGTTGAACCTGCACGGCAAGCGCGCGGACGGCAGTCTGGTGGAGGGCCTGGACGTCCACATTCACTTCCCCGCAGGGGCAGTGCCCAAGGACGGGCCCAGTGCCGGGGTTACGATGGCGACAGCGCTAGTCTCGTTGCTTAGGTAAGGGTCGTGTGAGGGTCACCCAAAGCATGCCACTTGTGGTGGGACCGTTAAGCATAGTGCTAAGGAACGAGTCGCCGCAAGTGTCCCTGTTATTTTGGCGACAGCGCTCGTCTCTGCACTTAGATGAGAGTCAAATCTGAGTGTGTCTGAAATGATCGGCGGCCACGTTCTATTGAGACCCTGTGAGGGTCGCCACTAGTGTACCCAATGGACCCGTTTGATTGCGATGTCAAACAATCTGCTTGGCTCTGAGGAAATGGAAAGCAATGCCTTCCGGATATGAAAACGGACCTTGATGGCTCTTCAAAGAAGAAGCCTCCAGTTTGTTGTGGTCACAAATGTGTTTGAAGGTCAACTAATGGGTCAGGGAATATGCTGTTTGGTTTGTGTCACGGCTGCTTGTAAGCAAGGCCCAACGTTTTATTGTTCTCGTTGCGTCCTCAACCGTGTCACATTTCATTATTACTGAGTCGCGTCCAGGGAAGCCAGTCCAGCTTGGAGTCGACGGCTAGCCAATGCTCCTTAGAAAGTGGAAGCTGCGAGACAGCCTTGTTTCTCAGGAAACGTCTCACGGGCGTCCTTTCGTATGGAGAACGCAAGTGTTTAGCACAAGTACAGGGAGATGTCGAGAAGAAGGCAGCGAGCAGAAGCATCCAGATGGCGTTCGAAAATATCGGGAACGTCAAAGCAGCAGGCCCCCGACGCCGTTTCTGCGGCGGACGTGTTGCAGCGGAGCCGCAGACACGCTGAAGCAGAAGCGCCTCTATCGGCTACAAACTTAGAGCGCTTCAAAGGCTCCTTCGACTTGTCTTTGCAGCGGGCGTTGCCTGCGGGCCGACACGGCCATGACCGGCGAGGTGACGCTGCGAGGGCTGGTGCTCCCGGTTGGGGGGGTAAAAGACAAGGTGCTGGCAGCCCACCGGATGGGGGTGAAGCGGGTAATCCTTCCGGAGCGGAACGTGAAGGACCTGAAGGAGGTGCCCGAGAACGTGTTGAAGGAATTGGAGGTGAGGACGGCAGTGTGAATAAGAGTAACGAAAATGGATGAAGCTTTGAAAATGGGAAAGGGTGCAGAGCGGACCAATCAGATTATTCTTTCTGTCGTGGTGTTCTGGTGGCGGCAGCTTGCCAGAACGACTCTCCTCTAATGCTCAGCTACCGAATGGTTTTCACAGTCCAGGGGCTGAACACAGCCGTATGAACGCAGCACGTATGGCCTGAACAGAACCCGGTTATTACCTTCCAATGGCGTGATTCTTGACAATGATCATCAAGCTCGTAGCCTTACTCTTCCAAAAAGCCTGTGTGGAGACTCCTGTTGGCTGACCAGGATTGAGTCGTTTGAATACATCACCCACCAAAACCCTCCCTTTATTTGCGGCCTACTATAAGTGGTTCGGGTTGTTTGGGGCCCCTTAGCTTCTTAGAGACGTCGGGCTTGAAGATTTCGCGGAAGTTTGGGACTGCTTGTCTAACAAAAACACGTCGTAAGGCTCGATACGTGGGCAGGCCGAGTGCCATCGCAGTGATACTTCTTTGATTTTCGTAGATCTGCCCGGCACTTCGCATGGAGGACGTTTTGACGCACGCATTTGAAGGTGGGTATAGTCTGAGCCCCACAAGTAGGTTGTAGGAGAATGCAACTTTGAATGATCAAGTAAACTAAGTTGAAACGTGGTCACATGTAGGAGAGACCACATCCAATACGGAGACATACTGTAGATTTTAGACGGCAGAGAGAAGGTAAGGTCATTGCAAAACTGAGGGTCTCTTCGAACCCAAAAAAAGTACATTGTGCGGTCCTCCGTTCCATGTTACTGGGTAGATTGATTAGAAATGAAAGGTTCATGTGGTCAATGAACACATCACCGCCTTACGTGTTTACGTCTCAAACATAACATGGTTGACGGCCCAACATCCATGTCTTTAATTACCTTTAGACAATGATCCAATCAATCTGAACTACCGGTATGCAGTCAGGATGGATTGCAACGAGTTCAACTCGCCGCTGCACCTCGCTTCTTCGTGGACAACAGAGACAATGTGCATCTTAGAGGACCGGAAAAAATCGACTATGCATTGAGATGATATGCAAAAATAGATCGTACTGTGTCCATCCGGCGGCCGTCGACTAATCGAGGTACAACGAAGACGACATTGAATTGGATCATGAGGTAGCTACCGCGTGCCTTTGCTCCTTAATTGCAAAATGATTGCTTGTAAAATTGAATGCTGTCATTGCTGTGTCACCTAGCTCCGAGTCCGCGTCTGGCCGTCCGATGACAATATGAACGGACAAAGCCAACAGACAAAGCCAACAGAGAGGAATCATGCAATATATAAGACCATGATGCAAAATTCTTTCTGTCTCTCGTATTGCGACGGGACATGAGAGAACCGTTCCAGACCTCATGTCCTCAAGCAACAAGAGGGAAAAGCATGAATAAGGGCCATTGATTGATTGAATTAAGCCATTCTTGTGACGTGCAAAGCATCTTTTCTCGGCTATTGAATTGCTCCATCCAATATGCAGAAGGATGATTAAGTTTGCATCCGACTATTGAATGCACGACATGTTCTGTTGAACAAAACTTCAGAGCTTGACGATACTAATACTTGGCCTTCTTCGAGCTCTTCTTATCACATGTAGCTTGTAAATGTCCATGTTATATGCATCTATGGTAAGTCTCTAGCGTCTAGTATCCTCGGCCGGGTTGACCTATGCTCAGCCATCGAGACAGATCTCGTGACTACCTGCAACCTACTGCCAATAAAGGAGCCTGTTTCTGCTTCGTTTGGATCTGGACCGGGCAGCTGTAGGCTCAGGGGCGCTTTCCGCTTTCCGTACGTCGCCATAAAACCTACCGTGATGTTAGGTATAGTTGTTGAGGGCCGCCGGGCCAGCGTCGCACTGGCACCCGGCCAACTAGCTGTCGAAAATAGGCCGGTAGGATTGTCGTAGATAGGTAGGTCTCAATTTCATAGGGCATGTTGGCGAAGAGAGCACTCGCGGGACGGGGACTCGAGGGTTTGTTTGGGGGTAAGGGTGGAGACGAGTGCGGAGCCTGTGTCATCACACGGATTCTGAATTCACCTTTGGCCCTGAGTTTGTTCTTGCCCTCCGAGCACTGTCTCTTGATTCGGAATGATGCGCTTTGTCAACATGACTTCGTAAATTCGACAAGTAAATTGGTACTATGGTAGTAGCCGGCAGGCACCGGCGGTGCAACGCTGTCCCATATTGGCTCGCCTCTTCCTCTTAGGAAGAGAGGAACCATAGGGATCGGCGTTTCGGCCACTGTACGACGCCGCGGGGCGGGCCTTGCCGTTCGACCTGCTTGGGTTGGCTGTGTTCGACGATAAAACGTACAGTCTGGGTCTCTATATTTGACCATATAACGGTGCGAGATTTTCCCTGCGCGGGCGGCGCAGTCAACGCTTAAGAATCGAACATTTTGGTCCAAACGC